GTCTGGGCTCCCACTGTGATGGCAGAGGGGACGTGGTAGGCCTGGTCCTTTGCTGCTTTGCTAAATGGATGCGGCATGCTTTGAAAAATCTGTTCTTGGAGGTGGGAGGTCCTTGGACTTCCCACAGGGCAGGGAACCCTCACTGCTCTTTGGGCTGATGAGGGAGGGGGACTTGTTTGGGGGAGGGGGGGAAATGGGTGGCGGGGAGGAGGCAGAAATCTTTAATAAATAAATAAATTAATAAAAAATAAAATAAAAAATGAAAAATCTGTTCCTTGTTGCTTGACCTGAGTATATAATGAAATGGGATTGTCCCGTGTGTGACAAAGCGATTGTCTTTCTGTGTAGGTCCAGCCTCCTAGATCCTCAGCAGCTGGGAAGAGATGAGAGGGAGAAAGACATAGTAAGGAGAATCTAGGTAACTCACAGAAAATATGACTCCTTTAGCGGAAACGAAATGGGGCACCTGGCTGTTTACCCACACCAACTCCCCTCCCCTGAATAAAAGCCAGCAGGCTCCCAGGGAAGGGTTGGCTTGGTTTACCTTTCTGATGGGCCTGCTCTGCTTAGTGTATTGGAGTCTGAATAGTCAGGGCAAACCCTGTGCAGCTGAGCCCTGAGAGTCCTAGGAGACAGAATTTTACAGCACCTCTGAGTAGCAGGGCCCCAGTGCATGGTGGGTTATTGCTGGGCAAAGAAACTACCTCCCTTTCCTTGTAGAGGTGCAGGTCAGACTACAGGGAAATGCAAGCGCTTCTCTTGGCTCTGCTCTGAGAGAGCTGAAGTCTCACTGGAGCCTAGGCTGTAAGTACAGATGAAGGCTAACTTTGTAAAGACCCGTCTGTATGTTGACTTTTTATTATGAGATGCATGCAGCTATCAGACGTGGCTCCAGAGCAAGGAGAAGGGAGATGAGTATCCATCCATAATTGGATATAAGGCCATCCTGTAGGTTACAGTCAAAAAGGGATGAGCATACTATCCAGACCTTGCTCTCCTAGAGAGGAAAAGTCCCAATGAGTAAAGGTGTCTGGCCTTCCTGCTTGCTATTTTACAGGAAAGAGGTAGAGCTCCCATATTGCTTCCTATAGGAGATTCCTGGGCAGACTTCACTCTTAAGGGCTACTGAGCTGGGGTAGTCATGATATCTAGAGAGGGCAATGTCTTTGCCTCTTGCTCTCTATCTAAGACTTGGATGCTAAGACTCAGCCTCTCCCCATCGCCCAGTTTTACATCTCCTCATGCGATCCCGGGATATCTAAGGAAGAGTGTCCGTAAGGCTGATGACCAGATCCCTCCGGTGCCTCTAGGGCTTACAAGGTGCTTGCTCTGCTCAGCATTCTTGTCTGCCTTTGCTCCCTCCTATGGAGTCAAGCATAAACAGTAAGATGAAATTTACATTGTCTGTGCTAGCTAAATGCGGTATGATGCTTTCAGTGTTTCTATGACACTCAAGGCTAATTTTAATAACAAAATTACTCACCATGATCTGTGTGTCTTTGCCATGTTTAGCTCACTGGATTCTATGGCAGCCTTACTGATAGATCTGTTTTTCTCTGTCTGAGGGGGGAACCAAGGCACAGAGCACTTAAGAATTGTGGATGGTACATTTGAAAAGGCAAGGAGGTGTTGAACACCTCTTCTTAGTCCTGACTTGGCAGGCATAAATCGACCAAGGCTGGGTGTTTATATTGGAGCTCCCTGGCTAAGGCTGGGCTTGCTTATCGTTGGTTGAACCAGGATGATACTAGGTGTATACAACTCTCTGCAATTGGAGGGTATTTTTATTTCATGTCTGTATTTCACGGCTGGTTCCAGTGGCTCATCTTCTATAATGGAGGGCATAGAAGGTTTCTTTTTTGTGTGTGTGCGAGACCAAGTGACCTTTATATATGGAATGAAAGCAGAGTATCATCAAAATGAGAAGGAATTATTAAAAGGAAAGTAAAGGAAATGCTATGAATTTACAATGCATCCTGCCTTTTAATATACACACAGAATATTTAAGATCAATATGAGAGCAGACACTCAAACTGGAGTAGAAGGAAACAAAGCCGCCTTGGCTGAGCCATAAATAGGAGCGGCAGAAACTCATACATGAATTTGGCCGTGGGCTTTCTTGCAGCTAAATCTAAAAAAGGAGTCCATTCAGCCATTCTACATGCCAAGCGTGCGCCATTAAAATGGGGTTAGGGTACAGGAGTGGAGACAAATGTCAGTTGCCCAGAAAATAACCAGATAGAGAAGGGCATGAGTCATTACCAAGGTGGTTGTTTGGGCGGCATCATTTGCTCAGGAAACCCTGTGAGACCGCTCAGAGTTCCTCATCTTCAGTTCCCATCTCTAAGGTGATAAATGCATCAATCCCCTCTCCTTGCTGTGGGGCAAAGCATGGCACTTAATGCCAGCAAATGTCCATTTTGCCGGAATCTTGCTCATTTAAGGGTGGCATGAAGGCTAGCTCATTGCTATGGGGCCTGTCAGGGTGAATAAATCATCGGGCACATTCATTTCAGAGCCAGGCACAGGCTATGTGAGTGGTCATCTTGCCTGGTAATAAAATCTGGTCTAGGATGCATTTCTTTATGTCCATACATTGCATTTTTTAAATATTCCTGTGCAGGGGCTGGGGAAGTGGCTAGCCATGAAATGGTGTGGATTTGACTTCAGATCTCTAGCACCCATGTGAAAAGGCAGGCATAGAAGCACATGCCTTTCGTCCTAGTTCTAGGCAGGCAGGGACAGGATGGTCCCTGGCTCACTGCCCATCCAGTCTTGTAGTGATAGGTGCAGCTGGGCTGCGTCCCCAGCACCCCCCGTCGCCTGGCTAGCTTATGCCCCGAAATAACAACACACAAATTGTATTCATTTAAACACTGCTTGGCCCTTTAACTCTAGCCCTTACTGGCTAATTCTGATATCCCGATCAACCCATCTCTAATAATCTGTGAGCACCAGTCTTACTGGGAAGATTCTAGCCTACGTCCATCCTGGGTCGGAGCTTCATCGTGTGTGCCTCAGAGAGCAGAGCTCTCGTGTCCGCCCTGGAGATGGGAGCATGGCGTCTCTGCTCCAGAGCAGAGCTGTCGAGTCTGAGCTCACTTCCTCTTCCTCCCAGCATTCTGTTCTGTTTACTCCTCCCACCTATGTTTTAACCTATGAGGGCCAGCCAAGCAGTTTCTTTATTGCTTAACCAATGAAATCAACAGATTGATATATGACACTCCCACATCACAGTCTAACTGAATTGATGGCCTCTGGGTCCAATAAAGAAGCCTGTCTCCAAACATTTAAGTGAGAAACCATAAAGGAAGGTGCCCAAGGTTGTCCTTGGCTTCCACACACATAAACACACGTGGATACATACACGCATACATACCATGTGCACCCACATGCACTCAGTCCCGTAAACTGTTAGTCTTGTTCATTTGGGGGAAAGCTGGATCACAGTAAAATACAGAGCTAGGAATAAGAAAACCATGCTGGACGCTCCCGTCTTGGGCCTATGAACACGGCCCATCTGTTTGAGGAAGGCTTTCTTGAGCAATGTGCTTCTAGGTAGCGATGGCCATGCTCTTTACGGTGGTTGTTCTAGGTGATTGAATAGTTCAGAACATGTCTCTCATGACCTCTGCTGGTCTTCATTCTTTTGAGCGTCTGTCCTGTGCTGAGAGAGCTGCCTGAATTCTATGCCTTTCCTCCTGATGTGCTAGGAGAAGAAGGCATGAAAAACTGATGGGGAAAACTGGCCACGGGTATCGATTTCTTCCTGCTGTCTGAAGGTTGGAAGCAGGAAAGTGATTGGCACAGAAGCCCACGGCCCTCTTGGCCCTGGGACTGAACCCAGACAGCAGGCTCCACCTCATTGCCCCATCTACCAACACCTGCCCATCTTCTCCTCTCTAACAGACTGAGAGGCAGCTGTGTGGACAGGGCCCAGAACTGAGATGCTGTACTGTAATGGAGGGCATGTAGATACCTGGAACCATTAGGAGGCAGACCCCACATGTGGATGTCTTCCTGATACAACAGGCGGCACATTTTTGGATTGAAGTTTATCCACATGAGATGGAAAACTTCTGCCTGTTGCTCTGCCCCCCTAGGAGATGTGTTGGTACCCTTGGAGCCAGCCCTCTCCTCCCTCGCGCTCCTGACCCTGCGACCCACTTCAGTTTTGGCCGTCACTCTACTAAACGGTGTTACCTGAGTTGACAGAGAAGGTCAAACTGTTGGACTCCTGGTTCTCCTCACCCTTCACCCCATCTGATCTGTGATCTGGTCCAGCCTTCCATTGAGTTTTCGTATTTTGTCGCTGACACCTCTTTCTCCGCCCCTGTTTTACCACTACAAGGACGCTTAAAATTTTTTCCCCAGGGACTAGAAAAGATTAGCCATGGCTTCCTCTCTGCTATATCTGATGAAAGGATCCGTGATGATATTAAACCCCCCTGGCCTTCCCCACTAACTTCTACCCCTGAACTATGCTGGGACATCTTGGGGGTCTGGGAAACTCTACAGCACAGCAAGACTGCCCATTCATCTCTAGAGCCCAAAGGCTGTTGACTGAAAGTGGTCCGATCGCCTTAAATATGCCTGCAGAGAGAGCGTTGGAAATGGTCTTACAGATGGCTTTGAAACCTTGACGTGGTGGTGCAAAGCGTCAGCCATTTCCAACTCCTCTGTCCTGTTGGCAGTCCGTCCCCTGCACAAGCTGTAGCGCCTTCGTTCAGTTTGGAACTAATTTTTGACGATCATTGCTGCTGCTCTCAGTTTGGAACTAATTTTTGACGATCATTGCTGCTGCTCGCGGAGGAGTTTATGATGACATTTCTCACATAAGGAATGCGAACACATTACCATACATGCCACTCAGACCAGTTCTGACCGGATTGTGAATGACTTTAGAGTGGGACCGTTGGGGTAGGAATTGAGCTCTTTAGTCTTCCCTGCGGCTACGTAATGATTGTATACATCAGCGCTTGTCTCCTTGTGTTTTCTAGACACTCTGAGCGAAACCCATCAAGTCATCTATGAAAATGGTGGCGCTCTCCTTAAAGATCTGTGTCCGTCACTGCAATGTGGTGAAGACCATGCAGTTTGAGCCGTCTACGGCCGTCTACGATGCCTGTCGAGTCATTCGGGAGCGCGTGCCCGAGGCACAGACTGGACAAGGTAGGTCATGGTTATTCCTTGGTACCCGAGAATGTGCCTGGATAGCCCTTCACTCTGTAGCTAAAAGGACACACATAGACACGTATAAGACATCTCTGTTTTAAACCAAGCATGGAGGCCCACCCCTTTAATCCCTGCACTCTTGAGGCTGGTATTTCTGATTTAAGGCCAGCCTAATCTACATAGCCACTTCAGTTCTAGGCTAACCTGTACTACACAGTAAGACTCTGTCTTCTGGAGGGAAAATCCGAATTTTGAATCAAATGCCTTCTTATAGTACTTCCTGGCAAGAACAAGGCTTTCATTGTCAATGGCCACATTAACATTGACCCTGAGTATTCAATGTAGATATGTCTGCTGTCTCGGCCCTTCTCGGGTGCTGCCCTGTAGTTTGCAAACCATTTTTTGATGTGCCACTGAACTAGTTGAATAAAGAATGACATACTTGCCTGGTACATGCTGAGTCCTGTAACCTCAGCCCTGAGTGTAGGTCCTACTGCACAGGCCCTCTGAAGGAGCTTCATGAATTTTACCTCAATTTTTAAAAAATATTTTATTTTTAATTATGTGTGTACATCGGCATGTGGGCTTGTGCGTGTGTCGGTGCTTACACGCACAGAGTCCAGGAGAGGGCGCTGTTCATGATATTCAGTTTGCTGAGTTATATTAAATTAAATGGAAATAAAATTTGTGGATAGTCCCTATCTGACTTTAAAATTCGCTTGTCCGATCTCGCCGGTACTCTTCAGTTCTTTTTTTATCATCTTCTGACACTATTAGAACTTTTCTTTGTGCTGAATTAATACAAGTGCTGGCGGAGGCCTCTGAAGACCCAAAAATCATTTTCCTGAGGTGCTGTAGAAGCCCTGACCCCTCTGGAAGACTCTAAGACTTCTTCAGTTACATTAAGGAAAAGATGGGCTGGGAAGATGGCTCAGTCAGTAAAGGGCTTGCTGCATAAGTTTTAGGGTCTGAGTTTGATCTCCAAAACCTTCATGGACTTGAAATACCATCACTGGTAAAGAGGAAGAAGGAGAATCTCTAGGGGCTAATGACCAGCCAACCTCGCTATCAGCAAACAGCAGGCCAATGAGAGACCCTGTCTCAATGAACAAGGGAAATGGCACCCTGAGGAATGATACCTGAAGTTGACCTCTGACCCTCAAAGGCATGCATGTGCACCCGTGACCTCAGGCCTTCAGAGACATGCATGTGCACCTGTAACCTCAGGCCTTCAGAGACATACATGTGCACCCGTGACCTCAGGCCTTCAGAGGCATGCATGTGCACCGTGACCTCAGGCCTTCAGAGGCATGCATGTGCACCGTGACCTCTGACCCTCAGAGACATGCATGTGCACCCATCCCCACTTCACACACTAGGAAGAGAGAAGTCCAGGTGAGAAATGACTGTTCTGCTCTCTTGCCTCCAGGCCTCTTGAACTCCCCACATTGGACTAAGAGGCCTTTATAAAAGATGCTAAGTTTAATTCTCCAACTGTTTTCTTTATTTTGTGATATTTGGTGACAGAGACTTTATCCCATAAGGAAGTTCTAAATATCTTGTTCGTTTTTTTTCTTAAATTCTGTTTTGTTGCAAGTTTCTCATCATATAGCCCAGGCTGGCCTTTAATTACTCAATCTTCCTAACCCAATTTCCCTAAGGCTAAGTGTAAACAGAGGTTTCTGTCCCTCCTGCAGCCGTTCAATCCCACATGGGATCCTATGTTAAGTACAAAACTGTTTTGCCGATGACTCTGGCATATTTCTAGCTAGCTCTTAAATCTTAGATTAACCCAATTCTATTAATCTATGTATTGCCATGAGGCTGTGGCTTATCAGTAAGTTTCTGGCATCTTTATCCTTCGGCAGCTACATGGCGTCTCCATGACTCAGCCTGCTCTCTCTATATATCTCTGTTTGGATTTCCTGACTGGTTTTACTCTGCTAAGCCATTGGCAGCATTATTCATCAACGAATAAAAAAGCAACTCATACACAGAAGGACTTCCCACATCAGCTAAGATTGCAGAGCATTTACCACCAATCTTTTATAACATGTTCCTTTTAATTCTTTTTATTTTTTACTTTATGTGCATTGGTGTTCTGCCTACATATATGTCTGTGTGAGGGTGCCGGAGTTATAGACAGTTGTGTGCTGCCGTGTGGGTACTGGGAAGTGAGCCCAGGTCCTCCGAAAGAGCAGCGTGTTGTCTTGACCACCGAGTCATCTCTCCAGCTCCTTATAACATGCTCTTTTGCTATGCCCATCTTTCTTGCTCTGCCTCAGTGGCTCTGGTCTTAGGTGGTTACTGCCTCCATTTTTTCAAGGCTGTGAGTACCTGGCTAAATGAGACTTAGAAACCAGGAACCACATGATTCTCTTAAACTGCAGACACACCTCTAGTCCAATGGTTCGTATGCATGGACCTTGCGGTGACCTTTGATTCTGCAGGGAGGCCCCTGCTTCCCCGGGGTTGAGGATACTCTTTTGCTCTTGGTAAGAAGCAGGTCTTTCTGGTGATGGACAGCCTCTTTTCCTTGCTGAGTCGGTGTGCTTGAGCCAGTGATAGCGTTGTTCCCACATGGCCCCTTTTTTCTCTCTCTGTTTACTTTGCAGCCTCTGACTACGGGCTCTTTCTCTCTGATGAAGACCCCAGGAAAGGAATTTGGCTAGAAGCAGGACGGACACTGGATTACTACATGCTGCGGAATGGGGTATGTTGTTGGCCCTATTTTCTTTTCCTTTTATTTTTTTAAAATCTATTTTTAGATGTTTGGGTGATTTAATTGCATGTGAGGCTATGTACTACTTTCTTGACCAGTACACTTGAAATCCAGAAGAGGGCGTTGGATCCCCTGAAATTGGAGTTACAGACTACTGTGAGCTGCCATGTGGGTGCTGAGAATCTAACCTTGGTCTTCTGGAAGAGCACTCAGTGTTCTTAACCACTGGGCTGTCTCCTGAGCCCCATCATTAATTTTTTTTAAAATAATTTCCTTATTGTATGTCTGTGTATGTGAATTTGTATGTTTCATGGCATGCATGAAGACGCCAGAAAACAACTTTCAAGAGTTGGTTCTTTCCTTCCATAACTGAACAGTCTTGGTACCAAGCACCTTTCCCCACGGCTTCATCTTGCTGGTCCACTGGTCCTATTTTTCTCATTGCTTTGCTGCTGGGAAACCAACTATGAAAACCCACTGTAGCAATGTTCTAATCCAAGGGCTTCTTATGAACAACTCCCATGCAAAGAACCTGTGGGACTGTCTTCACAGGTGGAGAGCAGGTTCTAGCCATCTCAAATGCCTGGAATCCCACAGAGGTATTGAAATAGTTCGAGGTTAGTATGCTGAGCTGAGCAGAGTTGGGCTTGGTAGCGGCTGTGAGATACTAGATACATTATCTTCCTTGAGTAGATTCGAGGGAAAGCAGAGGTGTTTTGTTTTGTGTGTGTGTGGGGGGGGTGGGGGGACACCATCAACTGGAGATGCAGTTATTTATTAGCTCTCAGTGGCAGTGACAAAAGTTACCCTGTAGTTTAAGTGATGAAGAAAAAGACACTTAGCGCTGTCTCTCTTCTCCCCCCTCCTCCTCACACCTCCAGGATCCTGGGGTTTTGTGTGCCCAATGAAGCGGGCTTGTCAGACTGATCAGGATTCCAAAAAGCCAGGGTGGAATGTTCAGTTAGTCTATGGTACTTGCTCTCCCCATCTGTGTGTGTTTCTGTTTCTAAGAATTAAAATGAAAACGGGGTCTCCTATTTTGAAGTAACCCCACCTCATCCTTTGTTTTATTTTACCATTGTCATGTTATCGTGCAGTTGTTAGACTATTCTTGCTTCGATAGGCACCTTCTCTGAAGCTTTCTGGGGATGTTATTTATGTCTTTCATTATGTAGACTACGTACACAGTAAATATATATAGCAAACGTTCTGAAGTAACATTTGAAAAAGAAACGTTCACCTTGTGTGGGGGTAGTAAGAGTTGTTTCTGGTGGCAAAACATGGCTGCCGACTCCGATGCCGCTGTTTGAAGTATGGCCCTCTCCTGAGTCTCATGAGTGCTGCTCTTTCGCAGCCGCTGGAGCGCACAGCCATCTTCTCTTCAGAGAGAGTGGTTTTCAGTCATTGTGAGCCTCAAGTATTCCCTTTTGAAGGACCATCTTATTACGAGAGGTTTTTGTAATCCTCATGAAAGTCGTTACTTAGCTCTCGGAATTAGGTGTGCTAGTCACTGCAGCGCCCCCCGTGCATGCTTAGGAAGGCTTTCGGGAAAGTTTTGCACAAAGGAAGATGGAGGCATCTTCTGGGTGCTTGGCTTCCGAAGAAAAGTGTCCCGTGCTGTCGTGTTTTTCCACTCAGTGTGTGGACGTTGCCGCTTGTGTCCTGTGCTGTCGTGTTTTTTTCACTCAGTGTGTGGGGCGTGTGCTGCTTGTGTCTAGGATATCTTGGAGTACAAGAAGAAACAGAGGCCTCAGAAAATCCGCATGCTGGATGGCGCTGTGAAGACGGTGATGGTGGACGACTCTAAGACAGTTGGAGAGCTCCTGGTCACCATCTGCAGCCGGATAGGTGAGCACCTCAGCTCTCCCCTCCACTGTTGCCGTGGCCACACCCTCCCCTGCTGCCGTGGCCACGCCCTCCCCTGCAGTACTCACAGGCTGAGTTCCGCCCACACCCCAGAAAGTTCTGTCCAGTCTCTCCATTTGCCTGGCCTCCAGCTGGTATAAAACTTCTCGCTGAACCGTGGTTGGGAGCTTTTATTTCTCTTTGCAGAAAACAAAAAGGAGTTTCTCAGTGAAAATGATTTTTGATCGTGTGATTCACCCTTCCCCACTGATTACAATTATCTCTTGAATTCTCATGGTAACAGCTAATGTGAGTCTCACAGACTTACTTCCTGTTGCTTCTGTCAGTCTCTCCAGAGAACAACTTCAATGAAGCCCTTCAAATGCTGGGTGAAAGGAATCTTCTCTATCTTGGGTTTCCCTTCAGGGAAGGGCCCAGTTCATCCACACACTTCTTGTTTGACAGGGTCCTGCCTTATTCTATCTTGCTTTTGTTTCTCAAATTTAATGGAGGCAGGGCAAGGTAGTAGACACTTTTAATCCCTGCAAGCAGGAGGCAGGGCAGACAGGTCTTTGTGATTTCATGGCCACCATGGTCTATATAGGGAGTTCCAGGCCCACATTGTGAGACTAGTTCTCCAAATAAGTAACTGCATAAATAAATAAATAAATGTATGTTACTGGAGTAGTTCAGATGTGGCTCAATGATAGATGCTTTTCTTTTATGTTTTAGGTTTAGCCTCGGGGGGGGGGGAGGGGGGCAGAAACACAGGTGTCATAGTCTCAGAGAAGGGCAGAGACAGAGAGAAAGAGAGGAAAGAGTGTGTAGACAAGTATACTTGTAGAGAAAATTGTACTTAACACCTTGACTATGGCTTCCCAGCCCTCAGAGCCTTTGTTTGGACTGGAACTGTGTAGCATGTGACCACCCTGGCCCTCAAATGAGGAAGGCCCCTTCCTGTGTTTTGATAACATGGACCCTTTGCAGCACCCTGGGCCCTAAGTAGAAGTTGGTAGCAATTTAGTGATGTATAGTTATGACCCAATTTCTGTTATTAGGAATAACAAATTATGAAGAATACTCTTTAATCCAAGAAACCATTGAAGAAAAGAAAGAGGAAGGGACAGGCACACTCAAAAAAGACAGGACGTTGTTACGAGATGAGCGGAAAATGGAGAAGCTGAAGGCCAAACTCCACACGGATGATGACTGTAAGTCTTGGATGGGGAGACTGGTGGCTCAGGTACACAGTCCCTCAGAGCCTGAATCCCTGCCACCATCCACATCCTGAGAGCCACTTTGGGTTTTTTTGTTGTTGTTGTTGTTGGTTTTGTTTTTTTTTTTAAATCTGTACATGTTTTGGTTTGTCTCACTAAAAGATGGTGAAAAGTAGTAACGTGGCTTTAATAATCTTTGACATCTAAAAAGAACTTCTTCATATCAAATATATAAATTGTGTTCATGATTTCCCACTATAGTGCTAAAAGTCTAATTAGTGTATTGTGATTTAAATGTGCCAGAATAGCATATGCAATAACTAAGCAAGCTCCCTCTCGAGCTCTCTTAGTTTTCCCTTGCGGTTTGTGCATGCATGGAGTATGAGTGAGTGTGTGTGTGTGTGTGTGTGTGTGTGTATGTGTGTGTGTGTGTGTGATAATAGCCTTTCTTATGTTGATCATTTGTGCCCCTCTGAATCCCTTAGCCCTGGAGGTTTGCTCAGGAGTGTGGGCTAGAGTGGTAAATAGTGCTCCTTCAGCGGGGTGCCTCTATCAGAAAGTTATTTCTGGCTGTCCTTGAGAAAGATGCTAATAGTCTGCAGTTCAGGCCTAGATACATTATTTCCTTAGCGATTAAGATCAGTGCAATTGGTCTGTCACAGCAATGTCACTCCCACAGCCACATGGATAACGTGTACAACAGCAGCAGATGTCCTTGCATGCACCCAAAGCCCTGCCGTGTGCCCAGTGCTGCCCGCCCTCCCCCGGTGGAGCTTAGTCCGTCACCTGGCCTCCTTCCCTTCCAGCCTTGCTCCTGCTGCAGCTCGGGGATGACATCATCACTTTCATAATGTTTATTGATCTTTGGTGGGCCTGCCATTTCCTCTGAGCCCTCCTCGGTTCCCTTCTCTTTCTACCTCATTAAATTTCCAGTTACAGACTTCTTTCCAGAAGCTGTTAGTAGACAAATCCGAGGATTTATTAATGTGTGCGCAGTGCCCTCCCAGGTGGCTGTAGGAGAGGAGATCTGTCAGACAGGTTTCTTCTGCCAGAGTTGCTTAGCATTTGGTGAGACTGATAAATACTTAGCCCAGTGAGCTTGGGGTGTGGGCAGGGGAGGAGAGGGAGAGGAGTAGAGGGCACAGGGGCCTCAGGGAGTGAGCAGGGGAATGGCTGATTCCCGTGAACCACCATGTGAGGACAGGGTTTTTAGGATGAGGTTAGATTCAAGCTGGCCCACAGCAGCAGATACCACCTCTAGCTCTTGGTTTTGAGTCTCTACGCCACCTCATGACTTTCATTTTCTTTCTATTTCCTATCGGAGATCAGAGAAACTTGTTCTATCCAGGGTGTCCTAAACCATCTCACTAGATAAGATTGAAGTGACTTCTCTTGATTTCAGGGAAAACTGACATATTGTGTTATTTGTCTCGTTGCTGTGACCAACCCGACAAGAAGATATTTAAGTGTAGGCGAGGTGGCTCAATGGGTAAAGGCACTTGCTGACAAGCCTGATGATCTGAGTCTGAAGCCTGGGGCCTGTATGGTTTGAAGAGACAGTCGGTTCCCGTGTGTGTGTGTGTGTGTGTGTGTGTGTGTGTGTGTGTGTGTGTGTATTCCACAACATAGCCACACACACACCCTCACACACACTAAATAAATAAAATATAATCAACAAAAGAAAAACAGATATTAAGGAAATGGAAAGTTTGGGTTGCACAGTTCAAGGGAATGCCTTCCATCTTGGCAGGGAAGGCATGGAGGTAGCAAGAGGGGGCTTTCTGCTCACATTGTATCGTCAGGAAGTGGGGTCAGATTGTAGAACCCACTTTCTTCTAGCAGGTTTCCTAGGACCGTCCCATAGCCTTCTTCCCAACCACAACCAACCCCTGAGGACCCAGAGTCCAGACACTCTCATACAATACTGCTTGGTTTCTTAGTGCAAACACTGATTTCTCTGTTCGCTCACCCCCACTTCGCCGGTTCACCAATGCACTGAAGTACAGTAGCTAACTTTGTGAATGGCTGGGGGTTTGCATATTGTAGGTTTCAGTCATCTCACAAGTTAAGAGGTATTCGTAAGCAACCATCAGCATTTATGGAAATCTACTTCCACGGCAGGCTGCTGCAATGAGTAGTAAACCCTGTCCATCTGTCTGTCTCATGCTGCAGTAAATTGGCTAGATCACAGCCGGACGTTCAGAGAGCAAGGCGTGGATGAAAATGAAACATTGCTTCTTCGGCGGAAGTTCTTTTACTCTGATCAGAATGTGGATTCCAGAGACCCGGTGCAGTTGAACTTGCTTTATGTTCAGGTATGGTATTTCCTGGTCAGACAACAGACGGGTGTGAAGGCTAGTATTCATTGTCAACCTGACATCATCTGGAGTCACCTGGGAAGGGATTCTCAATGAGCTGGTGTCTAGCTTAGGTTTACTTGTGGGCATGTCTTAGTTATGTTAATTAAGGTAGAAAGACTCACCTGCTGTGGGCAGCACCTTTCCCTAGGCAGCAGAGTCTTGATTCAATAAGAGAGAGAAAGTCCACAGTCAGAGCTAGCATTGCCTCTCTACTCTTGACTGGATATAAAGTGGGAAGCTGCTTCAAGTGACAACTGCTCCACTTTCCCACGATGGCGGACAAAAACAACCTAGAATGGCGAACTGTGAACTGTAACCTAGAATTGTGAGCCAGATAAACTCTTTCTCCCTTAAGCCGCCTTTGTCAGCATTTTATTACAGCAACCGAAAACACACTAAAGCCTTAAGTGAACTGCAGGAGACTTCTGCATGGTCTTGTGGCGAGAAGGTGCCCATCTCCAGTTCCCACACAGTGGACAGAATCTCGATTGAGTCCAGAGGTGCTGTTCTTCAGTCTCTGGTGGGAATTAGCATTGGGGATAATTGGCTAGTTATCCAGAGGAGGGCCTCTCTGGTCCTCTCTGGGGCTTCTTGGGTTTAGGACCTAGTGGCCATCGTTGTCCCCAGACCAACCCTGGGAGACAGTTGGATTCATTTAACTGATCTTATTTCACAAGCTAACATCTCAGACTACAAAGGAATATTGGCCAGAAAACAGTACTTCTCATTAGCTCTGAGCCGTCTGCTCAGTCACCTCCTTTGTCTTTGTTAACTCATTATTTAAGCTCAGACAATCGTTTAACGCCTGAGTTTTGATCCCTTGGCATATGTGGTATGGGCTTTGCACTAGTTTGACTGGGGGCTTCTTTTGACTCAAGGAAAATACCACCCATGTTTCTTTAGAATTTCTTTCCACCTCAAATTCCTCTGTCCTTCATTTTACCTGCTTGTCTGCCCTTAGAAACGGTGCAAGACCTGCAAACTGTAGCCCTGCCCTCCGCCAGTGTTGAAAGTAAATAATACATTTATGTAAGCATTCTATATCGGCAGATCCCCTCACCCATTGCATAACTGTTTGTCTGTTTTCTGTGTCTCCTCTTGGATTAACTCGCAGAAGTGGGTAGGTAGTTGTAAGACAGACCGAGTCCTCTGAAGGTCTGAGATACTTACTGTTTGCTGACTTCTGCAGAAGAAAGACTGGTATTGAATGGTGCTGGAAGGCAGAAAGGAAGGGAGCTAGCAGGGCAGTTAGGAGAAACTTTCCACATTTAGAGCCCAGGGTAATAGCCGAGAGCACCTATCTCAGAGTGTTCTGGGTCTTGGAGCTAGAGTAAGGAAGACAGAAAGGTGAGGGATAAGTAGGACCAGCCAGTGTGATCCAGGAGAGCTGGGAGCAGAGCTTTCATGTAAAATCTTGCATGGCTGGGCCCTTTATGTCCTCAGACTGGTCTCTTGTCTGGATATGGGAGTACATATCTGTCTGTCTGTCTTTCTTAGTAGATCCCATGGTTTTACCTCTTTGTAGATATTTTTCTTGCTGGTTTTATGACCTAGGCTCAGGTGAAGCAAATCAACCCATATAAATCCGGGCATTTCACATGATTCCATTGTCTCTTCCATTTTCACAGTCTCGTCTGCCTTCCTACATTACCAGTGAGGTTGATTTATTTCTTTAATTGTCTCTTGATAATCCAGGTACCTGTCGTGCTGTTGTTCACTTTGACAGGGGAACACAAAACCTTCCTTTCTTTGAGCCTTGTTTCTGCCTTCCCCACTAGTCACTGTGGCTGCTTGTCTGCAGTACCTGTCCTGAGTCAGGAATATGTCACTTGGAAAAGTGAGGCCCCTGAATCCCTTCCTTCTTCATGTGTTTCAGGCTCGGGATGACATCCTGAATGGCTCTCACCCTGTCTCCTTCGAGAAGGCGTGTGAGTTTGGTGGATTTCAAGCCCAGATACAGTTTGGACCTCACGTGGAGCATAAACACAAGCCTGGATTCTTAGAGTAAGTGCTCCTCTATTATTTTTCTCCCCCTCTTTCCCCCTGTTTACTTTTGAGGGGGAACCCAAGAGGTACCTCCTTGTCCCAATTGGTTATATGAATTGACTTTCATTCAGCTGAGTTTGGGACCCAAAATGCAGATGTTGTTGGTAGAGTAAGATATGTAAAAATACAGACTCGTGACTGTCAGTATTACCCATTCTTCATCCCCACGATAGATGATTCTTTCTTTGCTGGAGAGTCTGTGATACCTGGCCAGTTGGTTCCCACACCCAGCTCTTTTAAGATGATGGAACCCCAAACAGGATAATGGCTAAGCCAACTCTCTAGCCTAGGTTTGAATTCTTTATTAGAATCTTAACAGTTCTTGGTTGCTTTGGGAGCACAGTGTACACATGGATTCTTGGTCATGGCCTTGTCTCTCTTTTCTAGAAGGATGGGGTGGTTTCTTTTCTCTACCTCTGTACTCTGGTGCCTATATAAGAAAGGTGACTTTACAGATTCACTGTGGCCATGCAGAACAGGGGCCCTTGGCTTCACCCTCTTGAAAACACCCTACTGGGCAGGCTGCCGCTTGCCTGAGGTTGCCTTTGTCTTGGTGTGGATCTGAATTTTCCTAGGGGCTTTATGCATTGCTTCCTTTGATGCTGTTCTTTATCTGTTGTCCTCCCTCTCCTTTTCCCACTCTAATTCCATTAGTATGATGCATTCAGATGAGGATAAAAGTAATCTACCATTCTCATCAGTGTCCAGGTCACCTAGAATTATAACCTGGAGGGAGGTGGGGTGGGAAGCTTATGTAAATTCCACCAGAGGAAGATTTGGCCATCTCAAGATGTCTTCAGTGGGTCATCTGTAGTGCTGGGGGTGGCTTGAGGGGTGAGGGTAAGGCAAGCATTTTGGACCTTCATGTTCACTTTGGTAGAAGGTTGGAAGCAGCCTGTGCCCTTGAGAAAAAAAGAAAGAAAGCCCAGCTTTTCTCCTGAGCTCTGGCAATGTCAGATAGCACACCTTGCTATGTGGTCCGAACTGTGCTGTTAAAGAAAAGACACTACAACATTAGGTTGAGTTAATGAACCCCAGGAGCTTTTGCAATGTGAGGCTTTATGCTATAATATGCATTCAGCAAACTTGAGTCTGAGGTGGCCTTGAACAGTTCCTGTTATGATAGTCCCTATTTCCCAGATAAGTTGTCTGGCCAAGTGCTCCTCTGGGCCCTGTTCTCCACGGCTGGACTGGCTGCCTTCTGTAGGATCCCTGGGGAAATGTGTCCTTCTGTTCTGTGACACTATGTGCCTTGCTAAGGGCACCATGCTTGTGTTCTTTTCATGGATTTCACATTCACAAATTCAACCCTCACACTCGGTCAGTCTCTCAGCTGACCTCTGCTTCCACAGTGACCGCAAATGAACAGGAGAAAGTGGAGGGCAGATTAAGGCGACAAAGACACTGTAAGTCAAGTACGTCACTCGCTTTAGGCTTTCCTAACTACAGCCTTGTTAGCCTCCTTGATGTCGTGTGTTCTGTCACCCAGATTGTGACAGGTGTTCCTTTCCCTTGTTGATAGCCATTTGTACAGCAGTCAGTCTGGCGCTGGTCTGACAGATGTCACTGCAGACTGGTCCTGTTGTCAGCTGCATGCTCACACCAACCAAAATGTCTTGGCCATCCGACCATCTAACAGCTGATGCTAGGTAGTTGTATTGCTTAGGACTTTCTTTTCCTAGGTGAAGCCTGCATCTCTCAATAGTTTGTGTCCCCTTGCTCAGATTCTAAATTAAAACAAACTTGTTATGCCTGGTAGCAATTATTTCTTCTCTTGCATTTGATTTACTTTTTAATTAGACCAGATCTAGTCTAGGTAATGAAGCTTTTTCATTTACTGTAGATACTTAATTGTGCATGTTCTTGTTTCCACTGTATTGGTGAAGATTGCTGAGGAGGTGAGCCCCCCTCTTAATTAAAGCAAACCTTCAGGGCCACACTTCTGATTTGTAGATTGAATGTTGGATGCTAGTTTTGCTTAGGTTATTCCTGGAGACTGACTAGACTTGCGTTAGGAGACCTGGTAACTAACACACACGTTCTCTCTCTCTCTCTCTCTCTCTCTTCTCTCTCTCTCTCTCTGTCTCTCTCTTGTACTTTTTTTTTCTTTTGTTCCATGTAGCCTTCCTCCCTGCTTTTCACCTAAACAATTAAGAGTTTGCAAACTGAACTTGTAAGAGCAAGATGAACAGAGCCACTGGGAATTTCAGCCATGTAATAGGTGAACAAGATGTGAAGAAGTGCGCATAATATTATGATTTTTAAAAAGTTTTTTTTTTCTAGCACTTGTGTTTAATATCAGCACACTCGGGACATTTTCCTGAAAGTGTCTTCTGATTCTCCCGCAAGCTTTTCAGTGATTTCTAGACTCAGCACCACATTAGCAAAGATTCTGATTTAGAATAACAGAAATCAGTGCTAGGCATGCTGGGACGTGCCTGGAATCCCAGCACTTAGGATCATCCCTACAAGTCTGCACGGTAGAGCCAGGTGGTGGCGGTCCACACCTTTTATCCCAGCATTCAGCAGGCAGAGGCAGGTGGATCTCTGTGAGTTCAAGTCCAGTCAGGACTTGTACACAGAGAAACCATGTCTTGGGGCGGGGAGAGGTAAGGTTGCAAGTTGGAGGTCAGCCTGGACCACTTAACAAGTTTTAGGCAAGCCTATATTACATAGCAAGACCCTGTCTCAAGAAAGGAGGGAGGCGGAAAGAAAGGAAAGAAGTAGAAAATGGGCCAGCAAGATGACACAGTAGATAAAGACATGGTCCACAGAAGCCTGACACCTGAATAAAATCATCAGAACTCACATTCCACCCACACATATTCCTAAATATAGCCTGCTCGGTCCATATAATGTTATTTATTTGTATGTATGTTTTTCATGGCTGTTTGGTAAAGCTTTAAAAACAAAATAACAGCGTTGTCCTTTAATTTCCCGAAGACTGGCATATTTATTTATGAAGTTGCAGCAGTGTAGAGAAGACAAAAAGACACCACATACTAATTTTTTGATGATTCCTTAAGTCTACCTTGTCTGCTCTTTAAATTTTATTTTTGATAATTATATGTCTGTGCATGCTTCTATGCTATATGTGGGTGAAAGCGAGGCCAGATAAAGAGGTCCATCTTTTGGAGTTGGGATCCCAGGATCTTGTCAGCCACCTGATGGAAGTGCTGAGATCTGAGCTCCAGACCTCATGATGGAGCGGTCAGTGCTGTTAACACAACATCGTCTCTGTTGCATTAACTGTAGGGTGGTCTGAGTGTGAACTGTTTCTAGTAAGGCGGGGAGACTATGGTCCCGGAGCTGAAGCTGCTGAGAGAGACTGACACAACCCAGGCCAGTTTAAAGAAGAAATAACTCCTAAATCAGCAGCAACGCAAAACATTGTAATCACGACTCCCTCCATGAGCCTTAGAAGCCCGTGGAAAATGTGAAGGAGTGTTGAGTGAAAGCCTCCCATAGGCCTTTAGTGTTGGTGAAGACGAGAGTTACTGATGAGCCTGAGACATTAGGTCATCTGTTATAGGTGGAACTTGTTATAGGTGGAACTTGTTATAGGTGGAACTTGTTATAGGTAGAACTTGAATGGCGGTAACACTAGGAGACGAGTGTGTGAAGTGCTCACTATGTGAATCTTCAACATCTTCAAGTGTCTAAAATTGTTCATAACCAAATTATTGAGGGGGTGCTGATGTGTAAGAGCCTGATGTTCGGTCCCCAGCATTGGCAAAATTCCAGAACATGGAGACTAGGGCTTTAGCTCGTGTGGTAGTGCTTGTCTAGGAGCATAGACTCCTTGCATCCCAGACCCTTAGAGATGGAGGAGGGGGACCAGGGGTCGAGGACATTCTCAGCTACAAAATGTTTATGACTATAAGCAAATGTTTTTTCATAGCATATTTGTTCTTATTTTGTGTGTGTGGATATTTTGCTTGTTTGTGTATATGTTTATCCCAGCACGGTAGCTGAGGAGGGCCAGAAGAGGACATTAGAACCCCCAGGAACTGGAGTTACAGATGGCTGTGAGCTGCCATTCAGGTGCTGGGACTCGAACCCCAGTCCTATGCAAGAGCAGAAAGTGCCTTACTGCTGAGCCATCTCTCTAGCCTCAAGTGATCTTGAAAATAGAAAAGGCACGGAGTGTCACATTTCAGAATGCTTGAAAACACCAGTGACTTCTTAGAGGAAGCAATACATCCCAGAATTTGCCTCTTGTGTTTAAAAACACACCCACAAGGAAAAAAACGAGTATGTTATTATTCATAGCTACAGGGAGCATAGAATATGTTAAAATATTTGTGAGAACTAACTCCAAAAAAGTAGCTCCTATTAGAGATGTCAAGAAGGAACCAGGTTTGATGGCATGCGCCTGTAAACTCGGGACTCAGAAAGGGTCATTCTTGGCTACCTAGTGAGCTTAAGGCTAGCTTGGGCTACATGAGACCCTGTCTTAAAAGGAGGAGCTCAGTGCGTAAGGATTTTTGCTGCACAAGCACAAGGACCTGAGTTCAAATCCCCAGCTACCTTGTGGCTCCCTGAGACAGGAGTATACCTATAGGCTGCCATTCTTGCCCCAGGTTTGTTTAGAGACACTTACTATCAAGGCAATAGGGCACAGAGTGATAGAACGGGACATACCTTTGCATGTGACACAGTTACATACACAAACACTCAATAAATCAAACATGGTACCGTTAACATGGACTTCTTCATGACAGGTTTTCTTAGTTACGGTTTCTATTGCTGTGAAGAAACACCATGACCATGGGAACTCTTATAAAAGAAAACATTTAATTGGGGCTGGCTTACAGTTTCAGAGGTTTAGTCCAAGATCATCATGGTAGAACATGGAGGCATGCAGGCAGACATGGAGCTGGAAAATCATCTGAGAGTTCTGTATCTTGATCTGCAGGCAGCAGGAGTCTGTGTCCCAGTGGCCATACTTGAGCTTCTAAGACCTCAAAGCCTGCCTTCATGGTGACACACTTTCTCCAAGGAGACCACATCTACTCCATAAGGCCACACCTCCTAATCGCGCCACTTCCTCTGGGCAAAGCATTTAAATACATGAGTCTATGGGGGTTTTACCTATTCAAACCACCACACAGGCATATAAATAACGGAGAATAAGCTTTTTATGGTATGAAGTATTTCCCAATTAGCATCACGTTTCAAAAGATAGTTGCTGTAGTCTGGCTCTGAGGTGGGAACCTGTCCTCCTCACACAGGGTGGAGATAGAGTAGGTTACTAGGTGTTCACACCAGCCCCAAAGGTTCTGTGTGTCTGTGTGAAGGTAGTGTCTCTTGGTGGAGGGCGGGCAGGCAGGAAACAGGCAGAGGAAGCCTCTGACCATGGCTACTGGCGCCTCTGCTCCCTGGGCTGTCCTTCCAGTCAAGTATTTACCAAGAGAACAAAGCAATCCCAGAGATGAATCTGGGTTCCGAAAGAATTCCAAGTGAACTTGGAAAATTTCCCCCACAAACTCTAGGTAATTCTATTGTCAACAAGCAAAGCTCTCGGCACAGTAGGAGGCCCGAATCAGTTTTTAAGCTGGTGCCAGTTCAAACAGTACTTCCCCCTCCCCAGCTGGTGTGCTTTTGTGGAATCTTTGCTTTCAGACTGATCGTGCAGGAGACCTTCCAACCTGGGCTTTTCTTCGTCTGTGGCCTGCCCTCGGCACCTCACCATCTCTGTCCCACTGCATTAAGAGTAAACTGTGCTAAGAGACACTTGTCTGCATGAGTGTTTCCCTGTTGCTTATACCTATTTGTGGGTCTCACAGCCCAGAGCTCTCCTCTCAGGGTGGTTAAATGAGGACTAGTGACACCTTTTTTCCATGTCTGTTCCTTGCAGCCTCCAGGCCCTGCTTCCCTGCCTTATGACATTCCAACTCAAGAACACAGCAAACCAGCAAGACCTGGATTAATCCAGCCCTGTGCTGACTCTTGAGTTCCTGGGCAGTGGCCTGGGCTGCCTGGGCTGGCTGTACAAGGGTGTTTGGACTAGTTTGGGATCGCAGAACCACTGCGAGGGTAAAATAAATCTTCAGACCCAATTCCTGCACTTCTTCCAGGCTGCTATGATTAATGGGTCCCTTCCACACTTCAGGGATTGCCCACATGCTAGACTTAACAAGAGGGGTCTTTAGGATGCTGCGAGGCCATCAAGATCATGTAGATGGGACCTCAGGATACTGTCAGGACCCTTGTAAAGATGAGGTATCAAGCTAGTATATTCATCACCTGGATGAGGACTCAGTGTCCCTCCACTCTGTAGGGCGCAACCCTCTCCAGATGACTGAACATAGGGTCACCTTGGTGTCACATGCCCTGGGCTGCAGGACTATGAGACACAAGTTTCTGCTATTTATAAATGTCTCGGGCTATGGTTGCAGATGGGCCCATGTGCCTTTCTCACCCTCATCTTAAGATGGTTACTTTTTGTGGCCGCTCCAGGCATTCCCAGCTCACCCAGGACTTCCTTCAAGCCGTGGTCTTGCCGCAAGCCACCAGAGCTTACCCAGCGCTCTCAGCCACACAGACATTTTGATCTTGAAATCTGGAGTCAAGTCCAAGTCTTTTGGTTTGTAATTTGAGCTGGCTGCCCAGGGCTTGTGGTGCCTCTGCCTCGCTCAGAACCAGGGCTTGCTGGCATATGCCACTGAGCTCGAGCCCCTTAGCAGGTCCTGGGGAGGCTGAAAGTTGACGTACCTAGCAGGTTCCTAGCTGGTGCTGATGCTGCTGATCCAGGGACCACACTCTGCAGTGTCTAGGACACCAGCTAATGATGCTGTTGTTGTTATTTGGTGACTCAACTGTAAAGACTGAAGTGAAAATGAAGCTGGTTTTCTGTGTCCTTTTGGTGGTACTGCTCCGTTCCTGCCACTTCAGGCTCCTGTAGCCTCTGCCAGGGGGACACTTCACATCTCTGTGTGTCCCCTTTCAGCCTTCACTCCTCGTGAATTGGGCACATTCTTGTCAGCAAATGTAAGCTATAACAATCCTCTTTGCTCTTCAGGTGATTTAAAGCCAGTGTGGAGGTGGCTGTTGCCCCTTTGGTGGCAATTCTGGGACATGTGGGGACAGTAAACATTGTCCCCAGCAGTAGCAGCTTCCCTACCCATTCTCAGTGTATTGTCACACCAGGGACTCTTCTGTTGGAATTGCTGGTTCAGGCAGCTTCAATTTTACGTAAGAAAATAGGGTTTTGGTATATGTATGAGAAAATAGGAATCAGCCTTTAAGGAGACCCTGCCCGTTTGATAACATGGATGAACCTGAAGACGTGTAAATGAAATAAGCAAGACGGAGAAATTGAAATGCTGCGTGTGGAGAAGGGAAGTATAACTCATTGACAGTACACCTGCCTGTCATGTGCAAGGCCTGGGTTTGTTCCTCAGATGGAGGGAAGGGGAGAGGAGATGGGGGCCAGGGGAGAGAGAGAAAGCAGATAGAGACAGCAGCAAGATGGAGGGATGATGAAAATCAAAGAGCAGTTTCAGTTCTGTGGACAAATGACTGAAGAGCAAGGGACCCTAGTTAATATGTCTCCTGGAAATCTGCTAAGAAAGAATTTAGCTGCTTCATCCATGACATACACCAACATTATGAGCCGATAGATATACTAGTTTGCTTGTTATGGTAATTCTTTAATATGCCTGTGTCTATCAAATGTATTATATACCTTCAAATATAAACAATAAAAGTAATATTGTAAGTAACCCATAAAAGGAAAGAACTTGAGGTTTAGTGAACATCTGGGTTTGAGACCAGGTCTGGTTTTCTTCCAAATCACTCATCTCTGATTACAGCAGTGTCTGGGCACTTTAAAAAAAAAAAAATCAACTGGTACTGTGTCACCCTACCTGTGTGGTTGGTTCTTCCTTTCCCTTCCCTTCCCCTCCCCTTCCCTCCCTTCCTCTCCACAGGCATTGGAATTCTGATCTCAGTTAATATCATGAGGCTAAAGGGTAGCTTGAAGGTATTGAGTGTGCAGTGGTATAGTCAGTGTCTCTGGAGCCCAAGAAGGAGGATTGAGTTGGAACCAGGCACTGTGACCTTGGGTGACTCATTCCCAATGGGATCCATTCCTCCTAGGGCCTTGGTCAGAAAGTCTCTTCCTAACCCATGTAAAAGTAGAAGAGAACAGACATCTCCACACATGTGTGCCCATACACACATATGGGCATGCACATGCAATCATCACGACATATTAAATGATGATAAATAATAAAATTTAAGTAGTAAGTCAACATTTTGGTTCTTATTTCTTTTGTTTATTCCATCTTAAGGTATATCTCACTAGGGATGTATAGTCAAAGGACTGTTTTCCAAAATTACTTGGAGTTGTTATTTTTCTGATAGCAATAGTGTCAACACAACGTACTTTCTTAAAGTTTGTACCAATGTACTTTAGATTTTTAGCTATTTCTTGGCAATTTCGTTTGTTCCACAATGAAAAAACCCTAAAACAAGCTATTTTGACTAACCTGGTTTCATCTGATCCATTCTTGTTTTCCTTCTTCTTCCTGGGGAAAACATTTTTCATTAGTATTAGATTAGTTTCCCATGATTTCCTTAAAAAATATAATTGTTGGGCTGGAGAGATGGCTCAGTGGTTAAGAGCATTGCCTGCTCTTCCAAAGGTCCTGAGTTCAATTCCCGGCAACCACATGGTGGCTCACAAACCATCTGTAATGAGATCTAGTGCCCTCTTCTGGCCTGCAGACATACACACAGACAGAATATTGTATACATAATAAATAAAAAATATAATTGTTTTTATAATTTTGAAATAAAATGTTTTTACAGTAAAAATACTGTATTCTGTGTCTTGAAAAGGGACGCATGCTGTAGCTGTGTGTGTTGGAAGCGTTTGTCTTTTCACTTGGCAGTGCATGCTGGACCTCCCTCCTTTAAATAAATAAGTTGCCTCCCTCCGGGGGGTGTCTCTCTTAAGTGCATCCTGGGTGCTACCTCCTAGTATCATGTCATGAGATGCTGGGAGTGTTGGTGACCTATCTGAGAGTTTAACCAACAGTCCCTGCTTCTCCACAGAGTGTGGTAAATGCTGTCTCTCCCCTCCCCCTCTCTCCCTCAGTCTAAAGGAATTCCTTCCGAAAGAATACATCAAGCAGAGAGGAGCCGAGAAGCGGATATTTCAGGTATTGGCACTGTACAGAAATTCCTTCTTCCCCTTCCCCTTCGTCCTCATCCATTCTCCGGAGGTACATCTCACACATGGTAGTTTGGTGCCCCGTGCATGTATTCTTCTATAATGAATGATCCGTGAGTCAGGAGGATAGAAGCTGACAGCTCTGCTTTGGACAGATTTATTATCTTAATTCATACTTTCTTGCTAAAGGTTACTTAGCTCTTCTGAGAAAAAAACGTGCATGCATTTAATTTCAAAGGCATTATGCTGGTAACATTGAAACAAGGTGATGGGCCATTAAGCTGCTTTGGGAAAGACACAAAGAACTCCTTTGTCCTGAGATTTGGTTTTTTTTTGAAGCTAGAATTGGGGAGCTTGGGCCTTTTGAAAAATCTCGGATTATTTTTAAAGTCAGTGACTTGTCCATCATAGACAGTCAACAAGAAAAGCCCAGCTATCCACATGACCTTGAAACATTCTGGTGAATCCAAGCTCTCGAGCTTCTCTGACTTTGAAATAGAAATAAAAGCTAAAATATAAATTGTGTGTATATAAAACATTTTTATTCAATATCCTTTCCAAACACAAATAAATCAGACATGTATGTGCCTTGCTCCATAGAAAACACATTCCGAATCAATGGTAGAAGGACACCTGTCTGTCCTGAGAGGGACATCTTTCTTGCTATTGCTTAAAATGTGAACCCTGGGTCCTTTTGGGTATTGGGTCCTCTGAGGATGCAGTTGTCCTTGGGGCAGCTACTCCTGCCATGCTGGATAGGGACATGGGTCCTTGCACTCCACCGTAACCTACGTGGGAAGCCCTGCACTTAAGCCTCCCACAGGCTCAGTGTCTTGAAGGAGCTGGAGAGATCTGATGCAGAAATGTCATCACTCCTGTTCCCTGGGCACCTTACCTGTAGGGACCTCCTCTCACTGAGTCCAGCTGATAGCTGGCTACAGTAACAGTAACACGCCCACTGTTGCTTTTGCAGGAGCATAAAAACTGCGGGGAGATGAGTGAAATAGAAGCCAAGGTCAAATATGTCAAACACGCCCGGTCCCTCCGGACTTATGGAGTGTCCTTTTTCCTGGTGAAGGTGAGTGGCCGGCCGGGGTTGGGGGGCGCGGTTTACCTAAAGCAGATGTGGCATCTGGCCAATCATGACCCAGATCTGCCCGTAGCACATGAACTCCAGGCTAGTGTGTGAGCCTCCTGACAGCTCCGACTGGCTCACGTCCCAAGGGAGCAGTCTTGGTGCTGCTCTTCTGACCTTCTTGGAGGTCAGCTGACTCAAAGCCCTAGAGTCCTCTAGAATAAGTGATCAGGGTTGACCACTGGCAAACAAATTGAATTTGTGTCACATGTCATCCTTAATTTGTCCCAGTCCTGAAACTGACCCTTTGTGAAAAAGAACCAAACTCTTCTCGGTATCTTTTGAGGGCTTGAGGGTCACAGAGTGCTTTGTTCTCTCCTATTCCCTGTTCTGACAATGCTGTGGCCTCCTCTTGTGAGGAAGCTAGATCTGTCTGTCTGTCTGTCTGTCTGCCTGCCTGCCTGCCTGTCTGCCTGCCTGCCTGCCTGGCTGTCTGCCTGGGTCCCTTCCTCCCTCCTTCTCTCCCTCCTTCCCTCCCTCCCTCCCTCCCTCCCTCCCTCCCTCCCTCCCTTCCTCTCTACCTACCTACCTTAAGACAAAAATCTCATTGTTAGGGGTCCTGGCTGACCTTGAACTTGAAGAGGACTGTCTGTCCCCTGAGTACTAGGTGCTAAAGATGGTTTTTGTTGTTTTTGTTTGGTTTGGTTTGGTTTTTTTTTTTTCTTTCTTCAAGACATTGGTTTCTCTCTGGAACTCACTGTGCAGACTAGGATGGCCTTAAATTCAGAGATCCACTTGCTTCTGCCTCCTGAGTGCTGGATTTAAAGGTGTGTGCCACCACACCCAGCCCAGAGATATTTTTGAGCTTAGGCATCTGTTTCCATTGTGTCTTTACCATTTAGTCCCATCCTATTTAAGCAAAGTGTCTTAATTAGGGTTTTGATTGCTATGAAAAGACACCATGACCATGGCAACTCTTACAAATAAAACATTTAATTGAGGTGGTGGCTTAGAGTTTCAGAGGTTTGGTTCATTATTATCATGATGGGGAGTATGTCAGTGTACAGGCAGACTTGGAGCAGACATCTTTGACCAGAAGGCAGCAGGAAGTTAACTGATGACTGAAAAAAGAGACCGCAAAGCCCACCCCACAGTGACACTTCCTCCAAATAGACCACACCTCCTCCAACAGGGCCACACCTCCTATTAGTGCCACTCCCTTTGGGGGCCATTTTCTTTCAAACCACCACACAGATAGTCTCTTCATTTACAAAGGGAAATCTTGATGACAGTGATCTTGTGGAGTCTGGGGTCTGTGAATGATGCATGTTTTAGTGAGCATCGGGACTGCTTTAAGTGCAAGCGCAGGTTCCCAAACATCCCCCAAACATGCATTCTACACGAATGTGAATATACACACCTACTTTACTGAGGACAGTTGTGTAGGTATGTGCACATACCACTGAAAAGTCTTTCTGATAGTACTGAAAGTTTAGCTATAGTAAATAAAATTTTAGTAATAAGGAAAACTGTAGCAATCACAATCATTATCAGCATCTTTTCATGTAACATACCAGACCTCTTAAAATGTTTGTTTGTTGAGCCAGGTATGATGGCTCTAATTTCAGATCTTGGGAAAGAAAGGATGATACAGAGTTTCAGGTCATCCCTGGCTATGTAGTGTGACCTGATTCTCTCCATTATATATAAATTTTATGTTGTTGTGGTAGGATCGTGTATCCTGTAGTTTTTATTTTATATATGCTGAATGATTTACTTCCATAAAATCTTTTTTCCTACAAAGTTTATCTTTATCTGTGTGTGTATTTATCTGTGTGTATGTACATATGTGTGTGTGTGTGTGTGTGTGTGTGTGTGTGTGTGTGTGTGTGTATGTGTACCATGTGCATGAAGTACCTTTGGCAGTCAGGTTAGGATGTCCGGTTCCTTAAAACTGAAGCTATGGGTTAGCTGCCATGTGGGTGCTGGGAACCAAATTCTGTTCTTTTGCAAGAGCAGCAAATGCTGTGAGCCACTGAGCCATCTCTCCGGTCCCACAAAATGATTTTTAAATATTGTAATATGTTTCTTGAATGTGCCATACTTTATTTATATGAAGTTTTCTGTTATTGGAAACTGGGGATCTTTCTAGCCTTTCCCTAAGTCAAACTCCATTTGTATTTCTTGTGACCAAATAATTAAATACACTTAAAAGTTTTATAAAACAAAAAAATTTCTAGAGGCAGGCTGTGTCAAAGTTTTAAGCCTCTGAATGGGTAGGTATTGACATATTCTCTTTTATAAAGGGTTGTCGTTTTTTAAGGTGTGTGTGTGCACGTGCGCAAATGTTAATGTAGTTAGCACCTGTGGAGACCAGAGCCATCAGATTCCCTGGAGCTGAAGTCACAGGTGGCTCTCAGCCGCCTGAGCTGGGTTCCCAGAGGCAGACTCCGGCCCTCTCGAAGAGTCGTGCATGCTCTTCACTGCCCGGCATCTCTGTGGCCTCGGGCTGGACCATTTTTAACTTCCATTAGTTATGAATTAATTTCTTTCATACCTTCTTCAGTTCTGAGAATTAATTTTAGAACACTGTTTGACATAAGTGAAATCTTATTTCCTAAATTTTTGTTGTTAGAAATACTGTCTGTATTATTTTTTGGAAGGTATTTTGTTTGTTCGTTCTTTTGGTTTTGCTGATGTATAAGAACGTTTCAGAGATAGCAAAGGGCAAGTGTCTAGCATATGCTTGGCACATGTCCTGCAAGCATTTATTCTCTGAACCTCCACTTCCTAATCTTTCTTCCCATGAGACTTACTTCTTGTGACTTTCCTCTGTCACTCTGTCTTTGTGTCTCGCCTATCCTGTGTGTTGGAATTCTGTGCTCTCTCTCTCTCTCTCTCTCTCTCTCTCTCTCTCTCTGCCTCTCTTTCTCCCTCTTCCTCTCTCCCTCCCCTCCCTCTCATCTTCCCTCCCTCCCTCCCTCCCTCTCCGTCATCTGTGTGTGTTGTGCTAAAGCGCTTTCTCCTTTCCATTATTCTTATTCAATGTTTTTGCTGGAACAACACTTCTTACCCAGAAGTCTCAAAAATATACCCACCTGGCACACACCTTTAATCCCAGCACTAGGGAGACAGTGGCAGGCAGGTCTCTGTGAGCTCGAGGCCAGCTTGGTCTACAAGAGCTAGTTCCAGGACAGGCTCCAAAGCTACAAAGAAAGCCTGTCTTAGGGGGAAAAAAAATCCACCTGTGTTCTTCCTAAATCATTAACAAATCAAAAGGTTTAGCATAAGTGTGAAGGAAGAATCAATTATTTTAATGGATAACATTATATTTTTAAAGACTATTAAATTAATCATTAATGCTGTTTTTAGAATCACCTGGAGTCCCAGCACTTATGAAGCTGAGACAGGATGCTTACAGTTTGTTCTAGCCCAGCCTGGGCCCTATATCAAAGAAACAAAATTGGGATGGGGGGTGCTCGTTATCCACTATATGCCTGTAAGAAACTGCATAGCACCGCAGCATGTACAGTGAATATACACTGTGACAAATCTTCAAATGCTAGATAACGCCCCAAAAACAACGCCACAAAGACTCAAGACCTGTCGCTGTGCAAAAGCAAGGGCTGGGAGAGGAAGTGGATTGCAGGGATGTATTTAAAGGGAAAGAATCTCTCCCTCTGTAGAAGAAGATCCTAATTGGGCCATTTGGGTTCACTTTAAGGGTTTGAATTATACAGTACACCTCTTTGATTTTTTTTACCCGCCCACATACATCCTGGGATTTCACCTCCCATTCTCTTTCTGGGTGTATCTCCAGTTCAGTCCCTTCTTTCTGACACAGCTTTGGAACAGCCCCTCTGCTGAATAAGTGTTCCTATACAGGAAGCTGCACACTTTTATGAATCTCTCCAGTGTCCCGGTGTCCTCCTGCCCCATCCCTTTTTCTCAGTGAGTTATTCCCCTGGCTTTTCTAAAAGCCATACACGGTTTGTAAACAAACTGCAGGTAAAACACACTAAAAAACCAGTGTATTCTAGAAAGGCTGATGACCCCTGGCTTCCCTCTTTCCAGGAGAAAATGAAGGGCAAGAACAAGCTGGTTCCCCGCCTCTTGGGCATCACCAAGGATTCTGTCATGCGGGTGGATGAGAAGACCAAGGAGGTGCTGCAGGAGTGGCCCCTCACCACAGTCAAGCGCTGGGCAGCTTCACCCAAGAGCTTCACACTGGTAGGGACAGCAAGACCCCGAGGGGACTGAAATATGTGGTCCTAGGTAATACTGGAGGGCAGCCTGTGGGTACAGCTGGTCTTAAAGGGCTAGCATAGAGGGAGAAGGTGGTGCAGTCTATGGGCGTACAGGGCACTGGAGCAGAAGTAAGGGGCTGAGCAGCTCTGGGATCCTCCGTGTACCACCTCTCTCATGTCCTATCCAAGTCTTCTCGGAGTTCATTGACTGCAAGGTGAACTTGTAACCCTCAGGCTTATGTGTGAGTCCTCCTCAGAACTGCACTGTTGTGCTGAGGAGCCCAGCTGCCTAGAAAGAATACAGGCTGTGTGTAAACATTGTAGAAATCTGGGGTATTACTAAAACTCTACGATGTCACTTCCTAGCTTCGTGACCTTGTTCAAGTTACCTTTTCTCTCTGAGCCCTGATTTCCCCAGCTTAAATTGGGATAGTAGTGACTGCTTTACAGTGTCTAGCATTGGGTGAGATGATAAAACAGTATGAAGTTCATAGAAAGTAGTTGGCTGTTCCAGGCTTTCTGACCTCTACTCTGTCTCTCAACTTCAAAAATTGCTCTTAGCAGAATATAACTATGTAGCCATCTGGGGGCACATTTACATGTGAATCTTAAAAATGCAAGTAGCTTGCCAAGCAAGTTGAACAAGAAGAAAAGTAAAACAGTACTGGAAGTTGTTAACTGCAGACATGTAGATATTGTAAAATAAGACATTTTAAAAAGTATAAAGGAGTTTGGAAGGAATGATTGGTTACTGTTCTTGTTTCTTTTCTGATGCTCTGATAAAATAACCTTGACCAAAAGCAACTTCAGTCCATTGTTGCAGGCAAGTCCAGGCAGGGACTTAAAGCAAGACATCCAGAGGCAAGAGCAGAGAGAGAATTAACACAATAAACACGTGGAGCCTTAATTACTTGCTCTTGATAGTTGCTTCCTCTCTCATACTGTTGGGGAACTTCTCTGTTTAGGGAATGGTACTGCCCACAATGGACTGGGGCTTCCTGTATCAATTAACAATCAAGACAGTTTCCCCACTGACCAATTCAATCTTGATGACTTCCCAGTTGAAACTGTGTCAGGTTGGCAGTTAAAACATATTTGGGGATAGAGAGACTTGCCGAGAACCCAGGTTCAATTCCCAGCACCCACGTGGTTGTTCACAAGCGTGGGTAACTACAGTTCTGGAAGATCTGATGCCTTCTTTTGAATGTCATGGGCACAAAGCATTCACGTGGTACACATGCGTACATGCAGGCTAACCTCACACACACAGTAACATGAATAAATCTTGGAAAATGTTTAAAACAAAATAAATAAAAAACAAAATAGCAGAGTCACATAATCTGATCATAGATTGATAGGCCCCGATGAGTCTCACCTTCTGTAGTCAGCTGTGGCTGGATGGGCTGCACAGACCCCCAAACATAGACGCTTGTTCTCAGAGAGCTGTGTCCTCTTCTTTCATTGTGGGAAATCATGGAGTATTTCTGAGTTTTAAAATTGGTATACATATAAGCATGATATTTAGGCATACTAGAATAAATCTCTTTAAGACTTCGGAGTGGCACTTCAGGGAAAGTCATTTGAATTGTAACATTTGTGATCGTTACCTGGGTTAAGTGTGGTGCCTCTGCTCCTGTTAACTGCTAGAAAAACCTAAGCCGCTTCATGAGTAGCAACCACTCCAGGGTGGCTTTCAAGTCTTTAATTATAACTGTGATTTTTTTCTATTGTATCAATAAAGATGATTTATATTTTAAGAAAAAGGAAGGCAGGAATAGGTAAGTTGGAGACAATTATATTTGTTATATCTCTTTCAATACCGTTGGTCTTTCCAAAGAATTCTAAGTACTTAAAAATATTATTTTATTTAAAAAATGGAATATATTTTTAACAAGCTATTTAATAGCCTCACCCCAAAGAGAGAATGTATACTGATATTTTCACCATGGTGTAAAGTTAGGTAAAGACTTCTCATATGGAGTTCCTTCTGCCTACTCTCAGCTTTTTTTAATGTCCCAGTTTTTGGTGCTTTCCTGCTGACTCTCTGTGATTGATTTCTGCTTTGGTTCTCTCGTGGTCAGTTGTTTGGAGATCTCCCTGTTGTCTTTCTACTATTGATTTTCTGTTGGATTCCATTATGGTCAGAGAACTTGCTGAAAAGGCATATAGAGTTTTGTTTTGTTTTGTTTTGTTTTCCCCTTTAAGATACTATTTTATGTATATAGATGCTTGCCTGCTGTGGACTATTAGCTATGTAAAGGTGTGTTACATTTGCTTATTCTGCATTTGTTTAACAATGTGAAGATGTATTACATTTGTTTATGCTGCATTTGTGTAGTTATGTAAAGATGTGTTGCTGTTTTACCTTACCTGTCTAAGACGCTTGATTGGTCTACCAAAAAGGCCAATAGGTAGGCAGTAGAGGGATAGGCGGGCCTGACAGGCAGCAAGAATAAGTAGGAGGAGGAATCTAGGCTCAAGGACAGAAGAGAGAACAAGAGACAAAGAGGGGGAGACCAGGGCTAGCCAGCCAGGCAGAGTAGGACATATAGAACGAAAGAAAGGTAAAACCCAAAGGCAAAACATAGATGAAGAGAAAGAGATTAAATTAAGTTATAAGAGTTAGTGAGACAGGAATATGATAAAGCTGATCATTCATAATTAATAATAAGTCTTCGTGTCATGATTGGGAGCTGGTGGTGGCCCAAAAGAAAGCCTGCTACCCTTGCCTGCATATGATTGTGCACCTTATATGTGCCTGATACTCACCCTGGCCAGAAGAGGGCACTAGATACCCCGGAATCACAGATGGGTGTTCCTGTGGGTGCTGCAAACCCAACCCAGGTTCTCTGCAAGAGTAGCAAGTGCTCCTAACCACCGAGGCAGCTCTCTAGCCCTTACCTGTGTTTATTTGTTTGTTTGGGGACAGGTACTCACTATGTGGTTTTGGGTGGTCAGGAACTCATTAGTGGACCAGATTCACAGCCTCTGCCTCTCAAGTGCTGGGAGTTGGTGTGAACCACCCGCCCAGCTCACCTTATCTTTCTAATACAGTCTGGATGTGCTGGCTCTCTCTGAGGGCAGAAGGCACTTCTCCATAGTACTTACTATTGTTCGGTGACCTTGATGGGAAGAAGCAGAAGCCAAATGAGGCCTGTGACACTAAGTGGACAGTGGGGCCACACAGAAATTCACTGTGTTTACTGTTGAAATAAAGTGAACCTTCTCACCTGCCTGGCATGTCTGAGGCCACAGCTCTTCAGCTGCTCGTGAGCTCCACCCCCGTTGGGCTGCATCTCCTGTCTTGCACTCTTGTGGGTTCCACTCTCCTGGTCCCCTGGAAAGAGTAGGCTTTTCAAGAACGGCTAGTACATGCTGAGGTATGCAGGCCTCTCAGTTCTCTGCTTGACGATGAGTGGGTTGCAAAAGAAAGCCCGAGAACTCACCACCTTAGATCCCCTTTAGTCCTAAGGCTCCAGTCCTGTCTATCTACCTTTACAGTTTCTGGAGCCCCTTCCCCCTTTTTATATTGACATTTACTTAGGTGGAGGGCACACGGCACACAGAGGTAAGAAGACAACTTGCCAAAGTCAATTCTGTTCTTCCACCGTATGGGTTCTAGTGAATGAATTCAGGTCCTGAGGCTTGGCAAGTCCCCAGCTTGTTTGTTTGTTTGTTTGTTTCAGAGTCAGTTTCAAGACAGGGTTTCTCTGTAGCTTTTGAGGTTGTCCTGGAACTAGCTCTTGTAGACCAGGCTGGCCTTTAACTCACAGAGGTCCACCTGCCTCTGTCTCCCAAGTGCTGGGATTAAAGGCATGCACCACCACTGCCCAGTTTTTTTTGTATTTGTTTTAATACTCACTGTTGAATAAGCTTTTAGAGTTGACTTTTCCTTTGATCAGAGAGCAGTGAAAAGCGAGCCGTGTCCCAGAACTTTACGGCTGCTCTCCGAGGCCTCAAGATGGCTGCTATATCTAATGCAGCTGTGTTTCTCCTACTGCTGCTTTTCTAGGATTTTGGGGAGTACCAGGAAAGCTACTACTCAGTACAAACCACAGAGGGGGAGCAGATTTCCCAGCTGATTGCAGGATACATCGACATCATCCTCAAAAAGGTATGCTGTGTTGGCAAAGCCCAAGAAGATCAAGGCTCGATGATGGAGCCAGGTTAAGTGAAATTTTTATTTGAAGTGTTCGGTTGACAGACTGAGTTTTCGGCATTAAGACTGCTTGTGTGTGAGATCTCTGACCTTGAATCCCCTGAGCATGTCTAGTTTTGCCGTAGTGTGTATTTGTATCTGCTACTGCTGGATAAGGAGCAGTGGTCTATGTTCTAGTTTGATTTCTCTTGCTGAGACGAGACAGTCTGACAAAAGCAACATAAAGGAGGAAAAGGGTTTATCTGGCTTCCACTTCCATGCCACAGTCTGTCCTGGACAGCATGGGTAGGAACCCTAGTAGGAGCTTGAAATTGGGCCCACTTGCTGTCCTGTATAAGCAGCATACCCTCCAACCAGGCGCTCACAGCCGAGGAAGGAGAGCAGAAACCATGGAAAGATGCAGCTGATGGCTCGTGCTCTGCCAGCTTCCTCGTGCAGTCCAGGAAATGGGACCACCCAAAGCCGGTTGGGCCCTCCTAAGTCAGTTAACAATCACAGCACTCTCCTACAGACATACCCACGGGTCAGATTGTCCAGGGCAGTCCTCAAGCTGAATCAAGCTGATAGTGAAAGCTGCTTGGGATGGTCTCTCCTGGTTCCTCGCTGTTTCTCTCTAGAAAGCTTTTGGCTTTCCTGACTTTGTAGAAACTGAAAGTGTTCATTGTAGTTTTCCTGAGTTTTTGTTCTTGCCCAACATAATGACACCATGCGCCATTGTAGTATATAGAGATGCAGACGTTTTAAGGCTTCCCAATACAACCCATCCAAACAGCCATATTCTGATAGAGTGTTTTTAAGTGTGCCTGACTTCTTTCTGTGTAAGCAGTGATAAACAAGGCTTGATATATTTATATGTCAGGTCACGGGTTTCTGCTTTATTTTCATTGGCATCGTGCTTTTGTTCTTTGCTTGTTAACTCTCCGGTGCACAGAATTTGCAGTAAACTTGAGTATTCTGTTTGTGTCCCCTCACAAGCTCTTTCTGGTGGTCCTGTGCTAAGATTTGCTGATGTTCCTTGTTGTGTCTGTTTTGCCTCCAGAAACAAAGCAAAGATAGATTTGGGCTGGAAGGGGATGAGGAATCAACCATGTTAGAAGAGTCAGTTTCCCCAAAAAAGTAAGTATCCAGGGTACCAGGGATCTGCCTCCTCCTGCGGCGAGGTGGTGATGGGATAGGCAAGGCTTGCTTTTCAGTTATGGCCCCTAGGTGAGCAGTGTGTGTCATGCAGCTGTCCTGTGTGGGCGCTGAGCAGTGCATGGGGACACCGTGCAAGGCATGGTGTCCACCTCCATCTTCAGCAGCAGCCGGTTTTCCTGGGTTATAGTCTGCATTTGAGATATAAATTTCATGGATTGGGTTCTTCCCTCAAGACCTGTAACTTGCCTTCTGTTTGATTCTGTTCTGGGATCTCAGAGGCTTGCCAGTCCATGTGAGGCACTAATGATAGGCCACACTGCTCTCACAGGCTGGGAGGCAGCAAGGAGACAGGGCTAACCGTTTGCTCTTGGAGCTGGAGAGATGGCTCAGCTCTTAAGAGCACCAGCTGCTTTTACAGAGGACCCAGGTTTGGTTCCCACATGGCAACTTTACAACTGCCTGTAACCCCAGTACCAGGAGACTCTGTCACTGGGCTTCCATGGGCACTGCATGCAAGGGGTACACTAGCATGTATGCAGGCAACACACTCATACATGTAAAATAATACAATTAAAAAAATTTTTTTTTCCTCATAGGAACTATGCCCAGAGCAGATCTGGGGTCTGTTCTTTGATTTTTCTACCTTCAGGAGTCTGTATAAGTCAGGAATAACAATAGTATCACTTCGTTATATTTGGTTTTGATGACAGAATCACAAATAATGCACACAAAACATGCACATATTGTTTGTTTGCTAATGTAAAGATTATTGCGATTTCAAATTCAAAACTTGGTGAAGCATTTTTTCTAATTTTTCTTTATCAATAAAAACTCATTGGGGTAAGAACCTGAATGATCAGAGAAGCAGCGGCGGCAGAAAAGCAACTGGGCACCTCCTCTCTCTTGTTCCTCCATCCAAATAGGCCGAGACCCTCTCTAAGCCCCACCCTACTTCTTCCTGTGTCTGTCTATCTGTCCTCAGTCCTCAGAAACCTCTGTGGTTAATTTTGGTCAGCTAGTAGCTAGCTCTGCCCTCTGATTCAAAACAGATTTTATTAGCATCCTCAGGGGTGTCAAAATATCACATAACTTGGGGCTGGGAAAACAGTTCAGCTGTTAAGAATGCTTGCTCCTCTCACAGAGGACCAGAGTTTGGTTCCCAGCACCCACACTGGCTGCTCGCAACCACACAGAATTCCATCTCTAGGGGATCTGACTCCCTCTTTTGGCCTCTCCAGGCACCTGCACGTACCCCCCTCCCCAGACATACACACACGCACACACATAACATTTTTAAAAATTGTGTGATTAAGAACTCTTAGCTCAATTTATTAATGACAGAATGGATTTAATAAAAATAAGAAATATCTAGTACGTGATACTAGCTGAGGAAGCCACATAGACACCCTTAGGTTAAATAGAACTTTGTGATAACTGCTCTTATCTTCATTTTTATTCTGTGTGTCAGCATGCTGTCTCATTTGATCCCAACATAGTTCCTTATGTAAGAGTAAGGCCCATGTTGCCACCCAAAATTTGTTTCCTCTAAGAACACAGGTGGGAATTAGACTGACCATGGCATATTTCAAGGCTGGTGTGTGTTATGCAAGCCTTGTTTCCTTCATCCTGGAATGACTAATGTCCAGCAGATGTAGTAAGTCAGTGCTCCCTGTCAGAGTGAGGTGTTCGTTTGACAGCATCTGTAGCACTTATGTATCCCACAGGAAGAGTCCTGTCAGTGTGGGTGTGCAGAGCGCCAGGGCCCCGCCTGTCTGGGATTCCCTCTACTACTAGTGCATCGTGGGTTTAAGTCCACATGAGCAGGAAGAATGGTCCAGGAGCTCTGATCCTGAGACCTTCCATGTCTTCACATATGGTTCTGGCTGAGGTACAAGAAAGGAACCTCCAGGCCTCCCTCCCTGGTGCCATCTATTCTGAACTCGTATAAACATATGTTCTATATTTATTTTCTATAATTTTGAACAGATATGTTATTTACTTCAATCAGATTCACCCCACATTACCTTCTTCCTCCCGCCTTGTGTTCCCTCTGACCCCTTCTTTCCTCAATGGATCCCACATCCTCTTGATTCTTTGTTTAGTGACCTAGTAAGTTGGATTAGGATTATTTACATAAGCGTGGATGTGGAAAGCATGAAGAACTTACTAGTGTCTACACCACCAAAGAAAAATGACTTCCCTGCCCTGAACAAAAATCAACTCCCATGGGCTCCTCAGCTAGTGCTGGGGCCTCATCAGACCCACTCCGTGCTAGAAGGCTGTGGAGCTTGTTATTTGCAGCTAGTGTTCAGGTAGCCGTGCCTGCTGTGACTCAAGAGTCTAGCAACCACATCCCATTCAGTAGAGCGTTTGCTGCCCTCCTCCCATCCGCTGGCTCCTTTGCATTCGTTCTGCCTCCTCCACACATTCTCTGAACCTTGACCCCACCCCCTCCCCCCAACAAGGGCCAAGGTTATACAGAAGTTCTGTTTAGGGTTGAACACTCAATGGTGATTGTTCTCCACACTTTGACCTCTTAGGACTCTTCATTAACCACCGCCCACCTCTGCTCACATTTTTGACTCTCTCCGCTTTTCTATAACTTGGTTAACAGTGATGGTCTGAGGTCGTCCCCACCTCTTGATATAAAATCTCTCTTCCCTCTTCACCTCTACAGGCATACCTGGGTTCCCCAGACCCCTGCACCCCTTGTGGCTTCCTCACTGGGTTCCTGAGAAACTGCCTTCCGTCTAGCTCCTTACTCACACATGTGCAAAGTCCTTTGCTCATTTACCACTCATTCTAAACACCTTAAGGTGGTGTGTGTGTGTGTATGTGTGCGCGTGCGTGCAAAAATCCTAACCTCTGGTTGGAGTCTTTTGGAAAAGTTGCAAGAGTCTCCCAAGCCTCTGTGGTCACTAGACTTGAACTCATGAGAGGTTTTCCTTAAATTTATTTGCACATTTTCCCCATCAAGCTAAGGGTGGATACCATCTATTGTTCCCTAGACTAAAAGCCTATTGAAAATTTTCTTTCGGTATGACTGACCAATTGTTAGATTAGAGTATTACAACCTTCCCTCAGAATGTCATTGTGGTAGGACTGTCATTTGTCTGGAGAACAAACCAACTGTATGATACTAAAACACTACCCACTGGAGACACTGACCCTGGTCCTGAAGGGATTCGTCTCGGTTGCTCCCACTGAACATCGTGGTGCCGTTCTTCATTCCCCGCCTACTGTGTGCTTTTGAAGTGGCCTCCACAACCTAGGGCAGTGCACATCCTCGGTGTCTTCCCGCGGTACCGTACTGCACATGGGTGCCTACTTCGCACTGACCAGCCATCTCCTCCACAGGTCTACCATCTTGCAGCAGCAGTTCAACCGGACTGGGAAAGCGGAACACGGCTCAGTGGCGTTGCCAGCTGTCATGCGCTCTGGCTCCAGCGGGCCTGAGACTTTCAATGTTGGTAGCATGCCCTCGCCACAGCAGCAAGTCATGGTTGGACAGATGCACCGAGGACACATGCCTCCGCTGGTGAGAGTGCCCGATTATTCATCTGTTAACCGCTGGGCCGTCAGAGATGGCGACAGGTTCTATGTGGGAACCCTGTGCCTCTCATCTGAGCCACAAGTCATCAACTGTGCATGCCTGTAATTGCATGGCTAATTGTTTCTTTCTAGAATCGGTGGCTAGAGAGCGAGGGAGCTTGTCTTTAGATATGTTTCTCACTGCAATTTACAAAACACCTGACCAAAGCAAGTCATGGGAAGAAGTGTATATTTTGGCTAACGTTTTGAGTGCAGTCCATTGTGTGAAGAAGGGATTGGCAAGCGTACGAGGCTGCTGACCACACTGTGAATCACATTCGGAAGCAGGGGAGGGGCATGCTGGTGCTCATAGTCCAGGAGCCCAACCTGTGGACTAATGCCACCCACATTTAGACTGTAGCTTCTCACCTCAGTTCACACAAGCTAGAAATTGGTCTATGCTCAAAGACCTGCCCAGGGGCTTGTTTCCAAGGTGATTCTTAATCTATTCAAGTTGGCAATAAAGGTTAACCATCATGAACCTCTTGGTGCCGTAGAAACAAAGCTGATTGGCCCTGAGACCCTCGAAAAGTATGGGAAATGGGCAGGTCATCCATGATCTCCCTTTGCAACCTAATCTTGCTGAATCTTTTCTAATTCATCTGATTCACTATCGCCCAGACCTGGGAACCCCTTGGGAATCCCCTTGCTATTGGGCTGGTTCTGAGAACTCGTGAATGTCAAAGCTTGGAAATCATTCAGCTGTAAAAGCGTCTTGGCTCTGAGTTTGGGCAGAGTCCTAAGGATGTTCAAGAATCCATCTTATGAAGCTGTCATCTATGTTCTGTGCATGAGAGCTTTTATCCACAGTACTCAGATCAGCTGTACCCCCTGAACTCCCCTGTGAAGATGCTCGTCAGCCTTCTTGTCTGCTAATTAAGCCCTCCACACCCTTCTGATTATAAGCCCTTCACTGCAATCACCTTCGCTTTGTGTTCTATTAATATAATGCGCTATTTCTAGCCCTCAGGTTGAAATGGGAGCTAGTTCAGGTGCGTAATGAGATGTGCTCTCGACTGAGGAGGTTTAGTTTTGTTCTGGTTTGCAAGGGGACCCTGTTCAATCCCCAGATTCTGCTCACCCCCTTGTGCTCATCCGCCTTTGCAGACGTCGGCACAGCAAGCCCTTATGGGGACCATCAACACAAGCATGCACGCTGTCCAGCAGGCTCAGGATGACCTCAGCGAGCTCGACTCACTGCCACCTCTCGGACAAGATATGGTAAATATCCATCAATGCTTCTTATCCCGTGTCTCTGTCTTGACTCGGAGTAAGGCAACGTGGTCTGTCTGGGTTCCACTGGATGACGCTGTCTGCAGCTAGCTGGTAACGAAATCTGTGTGTCTTGGTATACATTGGGTCTTTGATTCTCTCTGTTGTGCTAAGTATATACCCGGGAGTCCATTGATCCCAACTCCTCTCTTCACTGGCTGTGTGAATCTGGGCATCTCACCCACGCAAGCTTTCCCCGTCATCTGTGATCAGGGATAATGGGAGGAGGTGATGATCCAATTCTTAGCATTCACTTAGCATCTAATAAACGCTCAACTCAGGTAGCTGGCTTTGTCATTTTAAATACTGCCAGCAGCTCTCAGATCTCAGTACACAATGGCATCTCACGGATGGCTTGTTAGACCCTACCTCAGGGCCCTGGCAATCATCTTCGCTTATGTTCTGCTCTTCGCATGTGGTTTTGATCTAGTGGGTATGGGGTGGGGCCTACCAATGTGTGTTCCCAACACATTCCTGGGGATACTGGCTGAGTACAGTGTTTTGTCGAGCCCTGGCTTGGCTGTCACACTGCTGACCTTGCAGCAGAGTGAGCTGATGAGCACTGAGTCCTTCTGGTGGCTGCTGCACAAAAATCAGCTAAGGCCTCACACTTCAAGGTGAAGTCTGACGGACAGCAGCGTTGCCATCACCCAGGTTCTTAGGAGGGAAGCAGAAATCACGGGCCCCTCAGCACCCTCTGTTGCTGTGCCTGTTAGCCTGCTGTCCCTGAGATTTGTTGGCATGCTAAACTTTGAAAAGCACTGGCCAGCAAGCTTGCTCCCTGCCACCTTCTTCTTCTCCCTCCTCTTTTTTCTCTGCACCCCATCACAAAGAAATCTCAGGTTATACAAGTCGGTGTCACAATGCAAGGCCTGGGCAACAAAGCAGGTTTGGTTGGTTGGTTTGCCTTCCTCTTTTGATGGGCAGACCCAGGGAGAAACCACTGCCATAGGATAAACTGACGGCCTTGCCGGAGCCAGCACTGAGATGCTTTCTGCAACCTCATCCTGTCTAGTGGGATCACTGTTTCAAAGTTGTCCCTGAATGCTGTTTTTCATCTTTTTACTGGTGTGTGTGGAGGTTACTACTGCCCTCTGTACCATTTCTCTCAAGTCCTTGAATTCCTTTTACATTTTACTCAGGGAACTAGAGTGGAAATAAATAATGACCTTTCCTATCCAGAACAGTTGGGAGACAGAGCCTTAAAATATGTGGAGGTAACTGTCCTAATTCACCGGTTTTTGAAGAATTAGAATACGCTAAGATAATATGTGATTCCCCTGAACCTAGATCAGTGCCTTACTTGGAGGGTCATCATTATCAATATAAATCATCATTTGATAAGTGAGCCCTGAAATACTAGACAATAGACAGTTTATGAGCAGGCATAATCCAAACTTTTGACGTGAGTGAAGTTACAAAACAATACCAATAAATCTCACAATGTTTTAAGTAAATTTATCTTTTTGTTTTGGGCTACATTCATAGCTATCATCAGCTGCTTGTAACCCACAGTCTTCAGGTTGGACACACCTGCTTGCTTGAAACAAAATATAAGAGCTAGGAATGCCTTTGAGCTTCTGTAGTAGGAAAAAGGTAAAGCCCCGGACTTGGGTGTGATTTGCCATTGTCCTGCCACCTGATAGAACAGAAGCTTCCCAAGCAAACTGGGAAAAATGCCACCTGCACATGGCCCTGATACTTGATTTTCTTCATGATAGTTCATGTCATGCCAATAGAAAAAATTTCCATGTTGGTCAAGAACCCTTGTGAGCTGATATGTACAAGTTCTAACTCTGTTGCCTCCAAAATCAAAGTGAATATTACCATCAAGTGTTAGTGTTAATGCACATACAGAGTTAGCATGAGGCATTATTAACATATCTCAATCCCATATAATAATGGGTTTCATTGCAAATTTTTCATATATATATATATGAAATATTCTTTAATCATATTTACCCTGCCCTTCTCTTATTCTTCTCCCACTCCTATTGAGCCTATTCATTCCTCATTCATCTTGTTTATTGTTGTTATTGTTATTTTTGTATGAACCAGTGAGTTTAATTAGGGTTACTCCTAGGAGCATGGGTGAGGGCTTCTATACGGGAACATGTGCTATGTATTGATAGCGACACCACTAAAGAGAATGTCTCTCCTTCTCCCAGCAACCATTAAAGTGTCTGGCAATCCTCAGTGTGGGGCAATGCCTCAAGAGTCTCTCCAGCCTCCCTGAGGGACCCAGTCTTGTACCCAAGAGGGTCATGGCCGTGTCACGCCCAGAGCCCTGCGTGTAGAGCACTCCACCTGTCTTACCTCTCTATTGCTGTGACATCATGACAAAGACCCTTAGGAAAGAAAGTGTTTAAATAGGTTTATGGTTTCAGAGGGTCGGAGTCCGTGATGTTGGAATGAAGGCATGGTGCAAGGAACAGCTAAAATCTCCCTCTTGAACTTCAAGTAGGAGGCAGAGAGGGGCTTGTTTTAGTTTTCTGAAACCTCCACCCCTGCCCCCAGTGAAACGCCTCCTCCAACAAGGCCACACCTCCTAATCCTTTCCAAACAGTTCTGCCAACTGGGGACCTATGGGGGCCACGCTCATTCAGACCACCACAGTGCTCTTCTCTCCAGCTTTTACATTTTCTTCTTCCCTTCTTCCGTGATGTTTCCTGGGTCTCAGAGGAAGTGCTGTACATGACCTTTGATTCTTTTGCAGGTGTTTTCACCCAGATATGGCCATCTCAAATTACTTTTCCTAGAAGTTGTAAACATTTTTTTTTTCACATTGCAGGATAAGTTAGAGAGAATTTATAGACCTTTAACATCTCTGGACACACGGGAAACCTGTTCAGGATATGGTTTAAGGTGACGTGGGCTTGTTCACTGCTGGCGCAGGCAGGAGAGTGCAACCAAATGAGCCAAATTCTGGTCTCATTCTATGGTTCAACTTCTCTGGTCTCCTGGGCAAATCAGTCTACGATTATGTCATTCCATTGTCTGGTTTTACAGGCATCTAGGGTATGGGTTCAGAACAAAGTGGATGAATCCAAACATGAAATCCACTCTCAAGTCGATGCTATCACAGCTGGGACAGCTTCAGTTGTCAACCTCACGGCTGGTAAGTCCCTGGGTGATTTGCACTGGTGTGTGTCTGTGTGTGTGTGTATGTATGTTTGTGTGCATATTCATTCTTTCTCTGCAGTAAGAAGACAGTCTATTTTTAGACATCTGGCCTGGTTAAACACTTGCTCCAAATGATCCAAGAGAAATAAATGTAAGGAGCATTGCATTCCTTCTTGTTGATATCGTGCATCATTAAAAAGCGCTCACTTGGTGTCCATTGTCCATCAGTGTGTGGACATATTTCAAAGTCTTTGAGGCCAGTTTATCCTGTGGAGAGTTTAGAATCTAGAAAGGGTCTGGACATGCCAAGCATCTATCCTTTGCCTGTCTTATCCAGTAGTTGTCTCTTCTAGGGTAGCCTGACTCCCACCCTCACGCCGTCTGGTGAGAGCAAGGAAATACCTAGACTTCTCTCTGCAGTGTACCAATGTTTCAGGAATAGAGCGACCCCTGAGCTGGGGTCATGGGATGCTGAATTTGAGGAGAGAGAAAGAGAGAGAATACATGTGTGCTTCCGCATATGTGTGTTTGTGTGCATGCATTTGTGGAAGTCATGGTACAACTTCAGCTGCCCCTCCTCAAGCACAGTCCTTCTTTTTGTTGAGATGGGTTTCTCATTGACCTGAACCTCTGCAAGTAGGTCCGGGCTAACTCTCCATCAGGCCCAGGGTTCCACCTGCCTCCATTTCCTCAGCATTAGGATGACAAGTTTATAGCATCATGGCTAGCTTTTTTTTTTTAATGTAGATCTACAAGGAAAATGCTTTGCTGACTGAGCTATCTCCCTAGTCTGCTTTGGAACTTTATTTTTTAATTTTCAGTTACATTTGCTCACCAGCGTGGGTGGGGTTACACACGTGTGCCACAGTGCGCATGTGGGGAGCAGTGGACATCCTTCAGGTGTTAGATCTCTCCTTCCACTGTTGAGGTTGTGAAGAACCAATAGGGGTCATCAGCCTTGGCAAGCATCTTATCTGCTGAGCAGCTGTCTCACTAGCCCCTACTTTGAAATTATATGTGTGTGTATATATTTCATAACAGAGTACACTGTATTTTTTTTTATAATTTCCACATCCCTACGCAGCCACTCCATCTCTTCCTACTACCCCCTCTCAAATTCAAAACCCTTTGCTTTGGAAGGTTACAGGAACCTTGTTCACTGTCTCAGTATGTGAGATCTCCAGGTGAGAAGACCTTATTCTTATCGAAGCCACTCGGAGTCAGGGTGATGTCCAATTCTCTGAGCACCTCAGAGTTTTGTATTGGATGCCTGCAGGATGGTGGGCCATGGGCTCTTGCCAGTGGGAGTACTGAGGAGGTCTCATCAGACCCACTTACCTCTTACCAAGCGAGGCTCTCCTCATCCATCACCATCCCCCTTTGGTCTTGGTCCTTCTCTGTCTCAGGTGACCCCGCTGACACTGACTACACAGCCGTGGGCTGTGCAATCACGACAATCTCGTCCAACCTGACCGAAATGTCCAAGGGCGTAAAGCTGCTGGCGGCCCTCATGGACGATGACGTGGGCAGTGGAGAAGACCTTCTCAGAGCGGCCAGGACCCTCGCCGGGGCCGTGTCTGATTTGCTGAAGGCCGTGCAGCCTACTTCTGGAGAGGTGAGCCCTAAGGACCCATAGTCACATTCAGATGATATATCTGCATCCCTTCAGGTCTGTGGAGCTCTGGCTTCCTGACAGGCTTCTGCCGTCCTCTTTCAGGGTGGTACTGAGAGTTAGTGAACCGAGTTGGGTCCTATGGTTCAACCTCTGGGGAGGGTTGTGCTCCTAGTAGGAAGCCTTCCCAACAAGGGTCTTTAATTAGACGCAGCTAGTTACTCAAGCCCCATGACTAGTACACAAAAGGCATACATACAGGTTTGCAACTGGATTTCTGCACATACCAGCTCTGATCTTACTGTGCAAGAGCGAGTCCCTGGAATTGCAAGCACATCTGCCTGTTATGGGTTGATGAGCATTTTCTTGCTTTAGTCTCATCAGAATTCTTTTTCTCTCCTATCTTGCATACAACCCAAGATCATCACTTGTGTGTGGGAAGAGCTGATCTATGTGATTCCTCGCTATACTGATGTGTGGTGAGACTTGGGAAGAAATCCATTTTCTTTCCAACCAAATCATGGTATCTGTTTGTAGCCTCGACAGACTGTTTTGACTGCTGCTGGGAGCATCGGCCAAGCCAGTGGTGATCTCCTGAGACAGATCGGAGAGAACGAGACAGATGAGCGATTCCAAGTAAGATGTCTGCGGCTTCCCAGTCTTGGAAAGGAGTCTGAGTGATGAGTCTGACCTCACAGGGAGGATGTATTGGGATGCAAGCCCCGACTTCCTGGGGCTGTTGAGAGTAAGATCAAAGGACGTGATTTGAGTAGTGAGGTCTTTTAGTTGTTTATCAGTTTCTTGAACATTTTATGAACAAAACAGTGGATAAGGTAATCATGAATCCCTTTCTCTTGGCTACCCAACCTTTATACTGACCATTCTCAGCAAGTCTTGTTTTATTTTGTGGGGAGGAGTTACATCAATGTTGTTTTTATTTTGCATGCAGATGTTGGTATATTTGCACGTATGTGCACATGTGTGGAGGCCGAAGTTCAGCCTCTGATAGCATCTCTCAGGATGCTGTTCACCTTTTTGATTTTGAGATAAAGTTTCTCACTGGGACCTGGGAACTGTTGATTCAGACAAGCTGGCAAACAGTCAAGCCCCGGAGATCAGCCTCTCTCAGCCTCCGCAGCACTACATGCCCCACCACGCCCCCTGAGCTCTAGCTCCAGCTCCAGCCTTTGCTTTTCAAAAGCATGTTTCTAAACTACCATGTTTTTTTTTTAATTTTATTATATTTTCTTTTTTTTAATTAATTAATTTATTTTTACAGAATTCTGTCTGCCTGTATGCCTGCAGGCCAGAAGAGAGTACCAGATTTCATTAAAGATGGTTGTGAGCCACCATGTGGTTGCTGGGAATTGAACTCAGGACCTCTGGAAGAACAACCAGTGCTCTTAACCTCTGAGCCATCTCTCCAGCCCTAAACTACCATATTTTAAAAGTAGGATCTGGGTATTTAACTCAGCCTAACCTAACAAGCACTCGATGGCTGAGCTAAGAACTGGCTATGCAGGGATGCTGTGTCGTGTGCAGCGCCCCACTGAGAAATGATTTTTGTGGCCCAGACTCTTCAGTGCTAGAGTCTTGCACTGAGCAGCTGTTGCTACTGTCTGCAGCTGGCTTGATTCACTGCCAGTTTCACCACATTGAAGCTCAGACAAGATCTCAGCCTGTCTGCCTCCCCCTGACCCACAGTCAACGTGTCTCATGGATGGCCACATGCCACTTGTCGTAGTTAGGGTTACTGTTGCTATGATGAAACACCATGACCAAAGGAACTTGGGGAGGAAGGGGTTTGTTTGGGTCACACTTCCACATTGTAGTCCGTCACTGAAGGAAGCTAGGACAAGAGCTCAAACAGGGCAGGAACCTGGAAACAGGAGCTGATGCAGAGGCCATGGACGGGTGCTACTTCCTGGCTTGCCAGCCATGGATAGCATCACCCACCATGGACTGGGCCCTCCCCATCAGTCATTAATTAGGGAAATGCCTTATAGCTGGATCTTATAAAGGCATTTTCTCAGTCAAGAGTCCCTCCTTTCAGATGACTCTAGCGTGTGTTAAGTTGACATAAAACTAGCCAGGATACCATTTTCCCTAGCGTTACTAGGGCAGGGTGTGTCACATGGACTAAATCATGATTGTATGTGCGAAGAGAAACTTATACTTTCATCCATAGTAGATTCTATGTCTCCTTCCTGACCCTGAACTTGTGGTTCTGGGACCCCAGGACCCATTCATGTCCTGAGTGGCAGTTAATATATTCAGTACACAGTAGAGACTAGGTCCCAGTAATCACTTCCCAGAAGTCATTTCTACACTGAGATTTCTAGAAGCCTCCTTGCTGTGTGCAGAATTCACCGCAGATCACATAATAAATAGACCCCGCTGACACCTACTCTTGTCCCCTTCCCAATTCCCTTTCAGATCTCCATACTGTCTTTGTGCTGGCCTCACATTTTATATTGGTACAGGTAATTCTCCTAGGCAGATAACTCTTAGGAATTCGGTCTATATTAGATTCAGCTGCTAGCTTGCTAGGCTTCATTATCTTTAAGCACTCAATTTACTTTCCTCTAAAGTATTGCCTTCTAGGGACCAGGGAGATAGTTCGGACGGTAATGTACTTGCTATGAAAGTGTGAAGCCCCCAGTTAAATCCTCCATTCTCATGTTTAAAGCTGGGCGTACACAGTAGTATGTGTGTTTGTAATGTCAGCACTGGGAAGACAAAGACAGGAAGATCCCCTGGGACTTACTGGCCAGCCAGCCTAGCTGAGTTGGCAAGCCTATAGTCAGTGAGAGACCCTATCTCAGAACAAACAAACAACAAACAAAAACAAGGCAGACAGCTCCTGAGGAATGGTACCCGAGCTTGTGCTCTGTTTTCCACGCTCAACTGCACACCCAAAACCAATACTTTGTCCTGTGGTGAGGGCGATGGAGGACATGCTGTCGATTCCCATCAGGCATGCCGCTTGCTCTTACAGTTTTCTGAAGCTTTGCATCCTCTCTCCCTTTGATGGATTGTCTACAGTGTTCAGATTCAGACTCTGCCTCCTGTTCGTTTCTCTTTGGCCACGCTAGGGGGCATGTTCAGGAACACGGTGGAATGGTCCAGAGAGTGGGGTCTTTAGAGGGGGATTAGCGTGGTGAGATGAGCCCAGCCTCCTGCAGTCATGGGTCGGCTGGCAATGGGTTTCCACTCTGATCTTCTGTGTCTTGAGTTCCAGGGTGGAGCCTTCCTTGTATTCTCAATGTACTGCATGTTCCCAGAGCTGACAAGGATTTATTTCACACACACTGCACAACAGTGGACTTATTGAAAAGTTTGACAAAGACCTGATCAGCAGCTCTAACTGCAGGATCCCATTCTTTTCCTATTTGTTTTGGAAGAAACAGAATTTCTTTAAATGACTCAAACAAAGTCCTTTGTGACAATTGTGGTCATGGGTGACCCTGTCTTGGTCCCTGTGCGAGCAGATGGATTCTATCACATGAAATACTGCTCTGGTTGGCTTCAGAAAGTTAGGCTTTAAAGTCTTGTTAGTAATTTGTGACATCCAAATTGCTTTTAACCTGAATTCAGAGACAGATGTCCAAGATCAGTGGGGGGCCGAAAGGGGAACAATTCTTGAGAGCCATGCAGCAGTTAAATGCCACTTGACTCCTGAAAGTGTCATCGGCCTTTTCTTATACACCCAGACACTGCCACAGATGTGGCAGATCTGGAAGGGCACAGTAAATGGTTCTTTTAAGACCACTTTATTTTCATCCATTTTAAAGTCAACTTCTTTTTTTCATTTTATTATATTTGTGTATGTGTGTGCACACGTATGCACGTGTGTGTGTGTGTGTGTGTGTGTGTGTGTGTGTGTATGCTTACCACTTTACCACTGCATACATGTGAAGGTCAGAGACAGTCTCCTTTAATCATGGGGTTCCCAGTGAAAAAACTCTGGCCATCAGGTATATCAGCCAGTGTCTTTTCCCTAACGAGCCATCTCTCCAGCCCCCAAAATCAGTTTCTTTAGGCTATTTGCTACTTTTTAGAATTGCCTGGGTTGCATGTATTTGTCAGCACTATGAACTGTTCAGGCTGGACACCATTTCCAATATATTTTCTCATAAAATCTTTCATTGTAAAGACCCTGTGGGTGTCCTTGATGTTTAGAACCAAGTGTGCTTTTTTCAAAACATATATATATATATATATATATATATATATATATATTAGTTGATGAATAACTAAAGATTTCTGACCACAATTCCTCTGGAGAAACGCCTTGACATGCTTGCTCAAAGTAACAATAGCTTGGGTGCTAGGGAAGGTATTTCTAAATCAAATAATCTGCTTTCAATATTTGTAGCACTGAAGTAAATTAAATGGAGAAGTGTTTCCCCGTCGGGTCAGACAGATGGGTGACAGGTCTGGCGGTTGGAATCAAAGGATTCTCCCTCCTGCAGGCGAATGCCTTTCATAAACTGAGCTTTGAGTTCCCAGCAGCCCTCGCACCCTTTCTTAGAGAAGGTTGTTGTTGTTTTGAGATAGGGTTTTATGTCGTCTAAGCTGGCCTACCAATTAGATTAGCCCAAGACAACCTTGAAGCCCAGGTCCCCTGCTCCACCTCCCAAATTCTGGGATTGCCGGAAGGCACCACCATAGCTGGTTCATAGGCATGGCACCCAGGGCTTCACCTCTGCTGGGCAAGCTGTCTGCTAACTGAGGCATGCCTAATGATTCCCATCATCTTGCCACTAGTTTATTTATGCAGGTTCTCTTCTACTGGCATAATCCAATCCCTATGCAGAAGGTTCCGAACGCTGAGAATAAGTTATGTTCAGAGCAGAGCAGTCTTTGGTTCTCCGAGGGCTGTAGGCATTGGTGCCATCAATTTGTCTCTGTGTGCCATATGTTGCTTTCTGGAGGCAGAGAAGCAGCTGACTTTTGGATCGTAACAAGCAAGATGTCCGAAAGATAAATTTTCAACTTACACTGATGGTTTGGAGGTTGTGATTTAATGCCTACCTACTGCAGGTGGTAGTGGTGATGTCTGAATATGTATTTGTTTCTCCTGACACCACACATTCATCACACATATGAGAGTCTAGAATCAACGGGAGAACATGAACGTGAATCGGCAGTTATGCCCTTCCCCTTCAGTCTGACTCCTTTCATGTTTAAATTTGTGCGCGGTATTTTGGGGATCAATATATGTGCTCATATGTGTGTATTTGTGTCTGTTTGGTACATATGCACATATGCATGCACTGAGTGCCAGAGTTTGATGTCACATGTCTCCCTCAGTCACTCACTCTCCACCATCCTTTTGAGATGGTCTAGTCTGTCTTGGGATCAGAAGCTCACTGATAGGGTAGGTTTGAGACGGTCTAGTCTGTCTCGGGATCAGAAGCTCACTGATTAGGATAGGCTGGCTGACAAGTGAGCTCCAAGGATCTCCCTGTCTCTGGGCTGACAGCTCATCTCAAGCATGTGCGCTTGGTCTGCGGCTTTCTACATGTACACTGGGGATCCAACCTCAGGTCTTGGTGCCTGTGTCTTAATGGCTGGGCCATCTCCGCAGCCCCTGACCTGTTTTATATGAAACCTGTGCTACTCGTTGTCCACAGGGACATATTTTGTTATTAGTATGCAAGTTTTTCCTTTCATTTCTTATAAGGATGAGCTGGCATTTCAAATAATAAAGGGGAAAAAATTGAGGTGATGAAACCCTATAAAAGCCAAGTGGGGTTTTAATAGAAAGTTTGGGTGCATTCCATACAGTTTTAGTGTTTGAAGGGTAATTAAAAAAAAAAACCAAGAAATAAATGATTAGCTTTGATCCCCTTTTCCTAGGATGTTTTAATGAGTCTGGCTAAAGCTGTTGCCAATGCCGCTGCCATGTTGGTACTCAAGGCGAAGAATGTGGCCCAGGTGGCCGAAGACACTGTCCTACAGAACAGAGTGATTGCTGCAGCCACCCAGTGTGCTCTCTCCACCTCCCAGCTTGTGGCATGTGCCAAGGTAAGCTGGCTGGCATGCCAGCCTTCCTACAGTGTCATATATCCTCACCTGTCACCAGTCACTAGGTAGCCTGAGGTCTGGAGCTTCCTTCCCATGGCTGCTTTGCGGGACATGATAGAATTTTTTGTTTGTTTGTTTAGATTTGCGGGGGCAGGATTTTTTTTTTTTTTTTTTGGTTTTTTTTGCCGGAGTGGTTTGGGAGGTGGAGACAAGGTTCTCAGTATGTAGCTTGGTTCTTCTGGAACTATCTGTGGAGACCAGGCCGGCCTTGAACTCACAGAGATCTATCTGCTTCTATCTCCCAAGTGCTGGAATCAAAGTTGTGCACCACCACACCCAGCCAGACATGATAGGATTTTAGTATAAGCAGTCTAATTTTGTTTTTATTGTTGGCTTATCTATTGTTAGCTGCAAATTGCTGCATCTCCCTTTCGGCCTCTCAATGCATCTTATTTCCAGTGCATAAAAGAGGCGTTGCAAGGGGTGGCACAGGGGTTCATACTGAACCCACAGCTTCCTGGGGAGGCCTAGTCATCCTTCCTGTGAATGGCTCTAGGGTGTGTTCATTGTATCAGAATCACATGATTGGGTTTGCCCAGCAGTCCTGCGCATTGAGTAGGCATTAGCCTTCATTTACTGATGAAGCACCTGGGGTGACTCTGTGTTAATGAGCGGCCGTCGGCCATGGAAATAAGCAGGAGAATTGCGGTTATGACTCAGACCTGCCCCGACTCGGGGTGCCCTCCACTCCATCGTGCATGTCTGCTTCTCCGAGGATGGGGGCTTCTGCTTCTGGTCTTTCCATTTCCTGCTGTGTAGATCTGTGATTGACAGTGCCTTTTCCCACCTGGGATAGGATTTGGAGCCTTCACAGGCATCCTTAGTGATGTTCCTGTTAGCCCTGGAGTCCACAGAGGACTGGCAGACTTTCCCTAGCCTTTGAGGAAGAACAGGCAGAGTTTCAGATGGCCTCTGGAAAATGCATGCAATTCTTTTAGGTAGTCAGTTGCCTTCGCTCAGCCTAGAAGAGTCACTAAGAGAAAAAGCATATAAGTGATAAATATCAAGACTTTGTCCTTATTTAAGTACAGGGTATTGAGGACTGCCACGCACGGCTAATTAGTAGGATTTCTCAAATCACAAAGAAAGTATAATAGTGTGAGGGTTACCACATTGGTATGCATGCTAACTGAAGATCAAAGGGCCCTGAGGGAGACGCTGGGCATCCTGGGGCACCAGGAACATCCCCTGCAGCAAACTTTTTCTGTATCTTTCCAGGTCGTGAGCCCCACCATCAGCTCTCCTGTGTGCCAGGAGCAGCTGATCGAGGCTGGGAAGCTGGTGGACCGCTCTGTGGAAAACTGTGTCCGTGCCTGCCAGGCGGCCACTGGCGACAGTGAACTTCTGAAGCAGGTCAGCGCGGCAGCCAGCGTGGTCAGCCAGGCCCTGCACGACCTCCTGCAGCACGTGCGGCAATTCGCCAGCCGTGGCGAGCCCATTGGCCGCTATGACCAGGCCACCGACACTATCATGTGTGTCACCGAGAGCATCTTCAGTTCCATGGGTGATGCTGGTGAGGCACTGATTTGGTGGAGGAGGGACTGGTTAGGTGTGGGTTTTCCTCATGGTGACAGTCACTTTCTAGGTGAAGGCTTCTAGAGTAACCAGCGAGAGCAAATAGAGTATCTTCCTTAGCCCAAAACTTCCTCACTGAGGCACAGGGAAAGATCCAGGAGTCCTGCCAACCTGTTCCAGGGCTACAGTTAAAAGCCTCATCAGAATTTCATTATTTGAATTTATAGTATTAATAACTTCTTTTATCCCAGTTGCAGGACATAGTTGGTAGAGTCAGAGCAGCCAAGGAATCAGGAGCAAAGCTTGGAATAAAGATATTTATGTAGAGATCCACCAGAAGTGTGGGGGGTCAAGGTCACTGTAGAAAACCAGGAGGGACAGCATTTCCTGGGGAGGTTTAGAGTGGGACATTTTAATATACTGTGATATACTCATGCTGTAAATTAAAGCTATATATGCAGTATACCTTTCCAGCCTGCTGAAAAGCAAACTGCTCTGAGTTCATCCAGTCATTGTGCCCTCTCTATCCCAGAACTGACCACTTGATATTTGTACTGATATATGGTAAAATGGCTGCTATAGAAGACAAGTTAGCATTCCCATCCTAGAGCACCCCTAAATTTAAAGGTTGTGGATACAGAGACAGACGGAGAACCCTTCACAGCTTAAATAAATATCATTGTGTTATACATACTATGAATTTATTTTTTTTTTTTTTGATTTTCGAGACAGGGTTTCTCCATAGCTTTTGGTTCCTGTCCTGGAACTAGCTCTTGTAGACCAGGCTGGCCTCGAACTCACAGAGATCCACCTGCCTCTGCCTCCCGAGTGCTGGGATTAAAGGTGTGTGCCACCACCGCCCGGCCATACTATGAATTTTTTAAATGACAGGATAACATCCCATTTTGGAGGTATCATTATATGCTTAACCAATTACCTTTTTTCTCAGTGCTAGGAATCAAACCCAGGGAGGGTTCTGGCTGTGTGCTGGGCACTGAGCTTAGCCTCTGCCTCTGACTGCTCATCTGTTAATAGACTTTTAGTTTCCAAGTTTGTTTTGCTTTTACAAAAATGTTCCTACGTGGAGCCGTCTTAAAAATGTGTCTTCACTTGCCTTCAGAGTTTTGAATGTACCGGCGGTGCCTATGTGTGGAAGTGCCCAGCCAACTGATACACAAATTTTGAAGTTTAAACTTCTTAATGAAATTTCTCCCTAAAAAGGATTTGCAGCCCTACTGTACGAGGTCCGCTACTTCTTCTTTGCTTTATGACAGGTTCTGGGAGGTGGTCCTTTTGTTTGGCTAGTTTTTACAGACAGACTCTCATCTGTAGTCAGGGCTACTAGCCTTGTGCTTGTGATACTCTGTCGGCCGGTGATGTACTGGGATTCCAGGTATGTGCCACAGGCCTGACAAGTATTTGGTAGTTATTGAGAAAATTATCTTGTGCTTCTTAAGCTACTAGCTATCCAGAAACGCTGTGTACAATTGCATTTTCTGCTGATGTTCTTCTCACTGTTGGCTTGTTATTTTACGTCAACCCTCACCTTTAAAAAAAAAAAAAAGGGTTGCAGAGGTAGCAGAGTTCCATCTATCCACTTCCTCCTGTTTCTAGCATCTTCTCTAACTCATGGCACATCTACCAAAGCATTTGCGGTCCTGTCCCTACTCACCACCCACAGTGGTTTTCCCACTGTGGTTTCTTCAGTTTTCCCACTTGTGTCTTTTTTTGTGTGTGTGTCCCACAATGCCATCGAGGTCACCATCCTGATTTTAGCACATGTCTGGATGTATTAAAGTTTGTCTCCCCTCAGACAAGCTATGGAGAGGAACCGGTCCTTTCCCTAGAATGGTTTCATTTTTAGTGTTATATCATGATAGACCTCCCATTTCTGAAAGAAAGTTGAAATAGACTTTTATAAAGTCACAGGCACAGCGAGGACAAACAGGACAAATAAAGGCTCCAAACCAGGACCTGGGTGGGGGTGGCACATGCCTGTAATCCCAGCACTTGGGAGTCAGAGGCAGGCAGATCTGTGAATTTGAGGCCAATCTGGACTACAGAGTAAGTTCCAGGACAGCTAGAACTATTGCTCAGAGAAACCCTGCCTTAAAAAAACCTAAATAAATAAATAAATCAAAATGAAATAAAAACTCCAAACCAGGAACTGTGGGTGTATCTCATTTTGGTAAATTGTGTAGCTATAAGAAAGCCTTGGGTTCATCTCCTAGCACTTTATAAACAGACATGGTGGTACTTGCCTGTAATCCCAGCACTAAGGAGATAGAGGCAAGAGGATTTGGTGATCCTCGACTGTATAGTAGGTTAAAAGCTGACCTGAGACACATGACACCCTGTTTCAAACAAATAGCAATAAAAATCCCTTCCTGACCACTGAGATCATTGCAGACAGAATGGTAAATAAACAGCGCATACCTGCTGTTCTGTCCTTTAGGTGAGATGGTACGCCAAGCTCGGGTACTGGCCCAGGCCACGTCTGATCTTGTTAATGCCATGAGGTCAGATGCGGAGGCTGAGATTGACATGGAGAATTCTAAGAAGCTCCTCGCAGCTGCGAAGCTCCTGGCTGACTCCACTGCCCGCATGGTGGAAGCCGCAAAGGTAGGGCATTTGGTCTTTTGGCTTGAAATGCAAACACTGTTGAGTGTTAGGGTTTGAAGCTTACCTTCAAAGGTGAAGGATGGAGTGTGGATTTCTCCTTGTTGAATACTTGAGTGGCTTTGTTACATTTAGCACAGTTAAGATAACGGAGGAGTTGTTGAACATGAGACAGAGGTGCTGACTCAGCACAGACAGCAAAGCATGGCTGCTTCTGCCAGCATCGTGATTTTCTCATTGCTGCGACAAAAATGCCCGTCGGGAGTAACTCAAGGAATGAGGGATTTATTTTGGCTCACAGTTTGAGCACACAGTCCTTCAGGGTGGCAGAAGCGGTTGGTGGCTGGTCACATCGCAACCCTAGTCATGAAGCCGGTAAATGCAGGTGCTCAGCTGCCTTCCTGTTTTTAGTCTGAGACCCCAGCCCTGTGCAGTGGGGCTGCCCACACTTAGGATGGGTCTTCCCACCTCAATCATCTCAGTCTAGAAACTCCTTTGCACTTGTGCCCAAAAGGTTGTTACATGGTGATCCTAAATTTCATCAAGTGGATGATCAAATTTCAGCATTGTATTTTGTCTCAAAGGGAATAAAAGAGTATCCACTCCCTGCATTAACTTCAGCCTGTCATGACTTTTGAATCCTACCTATCTCACTAAACCTGACAAGATTCTGAGGACGAGCCTAGCTAAAGTACCAAGGTACAGGGACCTACACAAAGAATACTGGTGACAGCTGCGTGGGTGCCATACTCTTCTGACAGTTAAGGGCAGCAGCTTTGCACTTTTCGTATAGTTGGGTGCCATCTGTTTGTCTCCATTCTCCCAGATTACTCCCTAAGGACACGATTTCTTTTGCACAGCCTTTAGTAGACATTTTGCAGGATGTGCATACCGCTGTAGCCTCCACACCTCCTCTCATCATGCTCCGTTCAAGCCCTTGTTTTTCCGGTGGTGTCTTCATTTTTGCCATTTACTTTTGCCTTGAAATGTTTTCCGGCAGTGATGTGAAAACATCACCATCAAGGTCTGTCATACCAGTTAGGATATCTGATGGGGAGAGATTTATCAGAGCCTCTTTCTTCAAATCAGAAACTGAAACTGACTCACAAGAGCATGTACTTCTGTCCATCACTCTGAACATCCGTTCTGTGTGCATTTTCACCATATGTATGTAGTTAGTTATCCTCGGCCATAGCTTCCCCTCTGCATTACAGAATGGTAGAGGTCAATGCCAACTATACACTGAAGCGTCTCACTGTTCTCCATCCTTTGTCTGTCTGTCCCTCCCTCCACCCTTCTCTAATAAAGGCCATTCTGTTTTCTCCTACAATAAGATTGACTCTTTTTTTGTTTGTATTGACCTTTGGTGTTTGGCATAATAGTAATTGAAATCAGCAAACAGGGAACAGTTTATGGTTTTGTTTTTGTTAAGTAAATGATGCCCACACAACTCTTCTTCCTCCTGGAATTAGATTCCCAGGGCCTTTTATCTTACAAGATTTGTAAAATTAAACTCCAGACTAGAAGAAAATATATTTCTTTTTACTTAAATTTCAGCTGCTAAATGAAAATAGAAAGCATACATACTAATGTAGTATTTTGTGATAATGCCTTAAATGCCTTTGAAGCCTTGAGTTTTTTAAATCACCAATTACAAGATAATTTGTACAGACACCCCAGACTGATTTACAGTGTTACTTCTTACAATTGGAACTGCATAGCCATGAGGTTGGTCTTTATTATAAAGATGGTGTTTATAGGGCCTAGGGATGTGACATTCAGGAGGCTGTGGGTTCCATCCCAGCAACACAGCCCAGTGGTCCATCGCTATGATCCGAGTTTACGGCTTTCTATTCCAAATGCTATGCGTTATTAGTTAGAAGTGAAATTAAAGACATGCATTTAGCAGCTGTGGCCCCTGGGTACTTGAAATACCTGTTTCTTCCACCTTTGTAGGGGGCTGCAGCCAACCCAGAGAATGAAGACCAGCAGCAAAGGCTGAGAGAAGCTGCCGAAGGCCTCCGAGTAGCAACCAATGCCGCTGCACAGAATGCTATTAAGAAGAAGATCGTCAATCGGCTGGAGGTCAGGAAAGGGGCTGGCTTTTAGGGTGCCAGTTGTGACTGCAAAGAGTTACCTGGAAAAAAATCAAATCACCAAAATGATGCCCCTATAAAGAAAGCCAAATCAAAGTTAGCAGTGTTGGGTAGTTTGGGTATTTTAAAAGAATTGACACAATTTGAAAAATTGCTTTAGTTCATAGCTGCCAAAGGCTCAGGTTCAGAGTTCAACATTCAGAAATAGAATGAAGTCTTTTTACAGGAAGATTGGGGTTCTTTTTTCCTGCATTAAAGAATATATTCAGCAGACCAGCATGCAGAGTTCCTGTTCTGTTGGAGGCAGTGACTTTTCCTAGGCTTCCTGTTGAGAATTCTAGAGCGGGGCCAGGGAGCAGGGTGGGACTGAGAGGGAAGAAGAAGAAACTTTTTTTTTGTCATTTCTTTTCAGAATTTTTTTTCAATTAAAGAGTTGAAAAATATAGGCACAAACTATGTAAGAAAAAATATTTCTTTCCATGGATGTTAAAATTAAAATGTGGAAGGATGGAGGTCAAGTGACCTGGCTCTTTAATGTGAGTCCCCCCGCCCCCATAGGCAGTCCGCTGGGCTCTGGAAGAAATCAGCCTCATTATTGGAAGTAGACAAAAGATAGAACTGGACTAATTACCTCAGAGGGGTGTGTCATATCTGAGCTGAGGCCTCTGCTATGAGAGGAGGGACATGGACACCTCCATGGACATAAAAGCAGCCTGGGCTTCATGGGGCAGATTTTCTTTCCCTGGAACGTTAAGACTTCATGCTGCTTGCCAAGGCCATCTCAGCATTGCAACTGTCTCTTGTCTTTTGTATTTTAAATTTCCATTTCTTCTGTGGTAACTTCATACGTGAACGTATTTAGATCATATCCTTCCACATTGCACTCCCCAGCTCCTGGGCCATTTCTCTATATCCCTTTCGTAACTTCATACCACTGGCGCTACCCAGCACCTCCTCTTCCTCTAATAATAATAATTCACTCAGTCCAAATTATGATGCTTGCATGTGCATGGGTGTAGGCGCCCTCCAGGAAGCATAGGCAACCTATGAGGGGCTCTGCCTCTTCTTTTCTCATTGGCCATCTACTGCCAGTAGCTCCTCAGCTAGGTATGGGGTCTCATGAGCCTCTTCCTGCTCCATGCTGAAGAGTTGACTGGCTTTATCATTTGCAATACTGGGGAACATCCGGGTAGAAAGATCTAATAGCCAGAGGTCAGGGAGGTTCGCTGTGAAGTAACATCTTCCGGGTATGACAGGGCTATTGTGCTCATAAACTCACAGGCACCTGTGCTGGGCAGCACAAGACCTGTAACCGATCAAGCCAGTCTTACGAAAAGCAAGTGAGGTGAGCTTGCATACCTTCTGGTCCTTACCTCTTCATTCGGAATTGCAAACCCAAGGCAGGCAGCAAAGGGCGACAAGGTTGAGATCATTGGTGACTTTGAAGACGTAGTGTCTGCCCCAGTCGTGGAAAGGCACGGCATATGAATTTGCGAGTATAATATTGGACTGACCTGTGTCACTATCCTCTGCAGGTTGCAGCCAAACAGGCTGCAGCTGCTGCCACACAGACCATTGCAGCCTCCCAGAATGCAGCTGTGTCCAACAAGAACCCCTCAGCCCAGCAGCAACTGGTCCAGAGCTGCAAGGTAAGCTCACTGTGTGCCGAGAGCCAGGTCTGCAACATGTTACTGATAGCATTAGACCACCACATGCCCTGGTAATTCATTTAAGGCAGGTCTTCCAGGCTCCTAATCCAGTTTGCGGTGGCTCCATGCTCCAGGTGTATACACGTCTGGTCTTTGTCCATTAAGTAGATTGTCTGTGTTTGGAAGGAGTGGCTTTTTCTTCCAGCATTATCTTTCCTTTATCCACATCATTTTTAAGAGACTGAATTAAATAAAGAGAATTGATGAGGCCATTTCAGAGTTTTGAAATAGAAATGGAAATGAGCCCTTGGCTTTCCAGAACTCCTTCCCCTCTGGGAAGCTGGTCAAATCCAGTCTCCACACACTACAGCATGTTGACTTCCTGCTTTCTCCTCATCTGGGGTCTGCTTTGTCCCATCTGCCTTCTGTGCCCTCATATGTTGGTACTTTCCGTTACCTGCTGCTTGTTTGTCTCTGTTTTTCTGGAGCAGGGGCATTGGTGCTGTGTTGAGGCCAGCTTACCACAAACATTCTCTGTTCCCACCAAGAGGCTTGACTCTTTCAGGACACCTTTGATGGGTACCAGACACATCACCTTGCAGAGCCATTGACCACACATGCTGGGGCATCTTACTTTAGAGTGTTGGCAGTGGAGGCTGGTGACAGGCATGTCTGATTGTGACAGTGTTCTGACAGTTAACCTGTTGTGATTTTTTTCCCTCCAATCGTCTGAAAGATAACAGTCACCCGAGGGAAATGCCACTTCTTCAGTAGTGGCCGTGCTTCCGAAGGGACTCAGTTCTCCTCCAGAAATGGCCGTGCTGCTGGGGAAGAGTTGCCTAGATCTATTCCTGAATCTGGTTTTTCTGAGGTCCCCCTTGTAGAGTTGACTGTGTTCTAGGGGAAGAGCATCTTTAGGACGCAGGGATCTGAGGTCCTTTGTGCTTAGGATCTGTGGAAGAAGAGCTTGCCGAGAGTGCCGCCTCTGCTCAAACAGTGTACTTCTTTCTTATACTATTCAGTTGCCAGCAGGGTGGGAAAGTGGCCTTTTCCTTCCTCTGGGACCACAAGCTGCTCACGTCTGGGAACCTGTTGCAGAATCAGTCTTTTCTTCCTCTTTGCTAAAGGGGCTGAAGGGATTAGATCTCTGAGTATCCTTGCCAGGAAAGGAGAGCGACGCTAAAGCGCGGACTGATGCTGAGAGGGAGGATGGATCAAGTTTCTGCCATCAGCACTGGAAAGGACCTGGGCACATATCCATAGGGATGCTTTTAAATACTTTTTACTCTGGCTGGGGGTGGGGTCTGGACACCAGGCCAGGATGCACTGGCACCTCCACCAGCACCATTTCCGGTGGTGGCCCTCAGCCCTCTGAAGCTGGCCCCATCAGAGGATAGTTAGGAAGAACTCAGTAGACGGACTGAACGGCTCCTGAGGTGACTCTGGAGGTGACGGTCATGTGGCAGTACTGCTTTGCCATGGCCCCCCTCTCCTGTTTCGGGCTTTCTCATTTGAGAAAAGCTAAGTACTGGTTGGAACAGAGAAGCAGGAGACATGCCCCCATGTAGACTGAGGCCCACAATCCATACCCATGAAGTCAGAGGCCTGAGCCTGTAAACAGACTGGTTCATGATCCTCTCTCTCCCCTACTTCTTCTGGCCATGGGGCCATCTGACTCAGTTTACCTCCTTGTGAATTCTGTACTCTTTGATTTTTGCTCTTCAGTCCGCATGGCTAGAAGCTTGTGAGTTTTGACTCAGAATGTTCTTTCAAGGCTTTGTTATAGAGGATTCTATCAAATATCCTGAGACCGTTAGGACTGTTGTTAAAGTGGGAGGGGTGGGGAGAAGAAGACATGGGGACTGGAATTCAGCGTTGGGAAGGACCCCGCTGGCGCAGTACACAGTTTAATCCAACGTCTGAAACCGGCGTCCTTGGGAGTGGATCGCACATCGCGCAGTGAACAGCAGCGCTTTGGGTCATTCCCCTGCCCCTTTGCTGGTTGTTCCTCTCTGCACATGCTCAGTTCCTCTTTTCTTACCTCTCGCAGGCAGTGGCCGATCACATCCCTCAGCTCGTCCAGGGGGTGAGAGGGAGCCAAGCTCAAGCAGAAGACCTCAGCGCCCAGCTGGCCCTCATCATCTCCAGCCAGAATTTCCTGCAGGTAACAGACACCAGCAGCATGGTCCCTTGTGGAAGCCCCAGCTGGCAATCCACCCTTTGTCCCTAAGGAAGGGAACATGCCTGTGTAGACCTCACAGCCATGGCTAAGGTTTTGTCTGAGCAGCTGCAAGGCCTCTGTACATTTCAGGTGAGGGAGATGTCACTGGCCAAGCTGAATGCTAGTGATCAAGACACACACCAGTGGGTTGGTTTTCAGATGCTGCCCACGCCTCCACTGTGCAGAGATAAAACACAGCTGTTTTAGCCTACTTTCTTGCGTCTTTATTTACAAACACAGAGAGATACATTAGCAGGGGTGTGGGGAGGATATATAATCTTTTCTTTAATGTTAAAGATACCTTTGTTAATTCGTTGAGAATGTCATGCACTGCAATTTGACCAGATTCACTTTGGCTCCTCACCTTAGCTTCTTCCAGAACCACCCTCACCTCTTTACCCACAACTTAGGCTCCTCAGTTTTTACAATTGAATAACCTATTGGCTCTAGTTTATGTTGTGCATTGTACTTCTGCTGCATGCACGCTAGAGGGTGGTGACTCTGCCAGGGGCCACACCCTTAAAGGAAACTGACTCTGTTAGCATCTGACACATGGGGACTCTTGAACCCCTTCCCAGTTCACACGAGAAGAACGCTGCCTGGCTGGGTATTGTGCAGGTCTTGTGCCGACCGCCATGGCTGTTAGGAGTTCCTGAACATCACAGTCATGTCCTGTCCAGAAGACAGTTTTGTTCCAAACCTCCCTTACTACTGGCTCTTAAAAGCTTTCTTTTTTTAATTGAAAATATTTTTTTCATACAATATATTCTAATTGTGATATATAATCCTCTGAATTACATTCATTGTATATACACCATCTGGGCATTGAACCTAGTATGAGAAGCAATTGTTCTAGCCCTGAGCTTCAGCCCTGCCCTGCCTTTGTAATGTGGGCGCTTGTGATTCAAAAGGTCTCCCATGTCTCTGTACTCTACCTTTAACCATTGTCCCTTTATCAGGCATGCTGGTTTTTATTTGGGGGCCACGCCAAGCACCCTGTAATTCAGTCCTCTTTGTGTGCTCATTCTTCACCCCCAACTTGAGTTATTTACTTGGGTGAACTCCTAGAAATCAGTTTGCCAACAGCTTATTTTTTCTTTGTCACATTAGGATTTAGAAGATCTTTCCCTTTTCCTTAGTAATCACGGAGGTAACTGTGTATTTAGTCTGCACCCAGGCGAACCATAGAGAGTTAGGATTAGGCAGTGTGGGGGTTCTTCTCAGTCCACGCTGGCTGAACCTGCTTGCTAGTGCTCTCTCCCACCCCTTCCCTCCCCGTTTCCTCCTTTCCCTTCTACCTTTTTTCTCTGTCCTTTTTTTTTTCTTTTCTCCTGTTCTTCTGTTATTATGTATTTGTTTGTTTTGGTTTTTCGAGACATGGTTTCTCTGTGGAGACATGGTTTCTCTGTGCAGCCCTGATTGTCCTGGAACTTGATCTATAGATCAGGCTGGCCTCAAAAGCACAGAGATCCAATACCTGCCTCTGCATCCTAAGGGCTGAGATTTAAAAGCGTGTGTCACCACTCCGAGCTCTCTCCTACTCTTTTAACTGCTATTGTAGATACTTAGATCTTTATGAGATGTCTCTTAAGAGCAACAGAATCAACAAACCAAAAAGTATGTGTTTAAGCCAAGTAGTGGGGAAACCCCCTGACTATCATGGGCTTGAGAAACACATGGCATCGCCATGATTCATGAGGCATAGCAAATTACAAGAGAAGACTTTGCCATATTCGATTATATACTGTGTATAGATGAAAGCAATCTGAGAGATTTGAATAGAAAAAGTAATCAAGTTAGAAACTGCAAAGCTAACATTGAGCTACTTGGGAGCTATAATCCACAGAAACATCCTAATATGGCAATGACTCCCACTTCGAGCTGGTGTATTAGTAATACCTCAGGTGCTGCAAGGCTTTCCTGGAGAAGACTCACTAGATGGTCCTGACCACCACTATGGAGCAACTCACTCACCAAAGCCGTGCCCAAGGGTGGTGTCAGTCCTTAGCCCCTTGTCCTACCTGTCTTTTTATCTGACTTACTGTATAACTTTAAAATAGCTATAGGCGGAATTTAGGTATATGTTCAGAAAGATAAAAATACTAAAACATAAGACAGTTTGAGGTGTGGCTAAGCATTTTTAGACTAATTGAACCTCTAATCTTGCCCTAATTACAAAACAGTGGAACAAACAAATATGAAACAAAATAGAACCCAATAAAGTAAGATTAAGTAAGAACGACTTTACAAGGTCAGCATCTTAGCCTGCCAGCCTGGGTAGTCTGGTCTAACGAGAGTGTGTGCATGGTCAGCACCCAGTGGCGTCATCTGCTTGCTTTATACCTCTCTCTCCTAGTCTCTTGTGAAAATAACTCCATCCATATCAGCCTTCCATTTAACTCTGGAAGAGTTTAAACTCAGACACACTGAGGCCGTCCTGTGCTATGCGGTGAAGATGGAGAGACAGACTGATCAAGCAGCATCTTTACTCCTGCTTGGTTTTTGTCTTGTGTTTTTGAGCTTTGTTCATATGTGAGTCACTTGCCTCTTAGATGGGGCTGGTGCTTAAGTAGTAGTGTGTGTGTGGTGTTCCTTCATCAGCATTTTAAAGTTCCCGGCAAGCATAAGTCATTCCAGTGTATTTTTAGAAAGTGATCTCATTCTCATGGCTGTATGTCAGAAAAGAATGTGAGTTAGACTGGGAAGTTAACAAATACAACTGAAATTTAAAAATGTTTTATATATGTGTGATCTATATTTTACTATTGGGCTACCCTCCCCTCAGCCTGAATATACATTTTCAGCTTTCCTCATGAATATTGTAGAATTGCCCTTCCAGAAGGATGAGCAAATCCAAATTTACGACTCGCAGTATATAGAGCATACTCTTTAATACATCTTTTATAGGATGGAGTTAAGAGCTTTAAGAAAGCATGTTAGCTTGTTTGTTCTTTAAATTCGGTTTGACTTGATTTCATCTCCTTTGTTTTCAAATGTTAAGCATTTTTCGTGCACTTCAGTATTACGTTTTTAAGACCTGGTAACCTGAAATTATTCAAGCGCTTTAATACTTAGGTCTGGTTCTTCCGCTGATTCTCATTAATTCTTTAAATACTAAAAGTAGTACTTTTACCCTGAATATTTATGACCAGGCACTCAAATCATTACCATTTTTCTGACACACACTTACAGCATACATTTTTAAAGCTTTAAAAGCCTGCATGCTTTTGAGTCAGAAAAACTACTTCTATAATTTTACACACTGAAAATGACTGAGTTTTAGCTAATTCTTTACAATTTTTTTTCTGCACTGGCAAGGAAATGAACACGTGCCCAACAATAGGAGACTGAGACACATTAACAGGACTCCTAGAACACTGTGTACCTAGGAAAGCGGTAGAACTGGATATTGTAAAACAACACAATCTTGAAGATGTATCTACATGTGCATAGGCATTCATGCTTGCTGAGTGTGTTTTGGTTTGTGAAAAAGTAAGATCATATTTTCCTTTATTTTTCTGGTCTAATAGGTGTACTTAAATGTCAGGGTAAAGGACTGCTCTAAGAAACACTAAAGAAATTTTTTTTATTAGATAGCTATCTTTGGAATCTAATTTAAATGAGAATTTGAAGTCACTTTCATCAATTTGCCTGCCTTGCCCCTTATGGTGCTTTGTACTGCCCAGAAATATCTGATTTACCATGGTAATTATTATTTTAAGATTTATTTAATTTTAGGTTACATGTTTGTGTTTTGCCTATGTGTATGTGTGTACCGTGTGTGAAGACCATGGAGGCCAGAAGAGGGCATCAGATTCCCAAGAACTGGAGCACAGACAGCTTTGTGAGCTGCCCTGTGGGTCCTGGGAACTGAACTTGGGTCCTCTGCAAGACCAGCTAGTGCTCTTTACCGCTAAGCCCCACCTCTCCAGACCTGGGAGCTAGTTGATATTTAATGTCTCCCTTTGTATTAGTTATTCTTTATGGCTATGACAACAATTGCCATGACCAAAGACAACTTAAGGAAGAAAGGGGTTACTGTGTCTTAGGTTCCAGAAGGATGGAGTCCATTAATGGGGGAGAGGGTGTGGCCTGGCACTCTGGTAACAGAACCCTGGCTTGTCACATCTCATCTACATACAGGAAGCAGCTAGAAAGAGATGAGAAGGTAGGGCGATGCTGTGAACCTTCAAAGCCTTGCCCTCGCGTGCTGGCTGGTTTTATGTCAACGTATCATAAGCTATAGCTTATGGGAACCTCAGTTGAGAAAATGTCCCAGAAGATGGGGCTGAAGAAGAGAAGCCTGTAGAGCATTCTCTTAATTCATGATTGACGGGGAAGGGTCCAACCCATTGTAGATAGTGTCACCCCTGCCCTTGTGGTCCTGGGTTCTATAAGACAACAGGCTGAGCAAACCATGGAAAGCAAGCCAGTAAGCAGCACCCCTCCATGGCCTCCGTATCAGCTCGTGCCTCCAGGTTCCTGCCCTGTTTGAGTTTCTGCCCTGAATTCCCTCAAAGATAAACAGTGCTGTTTCCTCCTCAAGTTGCTTTGGTCATGGTGTTTCGTCACAGCAGCGATAACCCTAAGACACCTTGTAGCACACTTCCTCCAACAAGGCCCTACCTTGTAAAGATTCCCCATGTGTTCAGACATGTGATCCTGTGGAAGACATTCCTCATCCAAACAACCACACCCTGTTTTAGGGCAAAAGTTGTTCTGGTCCCTATGGAGGCAGTGCTGTTGCTTCTTTTCAGCATCTTGTTGCCCAGGAGATACCTTACTTCCTGTTCATCTCTCCGCAGCCTGGAAGCAAAATGGTGTCCTCTGCCAAGGCAGCTGTCCCCACTGTGAGTGACCAGGCTGCAGCCATGCAGCTGAGTCAGTGTGCAAAGAACCTGGCGACCAGCCTGGCCGAGCTGCGTACCGCCTCGCAGAAGGCAAGTGGGCCTTGTGCCCGTGGTTAGCTCTTCGGGCGACTTCTCATCTCTTTGTGATGGTGTGATATGAAGGCTACCCAGGCCCTAGCACTGCTGGGCCAGTTTCTCAACAGAGCCATCTTAGAAACATTAAAGACAGCACTGTGGGGTAATATTTAGCATAAGCTCCCAGGCTTGCTCATCACCTTCCTGTTACAGATGACTTCAAGCTCTATGCCTCTTCCATCTCGTCCTGTTTCCTGGGACAGGTGATGGTCTGTTTTCAGGCTTAGGTCAGACTGTTGATCTTAAGTGTGTTGATAACCAGATCAATTGCAGGTCAAATAAATGTGCTGAATAGCTTTTCATTGCTAAGGCAAATACCAAAGAGAATCAATATAAAAGGAATAAAGGTTTAGTTAAGCATGGAGGCACTTGGTAAACCCAGCACTTAGTAAATGAGGCAGAAGCTTCCAGAAAGTTCAAGGTCATCTTTAGTTATTTGGCTACTTAGGTCATCCAGGTCTGTGGATGACCCTGCCTTAAAAAAACAAAGGAAGAGTGAGGGCGCTGAAGGAAGGAAAGGAAAGAGTGAAGAAAGAGGAAGAAGAAGGGACATCATGGCGCATTTCTGTTCTCTGTTAGCTGGTCTGCTTGCCTGTGGCCGGTAGCAATACTGTGTGCCTTGTAGTGGCAACACTATGTGTCTTGGTAAACGTTCTGGTGAGTGGAATTTGCTTACTTCATGGCAGCCAGGACGCGAAAGATCTGAGATGGAACCAGGGTCCTAGTGACGCCTTCAAAGGCGCGCCCCCAATAACCTACAAGGTGCCACTTCATAAAGGTCCCAGCACCTCCCAAGAGTGCCAGGGGCATGCTGGGTATCTACATTCTAATAAGCACCCACCACACACACACACAATCCTTCTTCTCATGAGGCTCCAACATTTCAGATCCAAACTAAAGCAACAATTGATGAGTAATTCATATCTTCCATGTATCATCTTGAGAACTTTAAAACAAATTATATGTGTAGAAAATATAGTTTGGAGTCAGGCTGTCATCTTAGCTGTGATTTTTCTGCCCTAAAATGTTTTCATACCTTACATGGACATGTTTGCCTTACAGAACCTCAGTAGAACAAAACTGAGGACTAAGGAAATTTCTGTCTCTGAAACTCAGTTATCAGAGGAGTTCATTATAACTGATGTAGTTATTAGCATGAAGTTCTGGCTTGATTTCATTTTTTCCCTTGTAGCAATCCCTTTATAGAAACTAGCAGGCTTATAAAGTGGTGAGAGAAGAAAATAGAAGCCAACTTGAAAGCCTGACATGAACAGAGATTCTCCATTGCCCTAGACTATCTCTAGCAAAGATGGTTTTTGAGCTATTTTTCAAAGAGGTCCTGGAACCATCCACACTGTAACTGCCTGGTGTGTGTGTGGTGGGTGCTTATTAGAATGTAGATACCCAGCATGCCCCTGGCAAGCCCATCCCCAGCACCAACCATGCAGCCCCCACAGCTGCAGGCTGATTCCTCAGTGAATTTTAGCATATGCCAACATCACAACAGTTACCCCGGGACAGTGAGCCCCAAAGTGATACTTAAGCATGACTGTCTGCTGGTCCAGAAAGAGGCCACAAGAGCTTTTCATTTATTTGTTTTAATACATCAGAAGGCATGAAGACTCTGGAATCAGGTAGTGTGGATTTGAATTGGGCCTCTGTCGTTGTCACCTTTGTTGACCTCTCTGAGCTTCTGTACAGAACAGCATGGACACCTAAAGATCAGCCACCTCATATTTACTGCTGATAATTTATAAGTGTTGAGAATTCTGTTAGGCAATATTACATATGCATAAAATTTATTAATGTGTTTTGGGGCCATGAAGTCCTGGCTATTGGAGGCCGTGTTTGAAATGATCAAGAGATTTAAATAAGTAAAGCAAATAACTAGATGGGGAAGTTTATAAATCTTTTGTATGGAAAGCTAATGATTTATGGTGTTGAAACCTATGAAAAGAAATTGCTGTGGGCTCTCTGAGGAGTCCTTCCTCGGTTTGCTTATCCACTCCTTTGCTGCATGTGTCCCGATCCTCTGTACACACACATCTGAGTACAGCCCAAGCCTGTGTACCTACAATGCTCTGCTGTGTGCCCTGTCACTGCAACCCAGGCCTGATGAATCAAGGATGCATCTTCCAGGTCTGAATGTAAGGTAGCTTCAAGGAAGTTTCTAAGTGTCTGCAGTCCTGAGACACACGTAATTAATGACTTAGGAAAAATGTGGGGAAGGACCCGAGTGACGAAGGTTCTGTCCTCTCTGGGGAAATACTTGCTACCTTTGCCTTCTCCTTGAGTCAGAGTTACCGGGAGTGTCTAGGAAAACATTTAATAGGTTGTAGAGTGTTAGAGACACTTTCCCAAGCCTACTGTATGCACACATCCTCCACTCTGTTGGCAGGCCCATGAAGCCTGTGGTCCCATGGAAATCGATTCCGCACTCAACACAGTGCAGACTCTCAAGAGTGAGCTGCAGGATGCCAAGATGGCCGCTGCAGAAAGTCAACTGAAACCACTTCCGGGAGAAACGGTAAGGCATTTGGGGTGTGGGTCATGCCATCTTCTCGCTCACTCTCCCACCCTCCCTCCCTCCCTACTTTCATTCCTCCTTTTCTTTCTCCCTCCCTCTGTTCTTCCTTCCTTTCCTCCTTTTTCATTTGGTTACAGTATCTCATCATGTAGCCCAGGTGACTCTGCAAACTCCTAGGACGGACTGATACAATGTGAATTGTACATTTACACCAAGCAGTAGGTCTAGTAGAGGGCAAAATAGTGTAATTTTTACTTATTTTGTCCATTTGTGTGTGTGCGTGCGTGTGCACACCCGGGGGGGGGGGGCGTTGTACATACTATGTTCCACCATTGGCTATCGTGGACCAGACTCCATCTTCAGTTGAAGGTATGCCCTTTATTGGGGACGGTGTGTGTTTTAGACTGTATATGTTCTCTTATGTCTTTCTGTCCATCATCATATACCTATGCATCTCTCCTAGACGGCATCCTCATATGTTCGTTAACTATCTGTATCCTAGGCCTTTACCAGTTTCATTTTTTTATTTGGTGGACAAAACAAGCTGGCATGTTGTTCATGAGAGGCACGCCCTCTGCCTTCCTCCATGGTCTCAGTTGCCACTCCAAACCTCCAGTTTTCTTGAATGTCTTTCAGTTTGAACTCCTTGAGGGATAATGGTCCCACCAGCCAGGAAGCTGGTGCAGTTGGATGCCTGCCTGCTTCCTGCCAAGGCGTAATCACTGTCCACTAATGATTTCTTTTGGACTTTCTGAAGGCCTCATGCTAATCGCTATAGTCTGCTAAGGAGCTGCATTCATTTGCTGAAGGCCGTCTTAGCTAGGTCCCTCCAGGAGTGGGGCTTAGCGAGGGTCAGTAGCTCACACAGTTTCACAAAGCTAGTGGGACCTGCATTGAGCTCACTTAGTCTAAGCCGGGCCCTTTTCCTCTGTCCTGCCCAGCTGACTAGGGTGAGAAAGAGCTCAAGTTCAGGTTCTGATCCGCATCATTGATCTAAATCATGCTGAGACCTCAAGAGAATGTTTCTTTTCTAAGTTCTGTCTTCCTTGGATTTCCTTACAGCTAGAAAAGTGTGCTCAGGACCTGGGAAGCACCTCTAAGGGAGTGGGCTCCTCCATGGCACAGCTCCTCACCTGCGCTGCTCAAGGCAACGAACACTACACAGGTAGGACTGACTCTCGGATTCTCTGGGATGCCCATGCCGGGGTTGCACGCAGGTAGGACTGACTCTCAGGGTCTCCTGCTGCCCGCGGTGGGGTTGCACACAGGTAGGACTGACTCTCAGGGTCTCCGGGATGCCCGCAACGGGGTTGCATACCCAGGACAGGGTTGTACGCCCAGGTCGGGGTTGCATGCCCACGGTGGAGTTGCACGCCCGCAGGTCTGGAGAGAAGGTTCGCTGGCTGACAGTAAACTTTTCCCCCAGCTTCATGGCACACCCATCAGGACAATAAGCTTGCCTTTTCCCCCCAGCGTGACAGCATCCGTCAAGCACAGTTGCTAAGTTCTTCCCAAGCATGGTTGATACTTTTCTCACGGCTGTGAATGAAAATACCTGATGAGTGTCCAATTAAGTGGGGAAGTGTTTTTGACTCATAGTTTAAGGCAATAGAGTCCATCATGGCTGAGAAGTCATATTGGCAGGACCATGAGGCAGCTGGTCACATGGTACCCACAGTCAGGAAGCAGAGAGAGATGGATACTGCTTCTCGGCTTGGCTGCCTTCTATTTATTCAGTCCAGAGCCCCAGCCTATGCTCATGCCTGCATCTACGATGGGCCTTCTCACCTCATTCAACCTATCTCCAAATTCCCTCACAGACATAACTAAAGATCTGCCTCCTTAGCCTGGCTCGTCTCTATTCTGTCAGCTTGACAAGGAGATAACATAATAAAATTAAACTACATGTAGATCCCAAGCAGTAATTGTACATGTTTAGGACTATCTCTAACTCCAGAAATCCCACCAAAGTATAGAAACATAAAAGCTGGAGAAAAAAGAATGTCCTCAAAGTCAGAGGGAAGGCAGGCGATGGGAATGGTGGAGCTGAATGAGTCCAGGGAGGGATGGAAGGAGGGGAACCAGTGAGAAGGAAGCTGGGTTGTGTTGCTGGACAAGGCACTAAAGGGACCTGAGTTTTCCAGTGCCAAGTGTCTGTCCCTGAAAGGCAGAAGAATCCTTAATTAGGAATCGTGAGGAAGAGGCTGTGTAGCTAATGAAAGGGAAAAGCAGAGACTGCTGGCTGGGAGTCATGACATCTGTTTCCGGTTTCTGTCCCAGGGTGTCGCCCCCTGTGTGTAAGTGAGGCTGCAGTAAGGCTGTAGTGTTCACCAAGGCTGGAACTATTCTCTCGCCCACCCCATGTGATCTCTCTCCCTCCCTCCGTCCGTCCCTCCCTCCCTCTCTCTTTCTCTCTGCTGTTATAAATTAGGAAATGCCTTGAGAGAAGAAGCAGCCCTGAGCCTTGGGCTCCTCTCTGCTCTTTTCATCCTTCCAAGATCTTGGCCGGCTCCACCTTGATGCCTTCCTGTTGCCCAACTGACTTCAACCACATGTTTCTCAGTTTCTTTGTGAGAGGGTTGGTTTGCAGTGAATTAATCTGCCATTCCTCTAAGCAAAATAAAAAATGCACATATTTATTAGTTGGAAAATAAAAGAACAAAACAGGAAGTCAAGTGGTATCGTATAACACAATATGTGCAGTAATAAAAATCATAACTGTCCTATGCCTCATCAGAGAATACGGGAATGTTTTAGAGGAGACCAGGGTGTCGAAGATCACCCAGAACACTTTGAGGGGCTCCAGAAGAAAGGGAAATGTAGGTATGACTTCTTACAAACTAGAATACAGGAGAGAAGTTTACGCTCTAGAAACTCCTGCATGATCCTAGAAGTCTGGCAGATTCCATGTAGATGATAAAATGTGTGCTTCAGGGAGGGGACACTGTGCTGGAGCCCTCGAAGGTACATCACTTGGTACAGACGATATGCAGGATGGCAAGCAGCCTCTTTGCTTGGCATCTGAAAAACAGCCTAGATAGCAAGCCATTCAGCTTTGACAGGCATTGGGAAGGTGGTGTTGAAATGGGTGCTGTGTGTACGAGTTCTCAAAGGTGAGTGAGAAGACTGAGTCAAGGAACTGGGAAGCTTCTAGTAAGAAGGAAGACACAGCTGGGAAGCTGAGCCAAGGTGCAGCTACCAACGGGTCTCGTAGGCAGCATGAGCAGCTTCGGGTTTCACCAAAATCCATGGGAAACCATTGGAGGGTTGTAGCTGTGGAGACAGGTGACAGTGGCCTCTGTGTGACTCTTCCTCCTGTGTGTGGAATAGACCGTAGAAAGCAGGGACACTGACAGCCAGACTGCTGAATTCGTCTAGATAAGGTGGCGATCTTCTGTGAGCGTTGGTCAGCTTTCTGTCACTCAAGTAAAATAGTTGAGGTAATTAGCTTCCATAGAGAAAAGGTTTGTTTTGGCACATGGTGACTCTAGTCTATAATGATGGCATAAGATGGCAGGAGAATGCAGTAAAACAAAACCGCTTACGTCATGGCCAGTGAGAAGGAAGACACAAAGGGTGTCTCCCATAGCCATCTTCCAGAGCACATGGCCGGTGTCCTGAAGTCCTCCCACTCAGCCCTGTGTCGTAAAGCTATTAGCATCACCTTGTCTTTAACACATGGACCTTTGGTGTTCAAACATTCACCATCTAGAATATGGCAGTGGTGCATACAGGGTGATAGATGAAAGAAGCAAGCTGACACTGCTTGGTGATTGATAAGGATGAGGCAGACATGGAGATAAGGAGAAAAACAAGGATTCTTGGCCCGTCAGCTAAATGAAGGGTTCCGTGAGCTGCTAGAGTTAAGATCGCAAGATTGCTAGGGTCGAGGGTTGAAGTTCAAGGATGCAGTTCAGTTCTAACTTCAGATGGACTTGGCTTAAAGTACTTAGTGTGTGTACCTATAGAGATGCTGTAGGCAGCTTGCTGTCTGACTTTCTTAGAAGATGAGGCTTGGCTGGAAATGGAGATTTTGTAATTATTAGTTTCGCCATGCTCATTGAAACCTTAACTGTGGAAAAGTTTGCCTGGAGTGAGTGGTCAATTGGGAAAAGGTTAACTAGTGAAGCATGAAGCCAAATGATAGTCATGGGAGCCACATCCATGGGTGAGAGATAACGTGTCTCTGGAGACAAAGAGCTGCTTCCCAGAGAGTCCCATGGGGCAATGGAGATGCCTCCATTAGCTTTAGGAGTAAGGAGGTCCTTGCCCATCTGGTTGGGGGCAGTTTCAGCAACTGAAGAGTGTGGGGAGCAAGGAAAGAGAGAGCAAGGTAGACAGTTCCTCACTGAGTCCAGGATCCCTCCTTCCATGTTTGAGACGTGGAATGTTCAGGGGCTACATATTAATTATTAGTGGGCTGTACCAGAATGTAAGTGGGTTTTTGTTTGGCCAGTTAAATAGTCCAAATACATTTCTAAATCATTCAACATAGCTACATACAAGCTTTTACTCAAAACAGAGTAAAAGATTATATCATTTCTAAATTCATCTTGGAGCCTTGCATTTTGGTCCAGCACTGGCTTGGCATGCAATACATGTGAATTCTGGAAATAACAAACATTCTGAGAGCTGGGCGTGGCAGCATGTGCCTGGAGACAGAAGGATCAGGAGCTCAAAGCTAGCGTGGGGAACATGAGACCCTCTTTGAAAAACAACTTCACAGTATGCTGATATGTTTGATACCTCTTGCTGTCCTGAAACTCTGCTACTGAGTATAACTGAAGATCCAGATGTGAACAAATATCTGTGTTCTCCAAGGATTGTAGCTATGAGAACAGATGTGTGGTCTACAGCCTGCCCCTGCTGGGTTACAGATCTTCATGTACACTTGACCAGAAGAGAAATACGTGATAGTAGGGTCTTGATGAGAAGGAAGAGACATTGCTGATTTTGACCACATGACCCTATAGTGATTCATGGCTGTGAATGCAGCCATATTGGACCTTCAGGGTTCAATGGACTCACTGGTGGCCTTGTTTCATCTTCTTGATGACGTGACTTCCTCTCTCTGGGAAACCTGGTTCCTCCCAAAAGGAGTCTTGTTTGTGCCTTGTGATTTCCCAGTGAGATCTCCATAGAAGGTCCATGGAAAGGACAGGTTTCTTTCCATGTTTCTGCCTTTCAGAAATCATCTTAAAGAACAGTAGGGTGGCTCAGCGGGTAAAGATGCTTGCTGCCAAGCCTCATGATCTGAGTTCAATTCCTGGAACCTTCGTGGAGGAAGAAGAAACTGACTCCCACAGTTGTCCTCTGACCTCATGCATGCCACGCCTACCTACACACGTACACACAGACCTACACCTAAACTGTCGCATTTGCTCACACAAAATAAGTAAATAAAATGTAATCTTAAAATTTTTATATCTTCTTAACCTATAAAATATTTTCTATCTAGTAGCTTTATGTAAACACAGATTTTCTAAATGCGTATTGTGAATGTTTCATTTTTTTAAATTCTTACAAAATTTGAATAGAAGTGGATTTAAGAATCCAAATAATAAAAGGGAAGTGACAATAGGAGATGTCTTTAAAAAAAGAAAAATCACAGCCTCGAATCTTCAACAGTCAATTCTCAGTTACTCCTGAAGCGTTTGGGAAGCTATGGCCTATGAGAGAGCCAGCAGTCTAGACATACACTTGGCAGGGCAGATGGTGAGATAGATGATAGCCTGACCACATCTGGAGTTCTTCTGCGTGAGGACATCCTTCAACCTGAGCCAAAAGCTGAAACAGAGAGTGTTTCTCCTCTGGCCTTAGCTTTATTTATCCTTGTGTTTTCTATTCTGGACTTCTTAGTTCCTGCACACACACAAACACACACACAGACCTGTCACACACACATAACACACACATACACACAACTATCACATGCACACACATACCTGTCACACACATCACATACACACCCATCCCATGCACAACATATCTGACACACATATCACACACACACACACACACACACACACACACACACACACAGAAATCCCGAGTTTAATGCCCTTCTTTTCCATAGGCTGGCTGACAAAGCATAGATTGACAGTATTGTGACCTGCCATGGTTAGGCTGCAGCACTCCATCCAGCTGTGTGGCACGCAGATCATTCATTGAGTCTGCAGCTACAGAGATGGCTTTATGGGGTCTGGGGCTTTTCTTCTTACGGAGCCTCATGGGTATGACAGGAAAGGCCATCAGCTGTGTCTGTGATGACTCGAAGAACAGCTCTGAAGAAAGCTATACTCCAGCCTGAAAGGAGAAGCTTCCGTGCATAGTGCCAATAAGAGGCCCTCACACCTCAGTGTTCCCAAGAACATTCTAAAGACTGTGTGGCAGGAAGCTAGGAACCTCAGCTCCAGCTCCAGTGCTGCCTAGGAAGTGTCCTGTGGTCAGGACACTGCCACTGCTAGGCCTTCTGGGCAACCATTCCTTGAGTAAAACTCCATGGTAGATCAGACCCTTTTGTCCACAGGAGAAAGTCCCCCACGCTCCATCCTCTCTGTGGTGGTCTCAGGGTCCTTACAGTTGGACATGTGTTTGTTCCGCATGAAGTGATGCTGAACCTTTAGAGGACTGGTGTACATTCATCGTGGCTCCGCAGACCTGCTATCTGCATCAAAATGGATTTAAAGATAGGCACTCACAAGAAGAGATCCAATAGCCACTAAATGTATTTAAGTGTTGTCAACATCATTCCCATACTAATTAGTTTTAGTTGACAGCTTGACACAGCCTAAAATTATCTGGAAAGGGAATCCTTAAAGCAAATTAAGATCTATTTTTTATGTATATGAGTGTTTCGCCTGCATGAATTTATGTATATGTACCATGTGCAGGGCCAGTGCCCTCAGAGGTGAAAAGAGTCTCAGATCCCCCAGAACTGGATTATCAACAGCCGTGAGCCATCATGTGGTTGCTGGGAACCTCTGCAAGAATAGCACGTGTTTTTTTATTGCTGAATCATCGCTCTAGCCCCATGGAAAGAGAATCTTAGTGAGGAATTGTCTAGCCCAGCTTGGCCAGTGCGCTTGTCTATGTGTGAGGTCTTGATTTCTGGGCCATCTAACGTCCTAGCGAATTGTAGGCAGCGTCATTCCCTAGGCATGGGGTTCTGAGCAGTGTAAGGGAGACGAAAATGCAAGCAAGGAGCCACCATACCTTGGTTTTCTTTCTCTGCTTTCAACGGTGGATGTGGTGGTTTGAGTTCCTGTTTTGACTCCCTACAGTAATAAATGACAATCTGGAATTATTAGCTGAGCAAACCCTTCTCTCCCCTGCGTTGTTTATTGTTATTTGTCATGGCGACGGAATAGAACTTGGATGGCTACTTCTCATGCAGCTACAGACCCTCAAATTCCAACCCCAACGGTACCCACAGCTCCTCACTGTTGTCTATGGGGTGTGTAAAGGCAGAACCATTCTGGAATCCTGCCGTGTACTATTTTCTAAAGCTACATTAGCCCTCTGTGACTCAGCAACTCAAATCCTAGGCTTTATTCAAGATAAAGCGATTCCACATGTTCACCTGCATGCATGCACTAGACCTTTCTTGGGAGTTTGATCTCAAACACAAAACGGCTTAACTGTCCATCAGCAGAAGGACAGATATGCAAATGTTAGAACATTTGTGTAAGATCAGATAGGAGGAGAGAGAAATAGTTCCACAGAGCAGCACCACTTGAACTCACAGCCTTGATAGTTAGAAAACAGATACTGCATGTTGTGTGGTTCCTTTAAGCCAGCCTAAGATGACAGATGAGATTAATTACTTCCGGTGTGAGGAGCATTGCTGGGAAAGGACACTGTAATGGTGTATGTATCACCATGCAAATTCACTGAAGTTTTCTCTCTCTTTTGTGTGTATAGTTCATGCCCAGTAAAGACAATTGGGCAGATTAGTATAGTAAAATAACAAACATTCTGTGTACTGCATCTTCATGCCTGCTCCCATGTAAGTGGCATTTTAGATCTAGGGACATGTGCGCCAGTGGAAATTGGAGCATGGAAGGGGCTGGAGAGATGGCTCTGTGGTTAAGAGTGCTGACTGCTCTTCCAGAGGACCCAGGTTCAATTCCTACCACCCACATGGCAGTTAACAGCTGTCGGTAACTCCAAGATCTGACACCCTCAGATAGACATACATGCAGGCAAAACACCAATGCCAATAAAATAAAAATAAATAAGTTATTAGGAAAATAAATATATATATAAAAAAAGAAAGAAATTGGAGCATGGAACATGTCATATATTGTGATGTCTACATTGATTGGCTTGGACACAAGGGAGTGAGCTACTTCATTGAGAAACACAGTAACTCACATTTGTCAGAAGAATAGTCTAGACTCCAGGGTTATCATAGAGGAGAACTGTAACTTCTGATGGAATTTGGTAGAAACTCTTAACTGGCTTCTCTCCGCAGGAGTGGCAGCTAGAGAAACCGCCCAAGCTCTGAAAACATTGGCCCAGGCTGCCCGAGGAGTGGCTGCATCCACAAATGACCCCGAGGCTGCTCACGCCATGTTAGATTCTGCTCGGGATGTGATGGAAGGCTCTGCCATGCTCATCCAAGAAGCCAAGCAGGCCTTAATTGCACCAGGCGATACAGAAAGTCAGCAGAGGCTAGCCCAGGTGAGCCTGGGAACCGGGAATCATGGTCATTGGGCTTATGAATTCCAGATATGTTTTCCTGGCAGGAATTCTAGGGACTCGGTAGGTATTTTCAGATCTTTCCAAGTGTGTGTGGTAGCAAGCTGGACCATACATGTTGCTCACGGTTATGTCCTACTAAGCATTTCCCACATTAATGTGGCATCTACTTAATTCACAGTCAACAAGTGACTTGGAGGCTTTGAATTCTCTTCAGCTCGGGACTCCAGACATAGCATGCTTGCTCAGGGCTTGAGTCTTCTTCACCAAACTCTTCCTAGTGAAGCAGATATAATACAGGTCCAGCTACCTAAAAGTCCCTTAACCTCTTCTGCTGATTCTTCAGCTACAATGAAACTAGCTGGCTAGGGGCAATCTGAGCGGTGTTCTCGACATGGGACTGGGAAAGTATCTTAGAACTAAACAAAATGTCGCTGCCACTTCCCGGCTTCCCTTTTAACTGAGGCGACCAGAGCTTGCAAGCAGGGAGTCATTTCAGTATTCCTGAAAGGCAGCATGTGGGCATCTTCACCAGGTTGGGCTGGTTGTACTCGAGCACCCTCCTTGTCTATTGTGAAAGTGAAGTCTTGAGGTGGGTGAGCCTCAGAGGGTCAATGAGAAGAATCAGCGACTGGTTTAGCTATGCTCCCAAGAATTTAAGTATAATTTCAACCTTGAGGACCTCAGCAGGACTCCAGATAAGGGAGGCATTTCTGTTTCATTTAAGAGAAGGTGCCTATGCTTTAGGACCTGGTCTCATATTAGAGAATTCTGTGTTGGGATTCCAGAGCTGTAGCTCATCCTGGCCCTGGGGAACAGGTAGCACATGCAGCATTTAGGCTGTTACCCCAGCCCCAGGGTAGCAGTGACTGGAGACCTGGCCAAGCTGATTTAGTTTAGTTAACAGTGTTGGGTGGCTGCCAGTGAATCATTCCCATGTCGGTGGCAGCTCTGCTTGTTTTCTCTGCTCTTTCTCAACAAACGTGCAAAGGCATTTGTGCCGGAAGTGGCCTTCTTAAGGTGTTTCCCTCCCTCTGTGTGTGCAGGTGGCGAAAGCCGTGTCTCACTCCTTGAATAACTGCGTGAATTGCCTCCCTGGCCAGAAGGATGTGGATGTGGCCTTGAAGAGCATCGGGGAGTCCAGCAAAAAGCTGCTTGTAGATTCGGTGAGGTCCTTGTATGGGAAGGGGTACCTAGTTGCTGTCTACCCAAGGAGGGAGCATGACTTTCCCCTTCCTGGATCTCTGAGCATCTTTCTCTTAGGAGTCCTGATGTTCTGCCGTTTTTCTATTTCCTTTCTGGTCAACAAAATTCCCAAGGGAGGAATTGTCGAGGAAGAGTTTGTACTGGCGAGAGTGCACATGTTTGTGCAGTTACATGCATGCATATATGTGCGCATGCCTCTGGAGACCAGAGGACAGCTTCAGGTGTCATTCCTTGGGTGTCTTCCGCTTTTTGTTTGAGGCAGGATCTCTCAGTGACCTGTAACCTCAAGGCTAGGCTGGCTGGTCAGTGAGTTTTCTCTTCCCACCATGACGGGGGTTACAGGTGTGTATCCCCACTCCCAGATTTTTATGCACGTGAATCGAACTCCAGTCTTCATGTTCATATGGCAACTCCTTTACCAATCGAACCATCTCCCCGACCCCCGGGGTAGAGCTTTTAACATTAACGCTTTTTTTTTCTTTGAGTATATATTTACTCTTGAGTCACCTGAGTGGGACAGAAAAGAGGCTATGATCATCTGGGTCTTTATCAGGGCCTGACCGATGGTGACAGACAGTCCAAGGAGAGAGGGGCACCTACTCAAGACTAAGAAAGAAGGCATCATAAGGGTTTTTGCCTTGGAGCCCTCTCCTAGCCCACGCTGCAGGGGAAGCATGGGACACATTTGTCTGCTTCTGGGTCCAAGAGCCTAGCGGTGTGTGTGAGTGCTTAGTAGCGTCTGCAGCCTTGATGGCTGTAATCCCACAAGTGACACTGTGCTTGTTGTGTAGTCCCCCCTCACCTTTAAGTTATTTACAAGGACCACTAATAAAACAAAGTTGGTAGTTATTTGTTAAGAAGAATGGATTCGAAGTTGGCTATCATCAACCACTTAGCTCTAAAAAGCTCAACCTGAGAGTTTGTGTCATGAGAGACACACAAGAGGATAGAGACTGGATCCCAGAGTTGAGTTGTCTGGGCATGAATCCTCACCCTGCCATTTCAGGGAGTGTCCGTGACTGGACAGTAGCTGCTTTCACCACATTTAGCCTCTGTTGACTGCAAAGTGGGTGTTCCATAAGTGTGGTTGGATGGATGGTGGAGGGAGGGAGGGAGGGAGGGAGGGAGGGAGGGAGGGAGGGAGGGAGGGTGATGTGTTGAAGGCCCAGCTTAACATGGGCTCACACTGCATAGCTTTGTATAAACTAGGGGTATAACCACTCCAGGGTGTAGTTGAGGGAAAGATTCTTATTGTATATATAAGGGAAATTACAGACAGAGGCTTCTAGAAGAGTCCAGAGCAGGGAGAGAAAGTGATAAACTGAACATGGCCAGCAGACTTGATGAGGTTATGAGATGAGGGGGATGGGATGGGAGAGAGGAAGTTGAAGAGAGTAAGTAAGTCAAAGTAGAGAGAGCGGGTCAAGAGAGGAAGACAAGAGAGAGAGGGGCGAGCAAGTGCGTGGCTGAAATGGAAGGGTTATGTGGGGATGAGAAGCAGGGTGAGGAAAGCCTTGAGCTGGAGTTAGCCGAAAGGGTGGGGTGAGAAGAGCCACAGGTACTTGTTATCGGAGGCAGCCTGGAAGCCAGCATGCTCTTCGGTATGCTGATAGGCACCTCTGTTTCTCTTGGACCTGCCATCCTCTCCCTGGATGACTCAGAAGCACATCCCTGGGCAGTCACCGTTCCTTCCACAATACCGTCCTTTACCCCCTTATGCAAGGTAAAGCTTCCCATGGCCTGTGCCTTTTGTCCCCATAGCTACCTCCAAGCACAAAGCCTTTCCAGGAAGCCCAGAGCGAGCTGAACCAGGCTGCTGCTGATCTGAACCAGTCTGCAGGGGAAGTCGTCCACGCCACTCGGGGCCAGAGTGGAGAGCTGGCGGCTGCTTCCGGAAAGTTCAGTGATGACTTTGATGAATTCCTGGATGCTGGCATTGAGATGGCTGGCCAGGCGCAGGTAGGCGGGAAGGCGGTTTGCATTGCTCCCCTGAGCCTCCTCACCCTGGTAGACCCTCCAGCTGAGGACAGTCGGGCAAGTGGGAGACAGCATCCTGTAAACAAGCCACATCACCTTCCTTGACTGCCTTGGAAATTCTGTGACCTCACAGGCTTGGCATGCTCAGCCATGGTGGAGATGGTGGTGACTTTTCCCACGGTCCATCCGCAGAGCCTATTGCATTGGTGCAGGGTCGGGGGTAGGGGCCATCAGGAACAGAGAGAATTTTTATCAGAGGTGAGGTGGGCTAATACACAAACATGAACACACATATGTGTGTATTTGTAGTTTGGTGAACTCACTTAATGGATTATATCTGGTACTTTCAGATGATTAAAAATGACCTCATTCAGGTAGAGATGAGCCGCTGGGAACATCATGACTGGTCTGGCATCAGATAGCAGGACTGTTTTTTTTTTTTTCTGTTGTTGTTGTTGTTAATTTGTTTTTCTTTTTTTTTCGTTCTTTTTTTTTTTTTGAGGTTTTATGAATTTTTTTTTTGAGGCTTTATGAGCCCCCTAAAACGATAGCCAGGGTACTTCTTGCTATATTTTCTACAAAAGGTAATTTGTCAGTTAGCAAGCTGGGTGAGAATTGTGTTCCTTCCCCAGTTGGATACTTCCGTGATGCTGTCAGCTGTGAATATCTACACAGTGCTGATCGCTTGTGCCAGGCTGGGATGTGCAAGATGCTTGACAACTCCAGCATTGTTGAGCAAGATGCTCGAATCATTGCCTAGTCTGGGCACTGGGGCAGCTCTCATCCTCCTCCTCCAGTCCCGTAACACTCCCATAGAACACAAAAGCCAAACTCCAGGCTGACCCACTTGGACATGGATTTCCTTCTGCCACATGCATCTTGCTCTGAGCATCTGCTTGAGGATGCATAGACTCTGTTTACACGTCTGCACACCAGCTTTCCTGATATAGTCTATGCCTCCTCCTTGGGAGTTGTTCCTCGCTCACTGAGAGCTTCCTGGGAAGCTGTGGTCAGTCCCAGCTGACTCTGCTTCCTTTTGACTCTCCAGACGAAAGAAGATCAGATGCAAGTGATAGGGAACCTCAAGAACATCTCTATGGCATCCAGCAAGCTGCTGTTAGCCGCCAAGTCTCTCTCGGTAGATCCTGGAGCTCCCAATGCAAAAAACCTCCTGGCTGCGGCTGCAAGGTAGGAGCAGGACAAAATGTGCTTTGTGGGTGTGTAAAGGGTTCTGTCATGGTTGAAGGGTGTGCCAGCATCCTGCCACTTTGGCTGAGCAAAGAAATGCTGCCATCCTTGTTGTCGGGGGTAGAGTAACAAGTACTTTTTCTGTAAATTGATGGAACTTTTGGTGTTCTGTAAAAGTAACTCATTCCTATATTTTGGACCCACTAAAAATGTCTTCCCTCTTTCCAGATGGCCTTTTTGGTTCTTACTTAGACTGCGCTGACTTGTAAACATGATGGTTTAAATCGATTTTTTTTCATGTTCATAGTGTGGTGTGTGTATGTGCATGTATGAGTATGTATATGTGTGCTCAGGTGTGTGTTCACACATATAAAAGCCTGAAGTGGATGTTGGGAATCATCCTTGAACGTACTCTGTTGGTCTTCCCCCTTTTTCACTGATCAGTGTGTCTTAGTCAAACCCAGCGTTTGCCAATAGGACTAGTAGTCTCACTAGTCACCTTGCTCTGAGGCACCCCTGTCTCCTTCAGCCAAAGCTAGACTGACATGCAGGCCAACACGATCATTCTGCACTTTACATAGGTTCTCGGAATCTGAACACTGGTCCCCAAGATTGCTCAGCAATCATCTGAACCACTGAGCCATCTCCCTGGCCCATAAGTGGGTTGATTAAAACAACATTGTGTTGTTCAGATTTTGCAAGAAGTATATGTTCACTGCAATAGACATTGGGGCATACTTAAAAACAGTGCTCGAGCCATTCTGTAGACACTGGGCTCATACTACACACTGGTGTCTGTGTTGGATTCGGTTTTAGGTGTTCTACCCATCACTTGCAGGAGGGCATTGGTTTAGGGTCGATAGGATGACAACAGATGTACACTGTTGTTGAGCTGAATTAAAGTGTGAAACCGAGTTTGGGGTGACTTCAGACCCTTCCCCCACTCACTCAGGGATGCACTTGGGCTCCATAGGTAGGATTGACGGCTGCTCTGTGTGGCCCTGGGCTGCTCTGCTGGCCCAGGACTGACTCCCACAGTCTCATACTCATTTTCCCACACTTCAAGCAAAGGCTGCCTTGTGATTCTACTTATTTTGAGACAGGGTCTCTCTGAGTAGCCCTGGATGTCCAGGAACTCCCTATGTAGACTAGCCTGGCCTAGAACTCCCAGAGATCAGCTTGCCTCAGCCTCCCCCCTGTCAGGATCAGAGGCATGCCCTTGACTTGCATTTGATTTTTAACTTGGTGTTTGTTTGTTTTATTTTGTTGTTGTCCTGTCTTTAAGCTGTCTGAGTTCAAAAACCTTGAATTCTAATCTGAGGTGCTTTAATAGTCTTCCTGCCCGGTCAGATGTTCAGATGGGTCAAGCTGCCCAAACTTGGCTACCTGTAAAGTGGGGTGTAAGCACCAGCTGCCTTCAACAGGTTTTAGCTTTTATGCTGCTAATAGTGGCATTCTGACTCTCCTCCCTTGTTGATGTGAGTGAATTTTTTAAAATTATTTATTTATTTATTTTTTGCTTTGACAGTGTATATTGACGAGAGCAACCTAAGGAAACGGTTTTATTTGGGGCTCAACCTTAAGGGTAGAGTCCGTCATGGCAGGGAAGTCATGGCAGCCGGTCCCATTGTCTCTGCTCTCAGGAAGGAGATGGATGAATGCTGGTGCTAAGGCCCCAGCCCATGGGCTGGTGCTATCCACAACGAGGGTGACTTCCTCATCTCTGTTAGCACAATCAGGAATCTTCCTCTCAGGCACATGCGGTGCTCCCCCAGCCCATGGACTGGTGTTACCCACAGTTAGGGTGACCTTACCTCTGTTAGCACAATCTGGAATCTTCCTCTCAGGCACATGCGGTGCTCCCCCAGCCCATGGACTGGTGTTACCCACAGTTAGGGTGACCTTACCTCTGTTAGCACAGTCTGGAATCTTCCTCTCAGGAACGTGTAGTGATTTGTCTCCCGGGCGATTCCAGCGCCTGTCAAGTTGACAGTCAATATGAGCGATTGGAGCAGCAGGACAGGTAGTGGCAAACAGTAGCCAGAGTCACAGGGGACAGCAAAATTCGCCTCTCATCAGCTTGCTCCAGTCTGTACTTCTCTTGTGATCGCTCTGGTAGAGCAAAGGCCTTCCCTTGACAGTGGGCGTGGGGTCAAGGTGGGTGTCTGTTCTATTTGGACCCCCTCTTTGGAAGGCTTCTTTTTTTTTTTTTTCTTACTTTTTTTTCTGCCAAGAGCCTTTGGGAAAGATGTTTCCAGGTGTCTGAACTCCAATGTTTTTTTTTATTATCTTCATTTTTTGCATCATTTCCAAGTTGTAGTTTCTAGCTTTAATGAGCTGTTCACTCTCTTGAGCTGTGGGAAGAAGGGGAGAATATAAATTGGCTTTTTAAAAGCAAACCGTAGAAGGCCAGACAGACCAGAGAAGAGTGATGGCTCCAGGTATCCACAGGCCCCCTGGTGGTGGCTTTGAGAGCAGGCGCCCAGATGGAAAATCTCAGCCAGTGACCCAGCTTTCAGCCTGGAACTTGAGGGCTGGCTTTGGGTTTTATTTATTTTTTTATTTTATTTTATTTTTGTTGTTGTTGTTGTTGTTTTGAGACAGGATTTCTCTGTGTAACAGCCTTGGATATCTTGGAACTCGCTTTGAAGACCATGTTGGCCTCGAAATCACAGAGACCCGCCTGCCTCTGCCTCTCTGCCACCACCGCCTAGGGAGCCTGAGATTTTAAAGCCAAGAAGGTAGTCAAAACATCTCACTTGAAAGTGTGAAATAGAAGTGTCACGATGATCCTAACACCTCCTTTATGATTTCTTGGTGTATTTTGGCTCCTTCTGCTCCTGAGTGGTTTCTGGTTCCTCAGCAGGCACTCCAGCCAGATCCAGTAGTCGGGCAAGCTTTGTCTGTTTAGGGGAGCATCTGTTCATGCTTGTTTCGTAGGTTCTTTGTAAAAATGTATGTTAGGGGCCAAGGCCAGTGCTGGGTGCTGGGTTCTGGTTGTTAGGTACACACACAGGCTCATACAGATACCTAGAAGGATGAACAACAGGGTCCTTTGTCTTCAGGTCCATAGTCCTCTCCATTCCAGCGACAGCCCAGCCCTGCTTGTTCCTCTGGCATGGCTCTGGCTGGCCTGTCCTCATAGTCCTCTCCATTCCAGCGACAGCCCAGCCCTGCTTGTTCCTCTGGCATGGCTCTGGCTGGCCTGTCCTCATAGTCCTCTCCATTCCAGCGACAGCCCAGCCCTGCTTGTTCCTCTGGCATGGCTCTGGCTGGCCTGTCCTCATAGTCCTCTCCATTCCAGCGACAGCCCAGCCCTGCTTGTTCCTCTGGCATGGCTCTGGCTGGCCTGTCCTCATAGTCCTCTCCATTCCAGCGACAGCCCAGCCCTGACTGTTCCTCTGGCATGGCTCTGGCTGGCCTGTCCTCATAGTCCTCTCCATTCCAGCGACAGCCCAGCCCTGACTGTTCCTCTGGCATGGCTCTGGCTGGCCTGTCCTCATAGTCCTCTCCATTCCAGCGACAGCCCAGCCCTGACTGTTCCTCTGGCATGGCTCTGGCTGGCCTGTCCTCATAGTCCTCTCCATTCCAGCGACAGCCCAGCCCTGCTTGTTCCTCTGGCATGGCTCTGGCTGGCCTATCCTCATAGTCCTCTCCATTCCAGCGACAGCCCAGCCCTGCTTGTTCCTCTGGCATGGCTCTGGCTGGCCTGTCCTCATAGTCCTCTCCATTCCAGCGACAGCCCAGCCCTGCTTGTTCCTCTGGCATGGCTCTGGCTGGCCTGTCCTATTGCTGGCAATTCTGCTGTGCCACTGTTCTTTGGGGCTCTGTGATCCTTCGTGCTTTGGGCATAGAAGTTGCTTTTGAAAAAAAAAAAATACTGGGGGTTATCTTTTCCTCACCTCTGAACCCCGCCTCAGTGCCTCAGGGGGCTGAGAGCCCTCATCTGGCTTTTCCCTTCCCTGGAGCTGGTCTCTTGGTCTGACACTCCTGGAACTTGGGCCTGGAATGGAAAACCATTCTCGAACTGCAGGAAGGGCCCATTCCCTCTGAGCATGGTCCCCACTGATTGACATTAGCATGCATCACGCTGGCCACAGATCAGCCGACTGGTTGTTTCCTTGTCTTCTGAGGGTCTTCCCTAGGAAATGGAGGCTTCTTGCATCCCCTTGGTTCCTGCTAGAAAGGCTTCTTTCTATCTCCAGAGACTGTGACAAAAGATTACCGTGGACGCTGCACAAAGGGAAGATGGCGTGCACCCAATAAAATAGAAAAATATAAATGGCAGCTTCTTTTCTTTGGTCTCATCCAAAACGTTCTCAGCCTTTATCCAGCCAGAATCTAACTCAGCATAGATTCTTTCAATGTCCTTAGTCCTCATTCAAACCTTTGTTTGTACAGAATCCCAGCCCCATGATTGAGGTTGTTGGCGTTTTTTTTCCCCATGCTTTTATCTGGTTATTGTCAGCAATTTATCGTGTTCTGCCTCATGTCATGTCTGTCTCGATGTCTTCCCTTTTCTCATCTTGCTTCTTCAGCCAGATTGTAAAATACAATTAAGAGAAACTTAGAGACTGATTGGGGATCAACCTGAAGACTAGAAAAGCAAAGCAGTCAGTCACTGGCTCTTACCTCGACCTCAGTCCGAAAATGGTGATCCTGCCTCCAGGAATCTCAGAATGAAACTGAGAGCTGTCTCCTCCCATCTTATAAATCCTCTCTAGTTCTGGGATTAAAGGCATGCACTGTCTGGTTTCTATGGCAACTAGTGTGGTTACTGGTATTAAAGGAGTATGTTACCCTTGCCTGGTCTGTAAGGCTGACCAGTGGGTCTGTTTTACTCTCTGAACTTACGGCAAGCTTTATTTATTAAAATACAAATGAAATATCACTATAAGATTGTCAGTACTTTGCTGGCCTAAGATCTCCAAGCCTTGGGCATGAAAAGGCCTAGGGGATGCTTTCAGAGAAATTGACTCCCTCTCTCTTCCCTTCCTTGCAGAAGAGACTAGTCATGTTTTGTTTTTCCTCCAAGTTCCTTAACAGGTGACTGTTTGTTTGCCTTATAATAATTCTAGCACTGCATAGTAAGACTCAGGCTCCAATAAGTAGAGAAAAAAATCCCAATGAGATCTACCAAACTTGAATTAAGTCTGTTCAATAACTCTGGAACAAAATGATTTTACTTTAGAACCCCCCTTAACCTCAGAGGTTGCAGATCTCCATTCCTTAAATACACCTAGATAAAAGACAAAGCATAGGCCAAACAATGGCACACACCTTTAATCCCAGTACTCTGGAGGCAGAGGCAGGTGGATCTCTGTGAGTTCAAGGCCAACCTGATCTACAAAGTGAGCTCCAGGACAGCTAGGGCTGTTACACAAAGAAACTATCTCAAAAAACCAAGATAGATAGATAGATAGATAGATAGATAGATAGATAGATAGATAGATAGATCGAGCAAGCACAAGAAAACACAATCTGTAGACTGTAAAATATAACTATTTAACCTATGTGGAGGGGGTGTGCATGCACATGTGTGCACACATAGTTACGTATGTGCATGTGGAGGCCAGTGGTAAATGTTGGGTGCCTCATTCAGCCTCTCTCCATCTTACCTCTGAGCCAAGGTCTCTCATTGAGCATGAGCTCAGTCTCAGATAGATCGGCTGGTCAGCCAGGCCCAGGCATCTTTTTATCCCTGCTTCCCCAATGTTGGGATCACTGGTGTGCACCACTTCATCTTGCTTTTTATGTGGGTGCTTGGCATCTAAACTCAATTTTTTTCTTTTTCTTTTCTTTTTTTTTTTTTGTTGGTTTTTCGAGACAGGGTTTCTCTGTGGTTTTGGAGCCTGTCCTGGAACTAGCTCTTGTAGACCAGACTGGTCTCGAACTCACAGCTTGCCTCTGCCTCCCAAGTGCTGGGATTAAAGGCACACGCCACCACCACCCGGCTGAACTCAATTTCTTTTTTTTTTTTGAACTCAATTTCTTATACCTACACAGCAAGTACTTTATCAACTGAGCCATCTTCCAAGCCCTAATGTTTTTATATTAAGAAATAAATTAATGCCCATTAAAAAACTGTGGTAAGAATAATAGTAACTATAGATCAGGCATTTTGAGTTTGCAGAGCCCAAATCCTGCTTGTTTTGTTGACCTTTTTTATTATAATATAAATTGGTCAATGTATAGTTTTTTGAGATTTATTTCAGTTTACATTTTAAACAACATTATAAACTCACTATTAACCTTTTTATGCGTTTTAATCTATCATTTGTACAGGGGATGGACTCACACTATTTAGATCATTTTTTTCAATAGTATATTTAGGCATATATCATGAATATTCTAGTACATTAGCAATGTGTCATGCATTATGACTTTTACTGAGCAGCCCCAAACCTTGTTATGTTCTGTGTCCTTATTTAGCAAGTCCTTTATTGGTGCATAGGTAGGGTCCCTGCTCATTCTTTGCTGGAAAAAAAAATCACTGCTGTCTTGTGAAATACGTAAACGTTACTTCTTGTTGTCAAGTATTTATTTGCCCCTGGACCACTGAGTTTCTATAGCTCTGTCATGCAGACGCGAAGATGACTTACAGAGATTAATCATACCGTAATTCTATTTGATCATGGCTCAGTTACCTAGGTGACCTGTTTAGAAGTGCAGTGCCATGCCCGCATTTATGTAGTGTGTCCAACCCCGAGCCACTAGTCTGCCTTGTTTCCTTTGGTGTTTTGTGTTGTGTTTTCCTTATCTCATCTTTTAGTTTAATTATTTTTCACGGCTACAAAAATAAAAGACTAGGAAAGGGGTCTCTTTCTCCCCGCACTGCATCCTCTGGATTCGTGAGTTGTAAACACTTTGTAAGTGGAAAATGGCTCACGTAGTTGAGCTTGTGAACCGAGAGCACCTATGGTTACTGTACACAAGATCAGAAGGTCAACATCTCACAGGGTGGGAATAGGTTCATGAGCCCCGACCCTCGTCCGAGGGACTGTAGGCGGTTGGTGGCTCCTGGATGGGAGCGAGCCATGAGCACCTACCCTTGTCTGAGGGACTGTAGGCGGTTGGTGGCTCCTGCATGAGGGAGAACTAGGTGTCCTCAAGGGCGTGGCTCCTGGTAGGTGGATCCGCTCAGTAAATAATTCCACATCCATGAGCGTACAAGCAGCACAAATTAAAGTGGATGGGCTATTATTTTTTTAAAGAGGCAGTGAGGTGAGGAAGGATCTGGGAGAAGTTACAGGGAAGAGTTGGGGGTGAATATGGCCAAGATACATTGTAAGAAATTCTGAGAAGAAATTAATAAAAAAATATTTTAAATAAAAATAATAATAATAAATTTAAACCAGATAGGGGATGAGAAGATGCCTGCTGCACAAGTGTAAGGATCTGTGTTGAGATCCCCAGAACACACATAAAAACCTGAGTGTGGCCACTGACTTCTGTATGTAAGCCTAGTGCCAGCCATAAGGGTGGGTGGTGGGGCATCAAAGAGAGGCAAAGACAGATCCTGGGACCTCACTGGCTAGCTAGTACCAGCTTCAGTGAGAGACATGTCTCAAAAAATAGGCTGGAAGGAGAGTAATAGAGGAAGACAGCGAATATTGACCTCTGATCTCCAGGCACATACACACAAACATAAATACGCATGCGCACACACTCAGAAACACATTTAAGGAGGAATGGATTTGATGGAAAGCTTCTGTGATGTCTAGAAATAAGCTCTAATGATCATGTGTTCATAATTCAGGACATTCTCTATGCTTTAGTTTGCCTGTCCCCTCAGAATTGGGTCTTGAGAACTGCCAAGCAGGGTGCGGCATTGAGCTCTCTGAGGAACATTTCAAATGCATACATTGTGGACTGTGCCCTCCCAGGTCACTGAAGCTAGGGATGGCCATGCCACCTTGGTCTTTCTTTTTCTGCTTACATGGAGGAAAGCATGCTTTCTGATGACACCATAATAAAGCACTTGACAACAAGCCAAAGCATCCATCCTACAACCACTATTTTAGGGTTCTCTCTTGAGTCTGAGAATGTTTTTCTCTTTTTCATCCTCCCTAGCTAAGCTTAAAATTAACAGCAATATTTGATTGCATAATTCAGCTAAATGCTTTTGTTGGCAACATCGTTTTCCATCTAATTTGATATTCTGTGGCAAGCTGAAAAGCCTGTTGAACTAATAAAATGAGGATCTTTTCTATTTAGATAGTGTTAGTAACTACATGAGTCTTATTTTGGCCTTGCCTGTTCTAGGTTGCTCATCAGCTGTGGCAGGTAGGAAGCATGAGTAGAATTCCGAGCCCTGGACCTGTCATAGTCCTGCAGAAGTGGCCTTGGGGTCCGCTTTAGAGCCACACAGGCAGGCATGGATTTAAATCTTTTTATCTATACTTAATTTGTAGCTTCCTCATAAGGAATCATCACATCTTTTGGAGCCTTCATTTATGAAACATAAGAGATTTATTGCTTTTACTGACACATAGTATCTGTATATATTATTGACACAGTAGAACAATTTAATACATGTGTACAGTGTGCAGTGATGTTATCAGTGATTAGCATTTCTTTTGGGGGCGCTGGAGATAGCATTTCTTTTTGTAGCCCTGGCTGTCCTGGAATTTGCTATGTAGACCAGGCAGGTCTTGAACTCAGAGATTCTTCTCCCTCTTCCTCCCCGGTGCTGGGATTAAAGGTATCGGCAACTACCACCCAGCTGGTGATTAGCATTTCTAATGCCTAGGTATTTATTGTTTCTTTGCAATTTCAGACTTATTTTTTAATTTTTAAAAATTGTATGTGTGTGTGTATTTATATTTGAGAGTGGGTGCCAGTTTGTAAGCTACCCGACACAGATACTAGAAACAAAGCTCGGGTCTTTTGCAAGAGTCGTGCTGTCTCTTAATCACTGAGCCATCTCTGTGGCCCTTTGAGACTTACTATAAAACTATAGCGCTGAAGATAGTGTGATATTAGAGAAAGAATAGACCATTGGTCAATGGAACAGAATAGAATCCAGAAGCAGACCTTTACAAACACAGCCAACAGAATGTAATTACAAGAGCAATTCAATGGAGAAAAGTTGTGTCAAAACAGACTTCCGTTTGTCCCTAAACTAAAAACAAAACTTCAGCTTCTATTTCCCACCTTGTAGAAACTAACTCATAATAGAACTTGAGTTGATAAATTATCCATAACCCAGGGCAAGGTAAGCCAGGGGCTTCTCATGGTGGAACAGAAAAAGAAAATTAGGTTTGCCTTTTAAGTTCTGAAAATAGAAAATAATACCAGGGGCTCTGATATAACCCTATTGGTGTTAATAAAAGAAATAGCTATTTCAAAGACTAGGGCTTGGCTACTCAGGCCCAGTCATTCACATATTCTTTTTTTTTTTTTCATTCACATATTCTTTACCGGAAAGTAGAGATTTGAGGTCCTTGGCAGATTTTGCTTTCTGCTTGTAGTATTTGAAAATGATCAAAATATACCAAGGCTATCCGAAACATCCTGACTGGATAATCTTGTTCCTTAAAGACTGCCACTGAAGGGTCCTGAAAATGGCGTCAGTACGGTCTTTTTGTTGTTTGCAGCTTTATTGTCTCTAATTAATATATCAAAAGATAGTCCTAATTTCTTAAGGGAACTATTAGAGCCCTTGAGAAATCAGAGGAGTAATCAGAAATAAGGTAGGGAGTCTGCCTTTCCTCTTCCCTGGGCGTGTTTTATTAGGGTTGTATAGGGAGAGCTTGTGGAAGAGGCCTCATGGGATCACAGCCTAAATAGTCAGTTCCAACCTCTGCCGAGGAAAACACTGAAATGTGTAATCACATAAAATAGTAAGATGAAGCAGTAACACCTAAGCCCGTGCTCCCTTCTGTTCCTGCCCTAGAGCTGTGACAGAGAGCATCAATCAGCTCATCATGTTGTGTACCCAGCAGGCCCCTGGGCAGAAGGAGTGTGACAATGCCCTGCGGGAGCTTGAGGTGAGTGTCCTGGAAGACTTCCGGGGACGGGAGCACTCGGCGCTTGTGTCTATGGGTCTCTATCCGTGTTTGGTGACTGTCTCTCTTCTGTCTTCGCCTTCTCTCTCTCCTAGGAGGCTGGGAGGAGCTAGAGAAAGTGGCATTTTGTAGTATTTTTGCCCGTGTTCCTTTTTTGTCTAGGCCAACGTGTATTTTGTAAAAGAAACTTTCAGTTCAAACAGGAAGTGGTATTGAGTATAGACGACCTATGAGCAAACTTTATCTACAAAGTAGAGATTATTCTCAGACAACTGGGAAGGATAAGGAGGCTGGGGCTGGGGAACTGGTGTAGCTGGTAAAGGACTCGCCACAGACAGGAGCTCCTAACAACCAAACTCAACCGTCAGACATGGGATGTTCACTGTTCTAGCATGCTCATTTCAGTTAAAAAATATGGCACCCCTAGAGGTGGTAGCACCTGCCTTTAATCCCAGCACTCGGGAGGCAGAGGCAGGTGGATAGCTCTCTGTGAGTTCAAGGCCAGCCTGGTCTACAGAATGAATTCCAGGACATCGAAGGCCACACAGAGAATCCCTGTCTTGAAAAATCAATATGTGTGTGTGTGTATATATAATGACACATGGGCAGTTGGTCTAAATAAGATTTGTTAGCGTGGGTACCCTGTGCTTTAAAGGTGTCCTTGATTGCCAATTTGGTGGCTTTTAACTAGTACTGAAAAGATTTTAGTTACCCAAGAAGAGGCTTGCAATGAAGTAAGCTCCCTCCTTGCACAGCCCACTTTTCTGTATCTTTAAATGGATGTGCATCAGCAGCTCCCGTTATCCCAAGTGCACCCTGTGGAACTCGGCTGCTTGTCATTTGTTGACTGTGCTCCCTGAGGCTGCTGACCCTAGTGTGCAGTCTATTGATGATGAGCAGATTCAGGGGTCCACCCCAGGCTGTCAGTCACTGGAGGAACTCCTCCTGGGTGCTAATCCAAGGTCATTGCGCTGAGAGAGCTAGTGACTTTTTTTTTTTTTCTGATTTGGAGAGACAGAGAAATCGAACTCTACCCATTTTTCTAAATGGGTGCCTAAACAAGAGTAGACTTTTTCTATACTGCTTAAACCAATAACAAATGAACCATCCCAATGGACCATTTTTGGGAATCACCTTCTTCCATGTACTTCCATTAGAAGGTTCCAGAACTGAAATATTGGAATCCTTCTTAACAGTGGATGAGTGAACAAATGTGCACTTGGGATGGAGGCTCTTCAGAGTTACCCAGTGGAGAAATTGTGGTCGCCAACCATGAATATATTGCTTTGCATTAACTTCCAATTTCGTTTTAAAAGTTTCCCTGTAGATAACAAGCTTCTGATAAACTGAACTGATAGCCCCACTGTGGCTCCCACCCCGTTATTGTTTTTGCTGGCAGGGAATCTGAGGTCTTGACACCCTGATCTGAGTTCCTCCTACGACTCTAAATGAATGAGCAATCATGGCCCTTGTCCTAGTCCAGCAAGGAGTAGGAATGGTTACACTTCACAGTGCATAGCCTCTTCTGTGCCTCTGGCTCACTTTCTAAGTTGTGTTCTCCTTTGTAGACTGTCAAGGGGATGCTGGAAAATCCCAATGAACCTGTGAGTGACCTCTCTTACTTCGACTGCATTGAGAGCGTGATGGAAAACTCCAAGGTGAGTCTTTCTGTGTTAGTTACTTCCTCACTGCAGTGATAAAATACCCAAAAAAGGATAACCTAAAGAAGGAAAGGTTTATTTTGGTGTAAATTTGAAGGCACAGCATCATGTAAGGACCGTGAGACAGTCTATCATAATGCTTCTACAGGAAGCAGAGAGACAGATGCTGGTGTTGAGTTCAATTTCTCCTTTTTATGAAGTTCAGGACCATAGGCCTGTGGATAATGCCACCCACATTTAGGATGGGTGTTCCCGTCTTAATTGACCCAGTCTAGAAATTCCCTTCCAGACATGCCCAGAGCTTTATTTCCTTGATGAGTCTAGATCCTATGAAGTTGACATTTGGTATTAACCATCACACTGGGCCAAAACACAGATATCAACACCGATCCTCTGTGGGGAGACATTGAGGAAGGCTTTGAATGCACCTACCTCGCCACTGGATGACCCAATATGGGGAAGCCTTATCATTCAGCTCTTTGCTCAAGTATTCCTCAGCACTCAAAATATTGCAGATCCATGTAGGAAGCTTGGGAAACACCAACTGCCAGCCCCCAGCCCCAAGATTTGAGGTCTGTGCATTTCTGAGGGGTCCCTGTCCTATCTCTGGTCTAGGAACCCTCCTATGAAAACCACCGCTTGTATCATATCATAGATGAGCCTCCCTGGGAACCCAGTCATGTGTTGGCTGTTCTGGAGGCTGAACTGCTGTGGAAAGTCACCCTGTGACCTTGGCTTTCATGAAAGGCCCTTGTCATATTTTGGTCTGTCCAATCATAGCATACATTTTTGAGTGAGTAAGCATTAGGGGTTTTGAGTGACTGGAAAGAAAAGTATTGCAAAACTACCACAGCTTCCAGGCCTTCCTCCATCTTTCCTCAGTAAAGTCTGATTCGTTGCTATTTAACTGAGTGACTGTGGTAATTAAGAAAAGGCAATGGTAATAGTCCTTTGAGGGACAGTAGTAGAGGGGAATGCCTACGAATCAGAAAGTGACAGTGAGGCACCAGAGAGACAGTTGCCACCTGACCTTGGTCCTGGTACCCGTGCATGCTGGTTTCCATCACTTCCATCTTGGAGAACCATCTGTATTGATGATGTCAAGAGGGCTCTGTTCGTGTTGGGCTAAGATGAGAATACCCTCTGTTCAGCAACTTGCTTGGAATAAAGGGCTATGTAAATATGATTTAAATACTTAAATTCAGAAGCTTCCCCCCTTTTTTGAGACAGGGCCTCATGTAGCTCAAGTTGGTCTCGAATGTGCTGTATAGTCAAGGATAACCTTGAGCTTCTGATTCTCCTGCTCTTTCCTCCCAACTGCTGGAATTGCAGATGTGCACCACCACAGCTGGTTCTTTTGGTGGTGGGTGAGGTTATGAGAAAGAGTAAGATTCTGTATTTACAGATACTCCCTAGCTGTTTTGCTCTGCACATCTTTGTGTAAACTCAATTATTTTGTAGATAAGAAATTATAGTAGTTTATTTTGCTTCCACTCCCAAGTGGCTTATTGTCTCAGGAAGAGCCCTGTATCACATTTGAGACTTGACAAAGCCATCTCTCACCCAAGGGTGAACACTTTCTACTCCATCATCCATGGCCCTGGAGAGCACAAACTCTCCTGGCACATGCCAAAGCCCACAGAGAACAGGACACCAGATGAGGTGAGATGCTCTGCTCTGCCCATGAGACCTTCTACATGATCTCAGAGGACATATGACCTCCCTGAGCTGCACACTGACTCAAAATCCTTATCAGCTGGTATTAGGCCAAGGAAAGAATGTGCCAGTACTTTTCAATAAGTCTAACTACTTAAAATACTTAGGAAATAACTTTAACACAATTCTATGTCAATTTTCAGTTAATAAATTAATCATGCCAGGAACAGTATGTCTTCTATTTTCTGGCTAGAACTTCAAGTTCATCTCCCTATGTGTGATTTTATGCTCTTGGAAGTAAGTAGTTGTCAGATTGGGCCATGTGCCCATGAGAGGCTTTATATAGGTTCTTCCTGGTCATCTGTGTGTCCTGACTGTACCTCCTGGAGATAGCGATAACCAATAACCTTTGGATGCAAGGTTTATACTTTTATTATGTATTTATCTTCATCTAACAGAAATGATATAATTCTCTTGAATCTCTCTTGGGCACAGTAAAGGCAAAGATGACAAATGCTTTAAAATAAGTACCCTTGAGTATTAAAGACTACAACTCCTGTGCCTTGGGTTGGAATAAAAGCTCAATGACCGGTTGTTGTTTTGCAGGTTCTGGGCGAGTCAATGGCAGGAATTTCACAGAATGCCAAGACTGGGGACCTCCCTGCCTTTGGGGAATGTGTGGGGATTGCATCCAAGGCTCTCTGTGGATTGACAGAGGCAGCGGCCCAGGTGAGAGCCAGTCCCCTGTCCATCCCTTCTTTCCAGCTTGTGCCCTAAGGCAAAGCCCAGACCCCTTAAGGCAACCTGCTCCAGCTCCCCAAGCTCTGACACAGGAACCATGGGAAGGCTGGTATACTTGCTCCAGCTCCCCAAGCTCTGACACAGGAACCATGGGAAGGCTGGTATACTTGCTCCAGCTCCCCAAGCTCTGACACAGGAACCATGGGAAGGCTGGTATACCTGCTCCATCCAGCTCCCCAAGCTCTGACATAGGAACCATGGGAAGGCTGGTATACCTGCTCCAGCCCCCTAAGCTCTGACATAGGAACCATGGGAAGGCTGGTATACCTGCTCCAGCCCCCCAAGCTCTGACATAGGAACCATGGAAAGGTTGGTATACCTGCTCCAGCTCCCCAAGCTCTCTCTGACACAGGAACCATGGGAAGGCTGGTATACCTGCTCCAGCCCCCCAAGCTCTGACGCAGGAACCATGGGAAGGCTGGTATACCTGCTCCAGCTCCCCAAGCTCTGATACAGGAACCGTGGGAAGGCTGGTTGGTTTTGAGTGGGAGGGGCATATGTGCAGGCTAGCAGCCAGTACTTCCATTCAGGAGTGGGGAGGACAATGAGCCCCTATGAACACTGCAGATGCAGCATGCAGAGGTCCCCTCAGACTACACAAACTCATCTTCTATTAGCTAGTTCCCAGGACAGCCAAAGGGAACCCAAAGCAGCAGCCTTTTCTGGGAGTGTCCTGTTGGGAACCAAATGCTCTCTTGCTGTTTTTGGAGTTTTGGTTTATTTGTTTAGTTTCATTTCTTTGTAAGCAGAGACTGCACATTGGTTTCCTAGACGCCCAGACCCGAACACTTACACAAAAATTATATTAATTACAACACTGTTTGACTGATGACTCAGGCATATTTCTAGCTTTCTCTTCTTAAATTAACCCATTTCTATTAGTCTGTGTATCACCATGAGGCTGTGGCTTACCAGTAAGTTTCCGGTGGTCTTTCTCCTTCAGCGGCTACATGGCATCTCTGATTCTGCCTTCTTTCTCCCTGCATTCAGTTTAGTTTCCCCACCTAACTCTATTCTGCCCTGCCATAGGCCAAAGAGGCTTCTTTATTAACCAATGGTAATAAAACATATTCATAGCATGATGGAGGAAGGTCATTGGTTAAATAAAAAGAAACTGCTTGGCCCTCATTGGCTAGAAGATAGGTGGGAGGAGTAAACAGAACAGAACGCTGGGAGGAAGAGGAAGTGAGCTCAGACTCCACAGCTCTCCTCTCGGGAGCAGAAGCCTCAGACAGAGACGCCATGCTCCCGGCTCCTGGGCAGACACGCGATGAAGCTCCGACCCAGGATGGATGTAGGCTAGAATCTTCCTGGTAAGCGCACCTAGCTGTGCTACATAGAATATTAGACATGGGCTAGTCCAGGTGCGAGAGTTAGCCTAGAAGAGGCTAGATAGAAATGGGCCAAGCAGTGATTAAAAGAATACAGTGTCCGTGTAATTATTTCGGGGCATAAGCTAGCCAAGCAGGCGGCCGGGGTGCTGGGAACGCAGCCCCGCCGCCCTTATTACTACAATAGCATACAGAGGGGAATCCCACATCATTTTGTCTTCTGAGTCACCTCATTCTTCTCACTCAGTTGCCTCAGCTAAGATGCTAACTGCTATTGGAAGGACATGTTAAGCTCTGTATTGGGAAACCTTTGGGTAGCAAAGGCCCTGGGACCGGCTGTCTCAGAAGCTCCCTTTGTCAGTCTACACCAGCAAGTATCCTCATGGTCAGATGATGGCTGCCAGAAGCTGTGCGGGCTACATCTGTCCACATCCGTGCCCCACAGAAGAACGTCTCAAAGCCTTTTTCTTAAGAACAAGGAGGCTTTGTTCTCTGATCCCTGCAGCAAAATCTTGATGGTATGTCTAACCGTCATAGGCCCGTCTGTCACCATGCACTCATTGGTGAGAGAAATGGGCTTACTTTGTGCACCTGAGCTTGCCAGCTGCAAGTACATTATGGGCCGTTATGTACATCACGGACCATTGTGTGCACCGCGGACCATTGTGTATACTGTGGACCATTGTGTACACCACGGACCATTGTCTCCCATGGGCTCGTGGAAGAGATGTGGAGCCTGAGGTGTGCTTTTGTTTTTCCTTTTCCAGGCTGCCTACCTGGTTGGCATCTCTGATCCAAACAGCCAGGCAGGCCACCAAGGCCTGGTGGACCCCATCCAGTTTGCCAGGGCTAACCAAGCAATCCAGATGGCATGCCAGAACCTGGTGGACCCTGGCAGCAGCCCATCGCAGGTAACTGGGGAATGACGATGGATCTTAGGCGTCTCTGGGTGGGTGGTGGGAAATGGGCAGGTGAGCAGGGAATCCTGTGTTTTCAGAGCTCATAGTCCCAGATGACTGCAGCTGAGCAGATAATGTCCTCGCTCTGTTTCTGTTGCTCTGATGACGTGCCCCAACAAAGAGCAACCTAGGAGAGAAAATGACTGTCTCCCTTCCATTTCCAGGTTTCAGTCCATCATTGAAGGGAAATCAAGGCAGGAACTTCCAGCAGCTAGTTATGTCTATGTCACACCATACTCCAGAGCCAAAAGTTTGCATGCGTCCACTCAGCTTGTTTTCTTACGCAGTTCAGGGCCTGACCCCAGGGAATGGTGCCTCCCATTTCCAGACATCAGTTAAGGCCATCAAGACAGTCCCCACAGACACACCCACTGAGACTCTTGCCAGGTGACTGTAGGCTGTGTCAGGTTGACAGATGAGCTAGCCATCACAGTGACCAGGAAAGTAATGTGCAAATGCTTACATATAGGGCTCTGGGATGCTACAGAGTGAAGCAACCCAACAGGAGTCATGAGGAGCTTCATGGCTGTCTATGGACAGCTTGTTCTCTGCTCAGCACTAAGAGGTCTGTATAAATGAGACCTGACCTTTGTCCCCTCTGGTTCTCACTCCATTGGGCCATTGGATTGGGCTATGATGGCAAGATAAAGGATTGTTCTAGTTTCTGTGGCTGTGATAAAACACTGAAGAAAGGACTGATTCCAGCTCCCATCCTAGAGGAGATGTCATGGCAGGAACTCAGGTAGAAACCATAGACAGATGCTGTTTACTGGCTCACACAGTGGCTTATGCTCAACTGCTGTCTTATATAGCCCAGGCCCAACTGCCTAGAGATAGTGCTGCCCCCTCCCTCCCAATTGGCTGGGCCCTCACAGACCAAGTATCAATCAAGACACTCTCTCAAAGACCTGGCCACAGGCCGGTCTGGCTGAGGAAGTTCTTCAGTTGAGGTCCTTTTTTCCTAGATGACTCTGGGTTGTGTCGAGTCAGCAATAAACACTAAGCAAGACAGAGAGGCATCAGGGCAATTGTCCTCGGGTCACTTCAGAGATGGTGGCACTGAGGCAAACCTCAGAGTTGAGGTCAGAAGCCACAATACAGAAAGGAGCCAAAGAAACATTTGAGGAGCAGATAGTGTGTCACATTCCATGGTGCTTCTGGTGTCACGGAGATCTGGTTACATAGGAAAGCAGTATGCACTGAAAAGAAAGAGGACTGGGTGATATAGGGTACCATGGGCAGACCTGTGCGTGGCATGCCTACTATGAACTTAGGCCAGCATTCGTAGGGCAGTACCAGGGCTTGCAGTCCAGAGTACACAATCAAATGCCCCTGTCTAGCCTCCACCAAGGGAAGTCTCTGGTTTCAAAAGAGTATCTGAGCTGAGGATGGGGGTGGAGTTGATAGATGGTCCACGAACTACAAGTCGCTACCTACAGCTTCCCCGAGGGGGAGGAGGGAGAAGTGCGTCTTGATGCTAATTTTAGCCATGTAAACATGTGTTCTCCAAGGAGTTGGAAATTAGCAAAACGTTGCTGTTCATCACTAGAAAAATAGTGATGGCCTGTGAGTATCTGATGCATGCTGAATTTCAAAGACTTGGTATGAGCAAACACTTATAATATCATGTTGCTATTTGTAAATTGATTGTGGTAAACTATATATAAACTATATTACTTAAATTAGTTTCTCTTGTTTTTCTGCTCATTTTAATGTGCCTGTTGGAAAACTTTAAGTCAGGTGTCTTAGGTCTTAGCCTGGGGCCTGGACTCTGGAGGTTCCAAAAACTAGCTGGCTGTATCCCCATTAAGATTGGGGCCAGCACACCCCTACTAAAGCACCCCTTCCCTTTTCTATTTTCATTCTCTCTTGCTTCATGTTTCTTGCTCTTTCCTTCCTCGGGGTGACTTTAGGGACAACAGAGCTAGACAGACAATACTACCCAGATTCTAGAAATAAGAGTCCCAAAGAAACCCAGGCTTCTCTGCACCAAAATGTGTGGGGCCCACTTCCAAGCTAGCTCCTTGCTTTGTAGGTTCTGTCGGCTGCCACGATTGTTGCCAAGCACACCTCAGCCTTATGCAACGCCTGTCGCATCGCCTCATCCAAGACGGCCAACCCTGTGGCCAAGCGGCACTTTGTCCAGTCCGCCAAGGAGGTCGCCAACAGCACCGCCAACCTAGTCAAGACCATCAAGGTAGGTCACTGTACTGCAAGGTAGGTCACTGAAGTGGTCCCTGTACAGAGCTGGGAAGGGAACCAGGCTGAAGCTCTGTCTCCTCAGATACAGGAGTTGTAAGGCATCCTTGACGTCATGAATGGGGAGGGCTTGCTTACTGATCAGGAATCATCCACCAGGAAAGCACAACCAACTACATCTCCACTCACCTCCACGGTGGAAGGGGAGCCACTCCTAATTCTGTCACTAGGAGCTTAGGGCCTGAAATTAGGGGCCTCCCTTAGTGTTGTGTGTGGGTACAGCCTGTGTGTCTCTGTGTACTTGGTGTGGTCTTCAGTGGTCGAGTAGAAGGTTGTGCTGTTGTTGCTGGAGGCTTTAGAACTGAAAGATGATGTGGAAGGGAAAGGGAATGGGAAATTATAAAACAACTGCATTATTAAAAATTACTTTGGAGCTGAAGAGATAGTCCCGTGCTTGCCATACAAACACGAGGACCTGCAATCACATCTTCACAACTCATGTCAAAGCCTGATACGTTAGTGCACCTCTATATTCCCAGCACCCCTACAGCAAGATGGGAACTCACGGGCCAGCTAGCCTGGTTGGTGTGTATACCAGCAAAACACATGAGAGATTGTGTCTCAAGAAACAGCTCAGGAGGGGGGAATCCCAAACCTAGAATTCACCTCTCACCTTCACACGCGCACACGCCTAGAGATGACCTCTCACCTCCACACGCGCACACGCCTAGAGATGACCTCTCACCTTCACACGTGCACTAAATATTCCCTATGACATCCATGATGTTTATAAATGTTACGTTCCACCCCCCTTAGGGCACCAACTTTTTTTTTTTTTTAAGATAGAGCATCTGTCTTTCTAAAAAATCATCTTTGTGTGTAAGTCCATGAGTAGTTAAGGTGTCGGGGAGGCCGGCCCTTGCAGTTAGGAAACTGAGTTGGTCAGGCAGTGGTCTCTGTAGGTTGGGTCCTCTAAGCCAGACCCGTACACATATCAGGCAGTGACCTTGTGGGGAAACAGCCAAAACCTGGACAGCACAACACAACACCCAGTATCCTCTCAGGACTCTCCCCAGCCTTCAAAAGACATTGTTATAAGAAGCATGTGAACCTTGCAGTGCTGAAGGGAAAAGGATTATTTGTTTGTTTATGATTTGGGGTGGTGCTGGGCATCAGACCAGTGGTTTTGTGCATGCTAGGTAAATGAGGACATGACCGCTCCAAGATTTGATTGAGGAAAGAGTTTTTATTGTAGATATGAAAGAGAGTACAGCCAGAGGCATCCGGAAGAGTCCAGACTGAAGAGGGGAGAGAGAGAGGAGAATGAGAGAGAGCAGTCGGATCAAAAGGGGAGCTGAGGACCAAGAGAAGAACTGAGAAAAGTGTTGCTGAATTGGCAGGGTTATAGATAAAGAGAAGCTGGGGGAAGGGAAGCCAGCTGTCTGGGTTACAGGGAAAGGAAGTTTAGGGCAGGGGTCCATGGTGAGAAGAGCTGAGAGGTGCCACAGGTTTTGAGCAAGCCTGAAAGCCTTTGTGCCCTTTGGTATACCATGGACACCACAGTTCCAGGTTTCCCCGCGACCTGACACTTGCTCTATCACTGGATCACACTCCCAGCCTGACTTCAGTAAGAGTCTATAACCTTACTGTAACTTGGCCTTTTTTTTTTTTTCCTGCAAATTCACTATATGATCCCATGGAGAAGTCAGTCACACAGTGAGCTTTGCAGAGGCAGACAGAAAGAGCATCCATCCGGCCTGGAGCAGCTGGAAGCTGACTGTTGAGAACTGGGCCAGTTAGCCCAGTCAGCGGTTCCGTAGCTATTTTAACAAAGAGTCATTTTTAAAACACACAAAAGACCCATGTGTTTGAAGACAACAAGAATCTAGATGGGAAATGAATAAACAAATTAAATCCAGTGTCCTGGTGCTCTGGGAGTCTTGCGGTAGCTCATCTCCCTGGCCATCACAGTTCATGACATTAGCAATTAACAAGCCTATGTTTTTAAATATGTATTTTATGCTTTGTGTATATCACTAATTTCATCCACACATACAGGCTATGTTTATCATGCCCATTTTGCTGATGGGGAACCGGGGCACAAAGAGGTTAAATAGGTAAACCAGCCAGGAAATGACAGATGAGAATTCAAGTCCAAGCTCCAGAGCCCCTGTTCTCAGTCCTGGCATGCAGTTGGGCTCTCTGGAACAGAGGCAATGAACTCATCCCTCAGCCTGGGGAAAAAGCCCTGCCTGTGTTTACAGAGCACAAGTGGGGGTTGGGGATGGAAAGGACAATGTAGTTAAAAGCTGTGATGTCACTGTTGCTTGCTGCATAATTAACTGTTCTTAGTTAAAAGTCTAGGGGAGGGAAGACATCAGAAACTCCTGCCTCTCTCCTGCTGCCCCTCTCTCCTGCAGCCTCTCTCCTGCTGCCCCTCTCTCCTGCAGCCTCTCCTGCAGCCTCTCTCCTGCTGCCCCTTTCTCCTGCAGCCTCTCTCCTGCTGCCCCTCTCTCCTGCAGCCTCTCTCCTGCTGCCCCTCTCTCCTGCAGCCTCTCTCTCCTGCTGCCCCTCTCTCCTGCTGCCCCTCTCTCCTGCAGCCTCTCCTGCAGCCTCTCTCCTGCTGCCCCTTTCTCCTGCAGCCTCTCTTGCTCCTGCAGCCTCTCTCTCCTGCAGCCTCTCTCTCTCCTGCAGCCTCTTTCTCTCCTGCTGCCCCTCTCTCCTGCTGCCCATCTCTCCTGCAGCCTCTCGCTCCTGCAGCCTCTCTCTCCTGCAGCCTCCTTGGTTGTAAATTCTGGTCTGTCTGTTAAGATCGAATCTTCTTTTACATTCTCCTCACAGTGTCAACCCCTCCGCAATTCCCTGCAGCAAATAAGCTCTTGTGATGGTCCAGAAGATAGGCCGGTGGGAAGCATCAGAGGAGGAGAGCGGTGATTATAATGTGGGGCACATAAAGCCCGTTTCCCATGTGTATCACTGCAAACTGGCATCCATATAAGGGAAACAGAAATGAACCTATTGCCCCAGCTTGTCAAAATGTGGCCAGGGTTTTCAATTTCCACCGTGTGGCAGGGTTTGCTGGTCAGTCCTTGAGCATTGCCTTTTACTCACTAATAAGAAAATGGCAGAGATCACTTCCTTGGTGCCCCCTGCTCTGTACTGAATGGATTTCCTGTTCGAAGGAACCGTTAGGTATCCTGTGAAAACCGGATCCTTAATTTCCTGACTAGTCCAGATAGCAGTGTCACAGCTGTGTTATTTGCTATCTTAGACTCCTTAGCATGTGCTTGATTTGTACCGTGAGGCTGGGCCTATCCGTAAGCCCAGCTGCCACACCCTTCCAGCAATGAAGAAGGGAGCAAACAGCATACCACTGGGACCTTAGATCGCTGCTGATGGCATTCCTTAGACTCCCCAAGCATAGCCCGGCAAGAACCCACTTCGGTCTGTCTCCTACCAAGAAGGGCTCTCAATGCCGGGTGAGTTGCAAGGACTCTGGCTGAGTTTCCATTATGCTCCTTACCTAGCCTTGAATCAGATGTGTGGAATTGAATGTTATTTTAAATGTGCAGCCGCTCAGGTTTGAGTGCCAAGTAGAAATTATGCAATCCCAGCTTTTGTTTTCCTGAGACATTGAAGTTTGGCCTTGTCATTCACCACAGAGTGCGTGTTCAGGTTTTTGCAATTAGGCACTTCCAGCGAGTGCCACAGACAGCGATCCAGCTCTCTCTAATTGAATTTGACTTGGCTGTAAGTATATTTTCTTGGTCATCCTTATGTTTGGACTGGTAAAGCAGAGTTCTTCAGATTGGGGTGGGAAACTCTCCGGGATGGCTTTGGCCTTGCTGCCTTTGCTATTGCCTAGGTCTGTAGGAAAGAAGAAAGTGGAAGTCTTGGGTCATGATTTGAGACCTGACCGCAAGTAACAGAGTAGCCTGAGCAAATTGTGTCGTTTCTCCAGGTGCTAACTGATTGGGAAAAGCAGGTGACTATTCAGCGATCTTTAAGGCCCTCTCTAGCCCTTAAGCCCATGAATATTTTCCCCACATGCCTGTGAGGTTAGACTGAAGACACAGGAGTAGCGGGCTCAGGGGTAGGTAATGCTCTTTTCCCAATGGTTTTGAATTTGCAGCCAAGTGAATTGACCCCTTTGGTGACTAAGGCGACGCTCTGGACTATGGAATGGGCACACGGATGCATTGCTGACTGCTCAGCATTTCACTGTTAGGCTGAGTGTCCATTTTACTCGGGTTGGCTCCGCCATACCCAGTGCAAGCAAAATTTGGAAATGAAATAATAACTTTCCAGGCCCGTCCTTTCCAGTGCCTAGCGCCTCCCTTTAGGAAATAGCTTTTCCCTTTTGAAAGCCAAGGAAGGTGGGTGGCGCAAGTTTCTCGCATAGCCCGTGTTAGTCAGTGCCCTATATGAAAGCAGTGAGTTCCATGAGATGTGACTTTTAGGATCTGTGCTGAGCCAAAGGGAAAATCCTCCTGGCATCCCATTGGCTCATGTTTTGAGGTTGTACCCCTGAGAAATGTCCCTTCAGATTTACCTCAAGGAGTCATCTTTTCGGTTTGTGTAAGGTCAGACCTGGGTTGATGACCTGGTTCAGAGGAGGAGGTAGGAAAGGGTGGGCCTGAGTTTGGAAAGGCGAGAGGAAGAAAGGAAACCGTGCCATTTCAGAACCCAGGGACTGGTGGAGGCGGCGCCCAGACTACTGGGACTCCACAGTTCGCTATGACCACCCTCCTGCTTCACTCCTTCTCTCATGCCGGGACCATTTGTACCAGGCACCCGCCAGGTGGCAGCCACCATACCTCCCACTGGTATTTCCGGCTTGCTCTGAGACTTGGCAGCACCCACCCTTAAGGAGACTATTGTGTGACTGGCACAGTGAGGCCAGCGCTCCAAAGCTACTCTTTTCTGTGCTGCCAGGGCCAGCACTGTAGATCCAGCATTTAGTGAGTCCAGGAGGGCAGTCAGAGGTAGGGCCGTGCGTGTGAGCAAGATATAAGAGGCCTTAGCTAAGCTCTCCAGTGGGCCTAGAAGAATGGCTGAATCTAGGAGGTTAGAATAGGGTCAGGGTCTGTTGGGTGAGGGAAGCCAGACACCCTAATTACTGAGGATGGTAAGTGAGCAGGCTCATGGGAGTGCCTCTGAAAATATTAGCATTGTGGCTATGTAATTATTATCCCAAGCTGCCAAGGCCCGGCTGGAATGCTGTTGTTATGCAGAAGTAGCCTTCGGACCTACAGCGCCTGCCTCCTCTTGCCTTACCAAGGAGCAGCTCCCTCCCGCCTCAGACCCAGATGCTCAGATAATGCCAGTGCCTCTGGTTTGTTTGTTCACTAATTGTCTAAGTAGGCTTTTAGATATTGCTCATACGGATTAAATTAAAAGTTTAATTGGTCATTTAACACGAAAATTTGCATTCTTCTGCGAGCACAACTGCCTTCTCCCTGTAGAAGATAGGGCGGTGTTGCTGTTTTGTTCTTGAAGAGGTGGAACCCAAGCTCGGAGAACCTTGACCTCAGCTTTGAACCCTTTGTAAGGCAGCTTGATGTGTCTCCCAGGCCTCATCCTCGATCCTCACCTCCCAGGCCTCATCCTGGATCCTCACCCAGCTGGCCATGAGTCCACAACATGACTTACCGCTCAGTCATCTCGTGTTGTCTGCTGCTAATTAAATGAAGACGCGGCATGGAACGTGCAGAGGAGAAACACGTCATGTCTAGAGCTCAGTGAACACCCTGAGTCACAGTAGCTAGGCTGAGAAATAGAACCTAACCAGCACCCGGAAGTCACCTCTGCCCTGACTTTGTGTACCTTCTGTCCCAGCTCCTCCAGAGTGTCACCCAGCTTCTAACACCCCAGTTAGTTTTTTTCATGAATGGAATTGTGCAAGAGGTACTCTTTTGTGTGACCTCCTTAACTAGATAGACCTTGGTGTGTGTGTGTGTGTGTGTGTGTGTGTGTGTGTGTGTGTGTGTGTTTAGGAATTGCCCATTTAGTTGAGTAGGTCTACAGTCTATTCCTTCACATTGGATTCCATTATCTTTTTTCTAAGATGATGGTCTTGCAGGGATAGCCTTAGATGTAAAAGTTAGGAAAGTTGGAAGTGTGAGGGATTAGAGATTTAGCTCAGGGGTAGACTCTGGTTTTCATTCCCAGAAACAAAAAGGGAGGAAGGGAGGGAGGGGGGAGGAAAGGGAAGGAGGGACGGAGGGAGGAAAGAACGACTGGTGAGAAGTATCACACCATGTAAAAAGGATCTTTGTCATTTGAGAGGGAATGGACTCTGGAGAGGATTCCAAGAGGATCCATCTCAGAAGTGGAAGAGAAAGTGACTTGGCAGCCAGGTGTGACATCATGGCCGAAGAGGGAGAAGAATGAGTGGGCTGACGGCAGGACTGCTCTTTTGTGAGCTCCATGTCTAGATTTAGTCCTCAGGATGGCTACCTGGGCCTCTCTGGTTGGCAGCAGGGATCCATGGCTCCAGTTGCTGCTCACTTGTTGAGGAGGAGTTTTCCCGCTCAGCTGCCCTCCCTCGCGGGGAGGTGACGGCTGTGGCTTAGGAATGGTACCTGTTTCTCATTGGGTTGAAATCTTCATTTCTTTCACATTAGGCCCTGGATGGGGATTTCTCTGAAGACAACCGCAATAAGTGCCGTATTGCTACCACCCCCTTGATTGAAGCTGTGGAGAACCTGACAGCATTTGCATCAAACCCTGAGTTTGTCAGCGTTCCCGCCCAGATCAGCTCCGAGGTAGGGAGTCTGCAGCAGTCGTCACCTTAGAGTCCTTGGCTAATTCCCTGCCAAGTAGAATGAGCACGGAGAGTTAAAGCTCCAAAAGGCCTCCTGTCAGCGCCCCGTAGACTAACAATGTAGTAAGCCCAGTATTTTGCAGTACTAAGTAGTGTGTACACAGTACATTGCTACACTGCGTTACTATGGGTGGTGCTTGATGCACGGTTACTAAGCTCAGTGAATGTCTATCTTTTAAGAAATAATAGCTTGATATCGAGAGTGAGCTCTGTGTCTGAGAGTGTGGCTGATTCTTTGATGAAGTGTGTCATACTCAAAAGTTTTACTTAAGAAAAGAAATCAGTATTATTTAAGGATCAAGCCTGGGCCCACATTGCCCCAATCTAGATCCTTCCTGTTAGCTAGCTTCCCTCCGCAGGGTAGAAGTTCTGGCGTAAAGAATAAGGCTTCCTAGGGCCCAACTCACTGGTCTCTGCGCACTCACCTTTCACTTCTCTATTGGTTGATCTCAGGGCTCCCAGGCACAGGAACCAATCTTGGTCTCGGCCAAGACCATGCTGGAGAGCTCATCGTACCTCATCCGCACCGCACGCTCTCTGGCCATCAATCCCAAAGATCCACCCACCTGGTCTGTGCTGGCTGGACATTCGCACACGGTGTCGGACTCCATTAAGAGCCTCATCACCTCCATCAGGTCAGTTTCTCGTCTAGAGAGGAGCTCCCAGCCTGCCTCTGAGTAGAGCAGGAGGGGATTGCGCCCATCCGTTAACGCTGGTCGTTATTGTCACGGCTCCTCTTGGCGAACAACCTCACACAAGCTAGAGTCACCTGGGAAGAAGGAACTTCAGCTGAGGAGTTGTCTCCATCATAAGGCCCATGGGTGTCGGTGGCGTTTTCTTTATTGATGATTGATGGAAGAGAGCCTAGCCCACTGTGGCTGTGCCATTCCTGGGCAAATGTCTCCGGGATGTCTAAGAAAGGGAGATGAGCAAGCCAGGGAGCAGCATTGTTCCATGGTCTCTGCTTCAGTTCATGCCTTTAAGTTCCTGTATTGAGCTTCTGCCCTGGCTTTCCCTTAAAGGTGAAGTAAGTTTTCTCCCCTCCCCGGGAGGTTTATCACGGTAACAGAAAAGCAAACTGAGGAAGGTGCAGTCCTCTCTCTCATCTCTGAGACCCATGGTAGTGCTGGCCACAATAACAGCACATCTAAGTCCCTATTAAAACCAGATATTATTCCGAATATTTTCCCTATGTTACCTTTTCTGATCATCACATTTTACAATACATCTTATCATTATTTCCATTTTAACTACTCTGAAGTTTGGGCAAGAGAACTTAAGGAATGTTCTCATGGTCACCCACGGCTCCAGTCCCAGCCTTCTCACCATCACACTGAATTATCAGCTCATAGGGGCTTGGAGAGCTCTACTGTTCAAGTTCTCTCAATCTGATAATAAAAGAAAAGGAATATTCTATAGCACCAACTCTGGGTATCCTGACCTTCTTAGTAATACCCAAAGGCTGAGAAAATGACATTTCTCATGTTGGCCAAAATTAACATCCTATAACATGGAATGTGTTTGTTTTCTCAGTTACACTATTTTGCTTCTTAATTGCTTCTGAAGCTCAAGGCCATAATTGAACTTTCTCTTAATGTATTACGGCAAGGGAAACTCCTGCCTGCTTGAACTCTTACTGCAGCCCTTGAGTTTATGAGTAGTGTGTAATGTAGAACGCCTCGTGTGTTTGCATTGTAAGTGGTGCTGTACTTTATTTTCAGTGGCTGGAGCGATGGCTCAGTGGAAAGACGCTTGCCGCAGAAGCATGAGGGCCTGAGTTCGAGTACCTAGCTCCACATAAAAAACAGGCTGTGTGCTTGTATTCCTGAACTGTGGGAAACAAATGCATGAGGATTGATGGGGATTGCTGCCTGCCACACTGGCCCCAGGTTCAGAGAGAGACCCTGTCTTAAGGAACTAACACAGAAAATGCTCAAGTCCGATACTTGACTTCCTCTTACAGTCTCCATGTGCTGATGTTTGCAAGCGCATGCACACATATAGACACATACAACACACATACATACACATACCATATAGATACGTATATACACACACGCACGCGCACTTTTTTTACTTTAACGTTTGAAGGAAGCACCCAAGTGCCAATTGTTTCCTTTGTAATTGCCTATCATTAGCCTGAGAGGAAGGGCGAGATTCCATTCCTCCTGCTAGAAACAGAGCTCTGTCCGGGACGAGTGTTAATGGAGAAATGCATGGGCTCTGTACCAGGCTTTGCTGAACAATCCTCAGAGACGCACTGCTTAGTGAAGGTGATCATGCAGAAAGGGGACAGGGGCTCCTGGCCCATGCGTGCAGGGGCTGTGTGACATGTTTTAAGCCTTACAAACTCTTGTTTGCTTTATTCTGTCCGTTTCAGGGACAAAGCCCCTGGGCAGAGGGAATGCGACTACTCCATCGATGGCATCAACCGGTGCATCAGGGACATTGAGCAGGCCTCGCTGGCGGCAGTCAGCCAGAGCCTGGCCACAAGGGACGACATCTCTGTGGAGGTAGGCTAGGGCTCTGTCATCTACCTTAGGAGCTCCGCTGGAGTGTGATGATGGACAACCCGCCCCTGGGGATGTCGGGAGGAAGTAGGGCAAGTGCTCAGAAGGCAAAGAGGGCATGGGAAAGAGCATGCCAACTGAAGAAGAATGTTCAGTGAGGCTGAAGTTTGCAGGAAAAGGATCAGTGCTGGGTAATTCTGTATCTTAAGGTCGACCACAGTGGAGCAGGCCTGGGCATGCAAAACTTGAACACTTCTCTCTGGCCACATTTTGTCTTTGCACTTTTTTGGACAAGTTTGGTACTAAACTTTAGTGCTTTTGATCCATTCAGAGATAAAGAATTGTGCCCTGAGGTATTCTTTATCTCATATGTATGTGTTTGAGGGTGTCTTAGCATCCTATAATTTGGGGTCACTCTATCTTTTCTCTCTGAGTGTTATACATATGTGTGCACATGTGTATGGGAGTTCTCACCCATGTGGAACTGAAGACCTCAATTGCTCCTCTATTTTTTTTTTTTTGAGACAGGGCCTCTCTAGAACCTGGAGCTCACCTTCAGCTAGGCTGACTGGCCAGGGAGCCCTCAGGATCCACCTGTCTCTGCCTTATTCCCCTCCCTGCACTTGGGCTGTGGACACTCGGGTCCTCATTCTTGTAGAGCATCCACTTTATCCCCGAGCATCTCCCCAGCCTTAACTTTATCGGTTCTTGGTGGTCTCTCTTGTGTTGCTTGTTACCCGTGAAAAGTTCACAATCCATACTTATTTCTCTACTAAGAGCACAGTATTCATTATTCAGAAGACATTTGGTTTACATAAATGGTGTGATTACCTTGATGCCATAGAATTTAGGCATGGAAAGCTCTTTTCCCGTTCTCTGAGCAGTGGACCTAGAGCTAAGCATTCCTAATTTTCATTAATAGAGCTATCTGTATAATAAAACTACTTAGTAAAGTTACTTCGACTACAAACACACACACAATCCCGGAAATGAGGAGCAGGACTAGGCACTGTAACCATGTGAACCACTAGAATCACTGATTTAAGCCTGTTCTCGAACACTCATGAAGGGTGTGTGTTGATGACCTATCATCAGACCACATCCTTTAAGTAGCCCCCATGTCCAGAAGCCAAGATGAAACCAGGTTTGGTGGCACACACCTTTAATCCCAGCACTCAGCAGGCAGAAGCAGTTGGATCTCTATGAGTTCAGGGACAACCAGGGCTACTTAGACACTGCCCCCCAAAAATCCATGACCACGACCCCAAAATTGCCCCCTCCATCCCTTCTAAACTATTTCCTCTGCCCTCCCAGTAAAAAAAAAAAAAAAAAAAGAAATGTACCCCCTTTACATCCAAGGCCTTCACTGTACAATAGTGAATTTAACAAACCATCTATCATAGAACACCAAAGGGATTCTCTGCCATTCTTGTCCATAATCACATTAAGCGTGTGAGGATAATAAATAATTAGCTAAATAAGGCCTTTGGACTCTAGGGAGGCTTCTCTCTGCCTGCCCCATCTCTCTAGCTCTTTGCTGGTTTGCTTTCAAGCTTGCCTGTTAAGCCTTTTCTTTCCCAGAGTGAACTTCGTCCAAAGCCGTCCTGTTCAAGTGCATCATGGCTCTGTGGCAGAGTAACAAATGCAGGAAGGATATTGTCACTTTATTAGATGACATATGGGTGGTACGTCTCTAAGATGCCCAGTGCCGTTATCTATTAACCCTGAACCTCTCCAGTACAGGTCCTAATGTGATTTTGAGAAACAGGTGGGATTTTTCCTGCTTCCAGTTAATCTCCCGCTTTGAATCCTTCATCCCTCCCCCCCACCACCACCACCCTCCCAGCAGAGTCTGGCTTTCCTTCCCTGTCTCTTAAGAGCCTGAACTCATTTCTCTGGAGCAGACAGGTTAAACCATCTCGGGCCTGATAAATAATCCCTCAAGAGTATCATTTCCAATATTTGCCTACAAGTCACCAAGGACAGTGAGCAGAGTCTGACAGGCTCTGCATGTAGCCCACCTGGTGTCTTCAGGAGGCACCGTCGGAGACACCGTCAAAGGTCAAATCACGTGTTCACATCGTCCTTAACCTCCCTTGGTCCCCAATGAGCTGTCTCCATTTGGACCAAGTTGTCTCTCCTTCTTGAAAACTATAACTATTCCCCATTCCCAGTAATCAAGCTATATAACCTAACCATGGAGATCCCACCAGCATCAGTTGCCAGGGCTTGTGGAAATGAAGCCAGTAAGGAACACATCCCCAGACTTGCCTCATCACTCATCTGAGGCAGGATAAGGGACCTCACCCTGGGGAGCAAGGCCAGTCGGGGAATGCAAGATCGGGGAGCATCCAGACATTCTGATTTTATGCAGGTCCCCTGTCCTTCATAAAGGGCTTTTCAGAATAATGACCTTGGCAATTCTCTATCAGGCCCTGCAGGAGCAGCTGACCTCAGTGGTCCAGGAAATCGGGCATCTTATTGATCCCATTGCCACAGCAGCTCGAGGAGAAGCTGCCCAGCTGGGACATAAGGTAATGTGCAAGCAGGGAATCCTGCTGATAGAGAGATGGGGTGTGTGTGTGTGTGTGTGTGTGTGTGTGTGTGTGTGTGTGTGGAGGAGGGGTGTCATTATTGCCAGAAGCCTGTGGCCAGTGTTCTCCTGTGCTTTGATTCCGTCTCCCTCGCTGTGCCCATGAGCCTGGTGCTGTCACCAATCCCTGTTTACAGATGAACAAACAGCAGCACAGTGCGTGAAGAAATCTGTGTAAAATTCTTAAGAAGATAAAAGCAGGGAAGGTCCCAATCCAAAGGACCCAAGGCTAGGACTATCATTCTTCATGATCTGGCCCTGCTCACCCCCCAGAGGATGCTGGGTCCTAGCTTTGTTAGTTTCACTTCCCCAACTATGTAGCAACTCATTACATCTGCATTAGTAAAGTTAATTCCTAGTCAAAATAAACCTAGAGAACAAGTAGGATTCTAATGCATTCAACATTTGGGCTGTAAGCTTTGAGTTCTCAGGGACCCATCACTTCCTGTATTAGTTTCTTCTTGGATGGTGCGATAAAAAGCCCTGACCAAAAGCAACCTGGGGGAGTAAGGGTTTTTTTGACGTAAAGTTCCAGATGGATAGAAGCTGTCATGGCAGCGAAGGCATCATGACAGCCAGGGTGTGAGGCCAACCTGGCAGTCCAGGAGCAGAGAGATCATATTTCATTAGCACACGAGAAGCAGACAGAAAGAACAGAAAGTGGGGCCAGGCTATGAAACCCTAAAGCCAGCCCCAGTGACTCACTTCCTCTAGCAAGACTCCATCTTCAGCGTGCCACCAACCGAGGACCCTGTTCCAACATAGGAACCTATTCTTCATTCAAACTACCACAGTGCCCTGTTGCCTTTAGTGATGAACCCAGTGTCATTTCTGGGACAAGTCCTGTGCCAGTGTACAGGGTTGTCTGTGCTTGCTCAGGCTGGGACCTCCAGATGTGGAAGATCTCTACGTCTGGACAAAGCAAGCAGCAGGGAGCCAGATCCACCTGTGCTCTTCCTGCAGACTTCCCGCCTGGTCTTCACGGGGCTCTAAGATGCACTCAGAGAGGTTTGGGGATGCGTCTCAGGTAAATTCTTGCTACGTGAGCACAAGAACCAGAGTTCAGATCCCCAGCACCCACATGGCTACAGTCAGTAGTACACAGCTGTAATACAACCCGAGGGGGCAGAGAAAGGTGGGTCTCTGGCTCACAGGCCAGCCATTCTAGTCAAACCTGCAAGCTCCAAGTTCAGTGAGAGACCCTGCCTCAAAAATTAAGATCAAGCTCTTTTCCATCTTCCTCTCGGAGAGGCAGCTTTGCTTCTGCCTCTCTCCCCACTTTTCTCTTCCCCCCTTCTCTGTCTCTTTCTCCTCTTCTCTCTCTCTCTCTCTCCCTCTCTCTCTGTCCCCCCTTCACCCTTCCTCCTCCATAACCCCCTGAATAAACATTCAACCTCAAAAAAAAAAAAAAATTAAGATCTAGGGGCAAATGGCTCGGTGAATAAGAGTGCTCACTGTGCAAGCATGAAGATCCGAGTTTGAATCTCTAGCACCCTTGTAAAAAGCTGAACATTTCTCTATGTTCCTGTAGCCCCAGTGCTGGGGGGCACACAGGCAGATCCTGGGAGCTTGCCTCACTGAAATGGTGATCTGTAGATTCAGTGAGAAACCCTATTTCAAGGGAATAAGGCAGAGACTGGTTAAGGAAGACACTAGACATCTTCTGGCCTGTGACATGTGGACATGATCATACGGACCCAATCACACACATGCACACACACCTCACACACAAATAAAACAAAGGGGAGAGCAATTAAGGAAATTTACCAGACATCAGTCTCTGGCCTCCCTGTGTACCCACGTATTATGTGTGCAGACACACACAAATGCCCATAAAAGCACGGTAGGTCAGCTGCAGCCACATTCGCATGTCTCTGTAAGATAACCTGATGAGAATAACAGAGCCAAGTATTCTTACTGCTGGCCAGGAGTCCCGTCTCCCTGTTAGCAGCAATGACTATTGTTTTTATGGACACTGCTACTCACACTTGGGCTTGTCCTTATAATGCCCCAACCCTTGCTTTGTTTGGGGCCCAGTGTCTGCTTGTGTGAAGTGCTCTCTCTCCGCTTATATACCACAACACGGTGGGGAAGAAAGCCTTGATGGAGTCGCAGGCTAAAGATGTACATAGGAATACCCTCAGTGGGAATCTTAGCAATAGTCACGACCGCACAAAATTGAGCACTTAGACTAACCATCGGTGCTGGTTTGTTTCATTAGAGCAGGGATACATGGAGCCAAATATGAAAATATGGTCCTTTAGCTGTCAAATAGAAGGGTGTCACTATTACCCTCAGACTTCGAACATGTCACCAAGCAAGAAACAGATACCAAACGATGAGCTTCTCAAGTCTGAGTGCAGCAGAATGAGAATGCAAATTACAGCGTGAAAGGTGGCAGCGAGAGGAGGGCAGCAGCCTAGAGCCAAGCTGTGAAGTGAGCCCAGCCCCCTCCGCATCCCCACCCAGCTGCAGAGCTGCAGCGTACAGCCCATACTTGCGCCTCAGCTGCTCTCCGTCTGGATCTGCCTCTTCCAACTGGGGGGAATCGACTAAGGAATTGGATGGGAAACATTTAACAAGTGCACAAGGGATGCACCTCATAAATATGCGTGACATGTGGCTCCACGGGACCCAAGTGTATAGCATGCATACATATAAAAGATATTGCAAGTGTGTGGCATGGTCTGCAAGAAGGAAGTCTGCCCTAGGGCAGTAGGTAACTGTCTTAATCAGTTTTGCTTTTGTTCTTTTGGTTGTGGAGTTTGGTTTGGTTTGGTTTGGTTTTAGCACTGGTGATCGTGCTAAAACCCTTACACATTAGTAATCTACCACTGAGCTACATTCCCAGCCCCTTGACAAGGTCTTTTATTTTCCCAAGTTGAGCCAAACAAAGCAGTTAGACAGTGGAAATCATTTTGCTTGTATTCCATTGCTGAGGTTTGGTCCAGTAGTTGGTGGCAATGCCAGGTGGAGTGTCCACTGAAAAGCCTCGCAGATTTTCTTCATCTCACCCCACCTCACCACCCTCTCCCTCTCCTATCTTCGTTCCCTTCTGAATCTGTGAGGTGTCTCTTATTCTTAACAGTTTTTACTTATAAAACTGACAATTTCTAAAACAGGGTCTAAGTCTGGTGACTACCTCTAAATCCCAGAATGGGCTTCTTACCATATATGGAGAGGAGATGGAGAATTCCTCGAAGGAAGAAAACCCAAGCAATAGATTGTTAAATAGTGGGTATTTCTGAAGGCAAGCTGTAGCCAGATTGCCTTTCTCTATGAGTCATCTCATCCTTGCTCTAAATCCCCTTCTTACCCAGGGAGCCTCTCCACAAGGAGACCTGAAAGAATATGATGCATCTGGAATTTTTCTTTCTTGAAAGGTGACACAGCTGGCAAGCTACTTCGAGCCCTTGATCTTAGCTGCAGTTGGTGTTGCCTCCAAGATGCTGGACCATCAACAGCAGATGACAGTGCTGGACCAGACCAAGACACTCGCAGAGTCTGCCCTGCAGATGCTGTACGCAGCCAAAGAAGGTGGAGGAAACCCCAAGGTATGGTTCTGGGATCCCACATCCCTCTTGTGTTGTCTCCTTCCTCGAAAAATACCTCCGAGTTGATTTTCCAGTCTAAAGGAGAAAGAACCCAGTGGCTTTCCAAACAGATATAGCTAAGGGTTACAAGTCCTCTTTCTTTGGTAGGATACGTAGGCAAGCATCTGCGGGACAGGAGAGCGCATGGTATGCTCTCTGTAGGAATAAAGGTGGTACACTTACTGGTACCCACTAGGTGTTGATGCCTAACTTCCATGAAGGAACACCATTTGCTTTCAGTGAAGATGATGTCTTCTTCCTAGAGGATGCTGATTTAGTTTACATACTTATTTTTGCAGGGTGGGAGGGCCTCACATATGCTAGGCAAACATGCTTACCACTGAGCTAACTCCCCACCCCAAGAGATGTTAATTTATTGTAATGGTGCCCCACCACCCGGTCAGTTTGTGGGAGGTACATTTCTTCAGTGAGGTGCTGTCATGGATGACTGACCTTGTGCTACATTTGGCTTAGAATTTAAGAAGCGGTAACAGGGCCTGATGAGTGTCTTAGAAGAGCGCTTGCTGTCCTTGCAGAGGGCCTGGCTTCCGTTCCCAGCACCCACGTTGCATATCTCATCACCCTCGTAACTCAGTGCCTTCTTCCAGCCTGCACATACATGGTGTCCATGCATATCCCCAGACACACACGTATCCAAATAAACAAACAGCAACTTAGCATCAGCATGGCCATATATAGAATTGCAGAAATCTGGGGTGTCTTCAGAAAATTGTGAGTAGTCTGGCTGATGTAGAATGCACAGATGAGGAACACAGCTGGACAAGTTGGATCAAGATGTGCTGATGCATCTCATCTTCTCTGCTAAGGAGTAAGACCTTTCTGTAAGTCGTGGGATCTGGTTGGGGGCCGTTAAACAGGGACACGGCAACGCCTGTTCTAGTTTAGTTCTGACCCAAAGCAACTTATAGGAGCAAAGAGCTTGTTCGGTTTGCCTTGCCAGGTCAGTCCATCACTGAGGCAAGGCAGGAAGGAGCTCAAGGCAGGAAGCTGGAAGAAGCAGAAACTGTGGAGGAACGCTGCCTCCAGCTCACTTATGCCTGGATTTGTGCTGGCTAGCTTTCTTACACACCCAGGATCACTGACTAAAGATGGTACCATTCACATTGGACTAGGCCCTCAGTTAAGAAAACCCCTCGCAGACACACCCTCCAACCAACCTGGTAATCCAGTTCCTCAGCTGAGATTTTTGAACTGATTCTAGGCCATGACAAGTTGACAGCTAATACTAAGACAAACCCATATGTTATTTTATTACTTATAATACATGTCTGTCTGTCTGTATTTATCTCTCTTTCTCTGTCTTTTAGAAACAGGGAATATAACCTATACTGACCTGAATAGCTTATAGCCCAGATTGGCCTCAACTTTGTGATCCTCCCTCCTGAGCTGTTACCTCCTAAGGGCTGAGGTAACAGGCTTCACCCGTCACCCCCAAAACAAGCATCAAGTCTGCTCCCTTAGGCCCTTTGCTAAGAGGCCAAAGCCACATAATTAATTATTTGGGATGTTATTATTTGGGGGAATATTTATTAAGCTTTATCTGCTGTTGGTTTGATATTGTTTTATCTCATTCGTAGAAGAAATAAAGTTTAAATGTTGTTAAATATTTACCAGCAGGATGGCTCCGCTGGTAAAGGTAACTGCCACCATGCCTGTTGACCTGAGTTCGAGTCCCAGGAACCACATGGTTGAAGGAGAAAACCAACTCCCTCAGTTGTCTTTTGACCTCCACACATGCACTGTGGCCTGCAGGGTCCCATATACATGTACACACACACACACACACACACACACACGCGCGCGCGCGCGCGCGTACACTAAATAAATGTAAAAATTTATTTTAAATAAACACATAATAAAATGTTGTTAAATAGTCGTGAGTAGTCGTGATTTGGTAAAAACAAACACTCCAGGGACTGGGTCAGACATAAAGGTTTTCAGATCCTAGTGCTGCCTCTTGCTAGCAAGTTCTCCATTTCTTGTCTCCCCTACTACGCAGTAAGATTAATGATGAGTACCTCCCAATGTTGCTAATAGAATCTGAATGAGCGTGGTGTTTAAAAACAAGAATGTGAGGGATAGCTCAGGTGGTAGAGCACTAGCCTGGCATCCACTGAGCCCTGGACTCCATTTCCATGTAAGTTGGGAGTAATAACACACATGTATAATCCCAGTTCTTGGGAGGAGGAGGCAGAGGATCAGAAGTCCAAGGTCAGTCGTCTTCAGCTGCACAGGGCATTTGAGGCCATCATGGGCTGACACCCCGTGCCCATCAGACCAGTAGTCAAAACAAGGCGGCACCAAGGCATGTGTGTGTGTGTGTGTGTGTGTGGCCCCTCTAGCAGCCCCTTGAGCATCCTCCGCATCACCCCTCCCCTCCCCCATTCTCTTCTATAGAATTCCCTTCAAGCTGCCCCGTGCAGCACCCCCTGCAAGCCTCATCTAACTCTCTGGAGAGCGCTAATTATCTGCTGTCCTGCCCCGCCCCCAGAGTTCTGCTGTAGTCTCCTCTCACTTCCCATGCTATTCTGATGTCTTTGCCTGCTGTCCTGAGTTTGTAGTGCAAGTCCTGTCCGGAAGGAAAGGCTCCTTGGAAGCTGTCCTCAGACACTTGTCCAAGAAAGAACAGATGTGGTTTTTCTCGTGTGTGAGGAGCAGTATTATTAAGGAATTGTTCCAGACCCTAAAATAATGACTGCACTGTTGGCCTGCTCACTTCGCTTCCTAGAGGGCTGCTCTTGTTAAAGTGTGTTTTCATTGAGATCCTGCTACGTCCTTGGATGTCTAAAGCTCGTGTGCTTGGCCAGTCCACAGTGTATGGACTGGGGCCAGGCCATTTACAGAAGACAGAACTTGCCCCTGGGCTTCGGAGCAGAAGGCCATGGTGAGGAAGTCATGCTTAAGGATGTCATAGAGGAAGAGAACTCTGATCTGACACTCTAGAAATCTGTAAAACTTAAATCTGAAGAGCGTGGACTGAGGACATGGCTTGGTTGCTAAAGTGCTTGCCATACACGAGTGAAGACCTTAGTTCAGATCGTTAGCACCTCCCTACAAAACTGGGCAACACAGTACACACAGGTAATCTCAGCCCCAGAGACCCGAGACTCACCAGCCGGCCAGTCTAGCCAGATAGTCAACTCCAGGTTCAACGAGAAACGCTGTCTCAAAATAAGGTGGAAAGTGACCGAGGACGACACCTAAGGTCAACCTCTGATCTCTACACTTGTGTGCAAACGTACACATGCATTCATACATATGAGCATGCACACACGCACGCACACACACACACACACACACACACACACACACACACAGAGAGAGAGAGAGAGAGAGAGAGAGAGAATATTAAGGAGAACGAACCTTCTAGAGACTGTATCAGCTCATCTCTAGGGCAAATGGTCAGGTATCCAAGAATAGAGAGCTATCTAAGAGCAGAGATGTTTACTGAGAGGCTCAAAGATCATCCTTTGATTCACTGATGCTGTCCCTGAATTATGTTCTCATGTCCAGAGTTGTTATGGTCAGACCCTGGTTCGATTCCCTTCTATGGCTTCCTCGATGCCTGCCCCCAAGCTGCTGTATGCTGACAAACTCGGTTTGGCACCCACTGTCAGTGGGCCAATTGAAGAGACAATGAATAGTGAGAATAATTTATTCATTATATCAACATTGGGAAGAAGAGCAAATAAGGGGTTCAGTAACTCCCAAGTCCCAAGTGTAGATGTAAGCAGATAGTGAGAGGTGTGTATACCTAAGCAGTCCAGATCACGGTGTGGTCCCACCTGTCATCATTGTCTGGGCTCCAGTCTCTCCAGCAAACTGTGAAACCTCTACCTAGGAGACAGCTTCCCTCTCTGACTGGCGCCAGACCTAGCCTGTCCCTTCTCCCAACCTGAAGCTCCTGAGAGACTCCAGTTTCTTGGGGAGCGTTGTCGGTAGTCTGCCAGCCAGAGGGAGGGCATGAGCATCTCTCCAGTTCCACTCGTGTTAAGAGTTTGTACTCCTGAGACCCATGAAGGGCGTGGGTGGAAGCAGGCCTCTGATTGGCAATTGCTCCCCCCTCTCCTAAAACTTGTGCTGGGCTATGATGTGGTCGTGTAGCGTTGTGGCCGTAGGGTTCTCGTTGCACTGAGACATGGAGGAAAGTACTCCTGCTGTCTGACCTTGTGTAGTGAGACTCTGTGGGGTAGAAGCTTTCTCCAGAGAGTTCTGCACAGGAATACCACCTTTAGGACTTGTAGCAGGATAAAACTATGAAGTCAGCTAGCAAACTAAATCATGAGCTTACTCAGTTCCATCTGCACAGGCAGAATTCTGTGTGTCCTGAAGGTTGTCCCAAGGATAGCTGTGAGAAGCCTGTTTGACATCTTATCAGATGCCATACTTGAGGAGGTTCTTGTTTCCCAAGGTCCATGGCTCATACTGCCACTTCATCAAGCTCTTTGATTTAACAAAAAGAAAAGAAAAAAAGCAAGGAGTTTCCCTCTTCTATGCCCCACTGGCTTCCCTTCCTTCATATCCACCAAAGTAAAGCTGCAGTATCTTGGGCCTTTGGGGAGGCTCACACCCCTGCATTGGGCAGGATAAGCACAGATGTTGCCCAGGCAGATCTAGGCTTGAGATCAGTGCAGTTGTGATGGTTAGTCACTGGCATTAGGTCACATTGCACAGGGTTAGAGCAGAGTTCCCTGCTAGCCTGCCCTTCTTCTGCATGAGGTATCTGCACCAGTGTAAATGGCCAGACTTCCTACAGTTCTCCGCACCTCACTGAAAAGAAAGCCAAGCTCTGCCATGTAGCTAGTTAGCGGTAGAGCCAGAACTAGACCTAGGTTTCCTGTACCCATAGCTCAGCTCTTTCTTCTTCCTGCCAGGTGAGGTGTCTGCTAGGGAGCCCTGCACCAGTGCTGTTCCCGTTCACTAGTTCACGTTAAGGCCCTGTTCCCACCCTTGACATTGGCAAGTCTCCAGGGTGCTATTTGAGGAACATATGGTGACTTGGGTTTTACCCACAGTGCATCAGCCCTTGGAGGACTCTGCTCATCTAGTCTGCCAGTGTTGCACAAGATAACTTACCATATAGTTCTAAAGCCTAGTAGGCTCTCTGCAGATTTATTTCTTTTATATGCACCTACATTTCTATAATCAGCTTATTTATTGAAAGAGAATGATAGTGTGTTGGGCAATGTTGAAGAGAAGTATGTTTGTTACGAAAACATTTTTTCTTTGTATGATGGATTTTTTAATTAAATGTGTCGATTTGTGTATTTGGGAGCCTGTGGCATTCTCTACCATTCTGAATATAGCAGCATATAAAGCTAGTCCTGACAGTTTAATGTTGTATAAAAAGGGATTACTTTTGATTCTGCAAGTAAATGGATGAAATCAGGGAAAGAAAATATTTCAGATGCATTACATGTTTGTTTTTCTGCGGTGTGGCTCTCCTGGGGCTTGTAAGGTCTCACTACTGCTCAAGTTAGCCTTAAACATGAGGGCCTCCTGCCTTGGCCTCCTGTGTGCTAGGATGACAGACATGCACCGCCATGCCAGCCCTATCTTCTGACGTTTTAGGGTTATTTTTACCATATCAAGTGATTCTTAAGAGTGAGCAATGTTTCGTGCTGCTGAAGACATTTTTAACTCCCTTCCCAGGCACAGCACACCCACGATGCCATCACGGAGGCTGCACAACTGATGAAGGAAGCTGTGGATGACATCATGGTGACACTGAATGAAGCTGCCAGCGAGGTGGGGCTGGTGGGAGGCATGGTGGATGCCATTGCAGAGGCCATGAGCAAGGTAGGTGTAAGCTAGCTCCTAGAACCCCTTCAGCCACATCCCCGTCTCTCTCACATTCCATCCCTACATGCTCTTCTCTGGGAAACTGATCGTCAGTCAAAGCTGAGACCAGCAAACCTTCTTTTCCCAATGGCTGTAGCTAATGAGCAGGTGGCTGGTCATATATCCAACATATTATTCTTTCTTCATTATTAACTCATCGGCTTTGTAAGTCACCGTGCAATTCTTCCCAAGTTACATGTGGTAAGAGAGACGTTGTGAAAGTAATGTTGTTTCCTTGTTTGTAAAATGGAAATAATTACTTATGCTTTGTGTCCTCATCATAGGCCTGTGATGGGGAGCAAACTTCAAGAGGAGTTAGAAAGTGATTTCTGAGTGTTATCCCTTGGAATGGCAACGTTGGAATTGGGGAACTTTCTAGAATGCAGGATCTTGGACTCTATCTACCCCTGACTTGCTCTATTACAGTCTCAATTAAGTGGAGTCTAGGAATCTCTAATAGGACTTTCAAATATCTTATGCTTTCATTATCTACTTAAATGCATAGGCCATCAAATTGTATGAAAGGCCTTGGTAAGCTCTCAGAGACAAGTCATAGACATGAGTCATTTTCTCACCGGGCAACCAATCAGTTGACAATGCTTCAGACTGAAGACGATTTCGACTCCAAGGTTTCTACTTTTCCTGCAAGGATTCTGTCTCTAGTCATGTCCTTTTGATATTGTTGGGGTAAATAGTTGTTCATCAACATTTAATTTTCAGCCTGTGGTAGCTGACCATAGCGTCAGACAGTGTTAACAGGAATGCCTGCTGTTGGGTCGTGAATACATCTGTATGGTATTTCAGGATAATATGCAGTCTTAAGTTGCTGATTTAGAGATTAGTTGTCCCTGTCTCCATAGGGAGTGACTCCATGGAATGGTCACTAGAGTAACGCTCCTCAACCTCCTGCCATCATCTTCACGCTAGTGAAGTAGCGAGCCTGGGTCAGACCCTGTGTCCTTTAGAAGACCTGATGCTCTACTTTCTCAGTCTCTTCAGTGTTCACTCTGCCCTGCTTTTGCTTCAACTCTGGATGGTTTGGCAGATAATACATAAATTTCCCATCCTCATCAAGGCCATTGGGCATGCTCAAGAGGGTTTGTTTGAGTTTCAGAGCAGCAGAACAGCAGCACTTTGGAAACAAACCTCATGTCCACCAGGGATGTTAGCTAATAGAGTCTACAGCTCCTTAGTAGTAGTAAAAAGGCAAACAGTGCCTCCTTTTCCTTTTCTCAGTATGAATGTAAAAATAGGGAAATGTGCTGTGAATCCCCAGAAGTCAAAGTTGGGCCCTGAGGTCCTTCTTTGGTAGCCTGTGAGCCTCACTGATTGGGCAATAGCATCTCTGGTGTCACTGGCCCAGCTGCCCTCTTCAGAAATAAGCCTGGTCTTTTCTGATAGGAACAGGAACTGCTGGCAACAGAGGCCACACACGAAAGGTTTCCCTCTCCTTTCTGTAAAATATAAAGTGGGATTTTGTGGCTCTCCACAAACCCCTACTGTGTTAGTTACAGTGACTGTTGAAAAATACTTGGAAAACAATATAAGAAGCCAGGTGGTGGCAGTGCACTGTTGAGTCCCAGCACTCAGGAGGCAGAGGCAGGCGGATCTCTGAATTCGAGGCCAACCTGGTCTACAGAGTGAGTTCCAGGACAGCCAGGCTACACAGAGAAACCTTGTCTCAAGAAAAATTAAAAATGAAAATAAAAGAAGCAGCAGCAATATAATTGCGAATGGTCTACTTTGACTTACAGTTGGTTTCTTTTTTATTTTGTTTTGTTTTGTATTTTGAGACAGGGTCTCTCTGTGTAACGGCCCTGGCTGTCCTGGAACTAACTCTTTCAGGCCAGGCTGGCCTTGAACTCACAAAGATCTGCCTGTTTCCGGGACCAAAGGCATGTGCCACCACCGCCTGGCCAGGACTGCCTTCTACAAGGCTTCTACATGGCTGCCTGGGCTAGAACACAAACACACAAAATAAATAAGTAAATGTTAGAAATAAGACAGTCAGTTTATTCATTCATCCCTCAAGTGTTCATCAGCTTATCGACTTGGTCTTTTTAAAGAAATAAGCCAGGTGTGGTGTGACTGTACCTTTAATCCTGCTCTTGGGAGGCAGAGGCAGGTTTGCCTAAGTATTTTGACTTCTCTTTATTCTCAGCACGCCGTCTTGTTCAAAGTTAGTCCATGTCTCAGTTGAGAAGGAGCCTGACAGACTGCAGATATTTAAAAAGATGTCTAGTCAGTTCTTGCTGAATGAATGAGCTCCCAGCTTGATCCTCGCCTGGTCCATAGGGTCCGTGCAATGGTGGAGGTGCCTGGCATCATCCGTCTGCCTAGGAGAGAAGCCTTGACAGGTTCCGCTATGGTTCACGCTGATAGTTTCATGAAAGCAGCTTCCTGGGATGTACAATATGCACGGTGACGCATCTCTGCCTCGTGGCTAGTCCATGCCTGCTTGTAACATGTAGCCCTTATTAAGACACTGCCTGGCAACTCCTCTGTTGGCCGCTCAGCACATGCCCTGCTTTTTGACTCAACCATGTTGACAAAGAGCTGCCAAAAAGATTTTCTTAGTTGCCTACCCAGGTCCCATGGTGATGTCAAGATGCTCCACCCAAAAGATCTAAGCCCCACTCCCACTGCTCTCTGTGCCCCCCTTCCCATTGGCGGTGCTGTCTTTACAATAGTTGCTCACCCTGTGTTGATTTCCATGCCCTTCACTGCCTCCCTAGGACATCATTTGGGTGCTATTCAACGTCATGTTCGTGAAGGGGTTGATAGTGAAGTGGGTGGTCTTTTTCTTCGTTGGGGTCCCGGACTTTTCCTCCCCTTCCTTCTCCCTCTTCATAGTCATCCTTTCTCCCTTTTCCTGTCTTTTTCCTAGTTGCTGGTGCACTTAGAAGCAGGCAAGCAACAGATTGTTCTTAGCTGCTCCAATTCTTTCTCTTGTTGACTTAGATCATCACAGGGCATCCCCCGGCACAGATACTGGTGGGCTGTAGTACTGTCTTGGAAGTCCTTGGTGATGTTGATTCTGCCTCCTCTCCTACCTCATCTTCCACCCCTCTGTATTCCCCTGTAGTATCATCAGACTCATTCGGATTGCCATGTGCTTGAATGCTGGTCCCTCTTCCTGGGAGTCCTTCCCTTCATTTATGTGGGCAGCCTCCTTCTTATGTGGAAGACTTAGCTAAGTCATAATTCCCATGAAATACTTCCACTTCTGTAAGATAGAACTGGGACCCCATCTTGCCTGTGTCCCCTGGATGCCTTACTCGTACCTCCATTGCAGTTCTGATTGGAGAAGTTGGGGTTGAGTTTGGACCAAAAAACCTCTGAGGGGCTCTCTATTTTTCCTAAGTGTCTAATTCTTAAAAGTACAGTCCACCGTTGGCCAGGTTTCTTATGACTCCTGGGCTCTTCTCTTCTCCACAGCTGGATGAAGGCACACCTCCAGAACCAAAGGGAACATTCGTTGACTACCAAACGACCGTGGTTAAATACTCCAAAGCGATTGCTGTCACCGCTCAGGAAATGGTAAGAAAAGGAGATGCCTGCCCACTGTGTGTTGTCCTTCTGTCCACCACCATCTGAGTCATCGGATGGGATCTGTGCTGGAGCGAGTGGCCAACCGGTGATTCCAGTTCCTCCTGGACGCCAGCTCCTACCCCCTCTCTTGGTCCCTCTGGCTGCCTGTGGTATACCCCAGCAAGAAGGAATTAAGGTTGACAGACATTTGGGCATGAGGACAGAGAATAGAGGCAGGAGAGAACATTCAAGAAGGCATGAAATGAGGAAGAAGATAGCAATAAGAAGGAAAGAGTCTTACTCATCTCTGAAAGCACTCGGGGCGTTTTAATAGATTTCAATTCTCATAGAAGAGAAGATATTTGGGAACAAAACAGTAAAGGGCTAAGCTGTCTGACAAAATCGTATCATAACACTTGGGCAAATTAGTCTTTTAGGCAAAATCAATGTGGTTTATTTTTTCTTAATTTCTTACAGCAGACGCTGTGCCACTTTTGAAAGTAGTTTTTCTTTCACTGAAACAATGCAAAACGCTGTTCAGATGAATCTTTGTAATCAGCCCTGGAAAGCAGCGTGTGCTCTCTTGACTTTATAGAGTTCTGCGAAGGATGACAAATGAGATCTTCAGAGAGCTAATACCCAGAAAATGTTCCTCTCCACATGGAGTCCCAAATGCTGTAGATTAGAGAAGATTACCACACGAGCCTGCACTGGGAACTGGAGTGGCCCAGCTGGAGTGGCCAAGGCATGGCTCTGTCATATAATTGTGTGTCCACTAGAGGTTGAACTTGGATCACGAAGGCCTCCCTGCCTGCTCTGCTCATGTATGGGAACTCTGTACCAGGCCTGCTGTTTAAGTGAATGTGGCCTAAGGGAGAAGGGAGTAGTCACAGGTACCTCTAAGTGTCCTGGCAATCTAGAGCTACCCCATGACTGTCCTTTCAGGGGAGGACAGGACAGAGTAAAGGCCCCTTAATGTCCAGCGTGGCAATGGGAGGAGGCATTTTTGAGTGGCTTAATAAGGTTTTAAGAGAGTCTTTGGGCCAGGCTTTGAGCCAGGCTGTCTCATGCCTTGGCCTCTATAATTTCCAACAAGCCCAGCCTCCTGAAGATAGCCATCCTGGGGTAGCTAGCCTGGCACTTTAGGTTGGAGCTAGGCACTCCTCACCTGGCAGGTAAAGAATCTCTGCATTCCTATTGACAGGGCACAGATGGTGCCGCTCAAGGTACAACTTCATTCTCTTGGGGTCCAGGTTATATACTTTGGAACCCACTATTCCAAAGGGCTGTAACATTGGGTCTTAAAACATAAGTATTCCCACTTCAGTAGATATGGAGTCATTTAAAGAGGCCCTTTAAAAGCCCTTTAGGCTGGTCATGGTAGCACATGCTTGTAATTCCAGTCCTCAGTAGGTAAAAGCAGGGGATTAGGAGTTCAAGGCTATCCTTAGCTATGTACTGAGTTCGAGGACAGCTTGAACTATATGAGACCTTGTCTCAAAAATAAATAGAACAGCCCTTTAAAGTCAAGGTGTTAAAGCGCATGGATAGTGTCGCCAAGCAGGTGGCCATCAGGTAAAGATGCTTGTAACCAAGCCTGATGGCCTTCCTTCAGTCCCTGGAACCCACACAGAGGAAGGAACCAACTCCTGTAAGTTGTCCTCTGCCCTCCACATGTGCACTGTGGTACATACACAACACACACACACACACACACACACACCACACACACACACACACACACACACACCACAAAAGTACAAATAAAAATAAAAGAGTTTAAAAAGAATGAGAAAGAGACAAACAAGAGTGAAATCCTTAGAAAAGAGACAAAGAATGTCTTTAGACGAACTGCAAAAACAGACTGGATAACATTAAACTTTGGCATGCTAATCTGAGGTGCGGGGAGACTGGGTTTGTGGACCACCATGTTTCTGGTAGCACCTTGTGATGCTTTGTACGAATTCGCCCCAAGACTTAATTCCCTTCTTTCCCTGATGTTGGCTTCTCCACTGAGTCTCATTCATGGCTTTGTGGCAGCACTGTCTTCAGATCCTCTCTTGCCCAGATCCCCATAGAAGCCTGGATCAGGGTACACCCTTCACAAGGCTTATTCCCCCTTAGTTCCTTGTGGGAATTCTTCCAGTGATCCCAAAAGGACAAGCTCCCTGAGATCGGCCCCTGAGGCCCCAGCTCCGTGCTGCACGGCCTGCGTGCTGAGCATGTGCCCCCATCTGGCCTTTGCTGCAAAATAGTCCCAGCTCTGGCCTGTCTTGTGCAATGTAGCATGGGCTTTGCTTGAATTGCCCTCTCTTGTGCTCAGCCCTCATGCAAGGCCTGGCCTCCACCTTCCCCAGGGGCTAAAAGTGAATGAAACCCTTTGGCTTCCCTGGGGTATTAACACATGGTTCTGATGCTTCTCTTTGTGTATGTGTGTATGTATTTGTGTCTTGCTTGTTTTCTTTTTCCAGATGACTAAGTCGGTTACTAACCCGGAGGAGCTGGGAGGCCTGGCTTCACAAATGACCAGTGACTATGGGCACCTGGCTCTCCAGGGCCAGATGGCAGCAGCCACCGCCGAACCAGAGGAGGTCTGCCACCTTAAGACCCCCATCTTAAGAAGCAAGCGCATGGTCCCCATTCCTGGGGATGGGAGAGGGGAGGACCCTGTAGCCTAGTTCTGTAAGACCCCATCACAACAGCCAGGAGCAGGTTTCATTCCCCCTACTGTGAAACTGATGCCCGAGCTTCAGTCAGTTGCTGAGGCCAAGCGTTAGGGCACCCTGGAGAAAGGGCTCTCAGATAGAAGGGTTCTCTTTACAATGATCTGCCAGGTTCCTTGCAGCTGCCCGTCACCCTCTTAAAGTTCCCAAGCTGGGGCTGCCCTTCCTGCTTCCTGCCCACCCCCAGCACATCCCACCAATCATGTTTATGTTTTCCAAAGTTTCCCCAAAATATTAGATCCACATGTGGGATTTCATATCCCCTCTCTTGAGAAGTCTGCTTACATGATGCAGAACCCATCCTGGCTTTCTAAGAACTGGCCTAGATCCCACCCACCTTTGTGCTTCTCAGGCCCCACCCGCTTTCCTTATCCTGAGGCTAGAGTAGACATGGCCTCAGCAAGGCTATACTCATAAGAGTCTTTGACTAGGAAGTTTGGCCACTGCCAGAGAGCAATCATCTCTGGAAACTATGAGAAATAGAGTGGTCTCCTGGGACAGGGCAGCCAAGCTGGGGACCCAGAGGGCCTGGTGGCAGCTGTGTTAGTGCAAGCACCTGGAAGGGTATCTAGGGCCCCAGAAAGTATTGGCTCCTTAGAGAAAGTTCAGACTGGGGAACAGCATGATGGGACAACAGGAACACAGGAAGATACAGGTAACGCGTTCTGTGAAAAGCAAGCCGTTAATGAATGTACATCCTGTTCAGTGTTCTCCTAAGCATTTGGGGCTATGGGAGCTATAGGTTTGTAACTGGTCTGCTCCTTTTTCTGAAATGGCAGACGCTGCCCCCACCTACCCAGTGCTGCTGATTCTGCTGGGAATAGTCAGGACCAAGCTTGTCTAACAGAGGCTTCTCGAAACAATTATCGCAACACAGACCCAAAATACATCCTCTTCTAACGTGTCATAACAATGCATGTAAACAGGCATATCATATATATGTACTGAGGTACATATATATTCAGCATGGAGTTTCTTTGGTTTCTAACCATGCCCCTGTCTTCAGATTGCAGAGCAATCAGTTAAACCTCTGCATGAATAATTGCATTTAAAATAATTATGTTACGCCACCAAGAAAATACCAAAGCTTGATTTCTTTTACACACCTCCCCCTCCTCCTCTTCCTCTTCATCTTCTTCCTCCTTATCCTCCTCCTTCTCATTTTTTTAATAGTCTCCCTGTTTTAGTCAGACTAGACTATAATTCTAGTCTATAATTTATCTAGACATATAATTCATTTGATCAACGTGTAATTTTGAATTTCATAAACAAGTAGAAGAGGGCTTGTGTTGCAGTCAGGAAACCCTAGTACAAAGGAAAGAAGTGTTTGGCTTTGAGAGGGGATTAAAAACACAGACCATGATTGCCAGGGAGGTTTGGACCCCTTGCCATGGAAAGCTTTGCACATGGGATCCACCCTCATCTGTCTGGGTTTGGAACATTGGCCTGTCCTTTCCGTAATGGAGTTCTCATGAGCTGCCCACCCCAGTGTGGGAAGCAAGCAGAGCCCTGCAGCAACACATATTGGACAATAGCACCCAGGCCACAGGGAAAAGTATCTATCACTCAACCACTCAACACTTCACCTTGCTGGGTACTGGGCTCTAACCTCTGACATTGTTAGTAAGGTTTGCTGTTTTCAGTGAAGCATCTTCAGATGTATTTTACAGTCCAGGCACAAGAGCAGTATGACCTACAACCAGAAATGGCAGCGAGAATATAAGATTACCAGTGGCTTGTGCAGGAACGTTCTCTGTGTGCATTTGCCAGACAGATGCTTGGGGGGAAACTGAGAAGGTTAGGAGGTCCCTGAAGCAATGTAGTTTTTTTTTTTTTAAAGCATACCAAAATTGTGGAAGTTATTTGTCTACCCGAGAGGGCCCCATATCCCAGCTTGTGAAAATATTTACATCTAGGGCAAGCGGGAAGCCTTTCCTTCAGAGCCTGCGGTGTGCCCTGCCGAGTCCAAATTCTGGTCTTTTCCACAATGTGACAATTACAGGAAAAGCTGGCCCTCTGTCCTCGAACATCAAACAGGATCTTTCTCTGTTTATTTTTCCATGGAAAACTTACAACTTTGTTAATAGCACTGTGGAAAGTCTTCAGAAAAGTGAAAACCCCTCTGGCAACTTTGCAATTTAAGATTAGTTCCTCTCTGAATACAGAGAACAGAGAGGGCCGGGAGATGGTTCAGTTCTCTACAAACATGAGACCTGAGTTCGTGGCCTCTTCGTGTGCATACATGGGTACATGTATCAGCATCCACACACCCAGAGGGGGTGGGGAGAAGAGAAGGAAGGATGGAGAGAGGGAAGGAGAGACTGAGATCCTAGGAGCTGTGGCTCCTAAATGTGAGTCCTGGGGAAAAGATTTAGTGACTGCAGCTCTGTCTCTTGGGAAAATGACATCACCGCTTTGTAAGCAGGGAGAGGATCTGTAAAGTGACTGGCCGGGGAAACATGCCTGCACCCCAGGTGGGATGGGTGGATGGATACTCTAGGTTTTTGTTGTTGTTTTGGTTTTTTGATTTCTACCCAAACTTGCTGTCTGATAGAGAGAAAGTGATACCTGGTTCTGTTGTTCATACTATTTGTTTTTCCTGTTCCGTTTCCTAAGTTGATCCAAGTTCTGATGCCACCCTTGTCTGACTCTCATAAGGTCCCCCAGGCAAGCAGTCGTGGACCCAGTTGCTTTTAACATCTGTGAAAAGTCATCTCATTTTGTTTTGTCTTGAGCAGTAAAGGAAAACGATCCGATCCGTTTTTCATAGACAACTCTTCCCCGACCCCATTGTAATCGGATCTAAAACTCTACCAAGGCCCGAGCATTTTTTTTTTTAATTTCCTTTAAGGCACAAAAGCAGATGGTTTTCCCCACAATATTTTTCTTTGAGCAAGAAGGGAACAGGGTTTTTTTTTCCTTGGGGTTCAAGTAATGCTCTCCTAAATATGCCGGTTTGAAGCCCTAAGTTGTGTGTCTTTGAGCAGCATTCCTTTGTAATAAACACTGGTCGTACATTCAATCCACCCTGTGGGTCTTGCAAAGTTGGGCCAGACTTGCTGAGAAATTTAATGTTGCTTTGGGAACTGGGCAATTCTTAGTGCTTATCAGTGGAAACCCAATCTTGAAAGTGTGTTCCCTTTCTAGGAAGCTCCTCCAACTGTAAAACCTTCCAGTGAAATTGCCAGTAGACTGTTGACTCTGTGGTCCTCTTGTGTTTAAGTATCTCACCGTGACCTGGAAAATAGGGAGAGTGATGAGTGCCGAGCCCAGGTGCTATGGCCTTCAACAGAGTCTGCAAGACAAAGATCATTTGTTCTTCATTTCAGAGATAATCAAACAAAAGTTCAGAGAGGCTAACAAAATTCTGATTCTATTAAAACCACTCTTAAAAACTTAAATTAGAGGGGTTTCTTATTTTGTTTCGTTTTCTAATTCCCTGGGTGTTGCTTCCACTGTGTCCTTCTCCCCTGGTGTCACCAGCAGCCCCCTGTTGTTTGGGGGTGTAAGAGCTCCCACCTTTAATTTACTGCCGCCCCTTGGATATCCTTGTTAGACTTTGTGGAAGCCTTTAAGGACCAAGTTAAGTTTGAAACTAATGTCTCAGCTCCTGACTTCATCTTGATGTCGTGTGTAAGCCTTCAGCATATCTTGAAAATAGATGTCTGATTGTCTCAGCACTTGGGCAGCTGAAGCAGGGGGATCAAAAGCTCCTGGACAGCCCGAGCTCTGTCTCAAACAATGAATGTTTGAATGGTATCCTTGCTGAATGTAAACATCTTTCCCCAGTCAGTGGTATGTCGTTTGCTGCACCAGTTCAGACGTGTACAGACTGGCATGCTGTAGACTCCCAGGCTAACTTTCCTATTGTGCATCCCACAGAGAGGGCCAACGGGACAGCCTAGCTGTGGAGAGCCTGTCCCAGGGCACACAAGAAGATACCTGGAAAGCAGACGCTCACCCTTGGGCATCTAGTGAACTTTCTGCTAAGTGGCTTTCAGAGTCCTGTGGCCTTTTCCCTCCCAGCAGTGGGCATTTCTACAGTAGGAAAGCAGACATATGCAGTCCTTCCACTCTCCAGAGTCACTCTGCCCTAAACTTTGCCTGCTGAGATACAAGCAGGAGATAGCGTCCCCTGGCCGGAATCTCCCCAGAATTATTTACAGTATCTGGGCCCTTTTGGTAAACAGTCTTAATGCTAGAAGAAAAAGCCCCCCCCCCCCCCCAGCTTGTAGCTATTATCAATTTTTGGCGGTAACACTGACTCACGCTTCAAGTGTTTGCTCTTCTTCTTAGTTGCTTACCTGGCCTGGAAGGCAGTTCATTTGTGGCTGTATTTATCCAGCTCAAAGTGAAAACTGACACTGAACAGAACCAGAGGAATGCATGCTTTCGGAAGGCGGAGGGGGAATTTAGTACGGCTTAAGGAGACAGCTAGCAGTGAAGTTATTTGGCTTCTCTTAGGCAAACTACCCCTTCTAATCACTCAGCCCAATATCCTTAATCAAATGCACGCCCCCAGGGGATTTAGCTTTGTTGATAGATTACTGGTCTAAGATAGTATGAGGCCCTGGGTTCCACCCCCAGCCCTGCAGAGACTGGATTTGCTATAGTACATGTCTGTAGTCCCAGCACTTGAGAGGTGGAGGCAAGAGGATCAGAAGATCCAACTTATTCTCAGTTACAGTCAGTTCGAGGCCAACCTGGACTATGTGAGATCCTGTCTTAACTTTTTTTAATCAAGTAAATTAATGAAATAGGGACGCATGTCTGCCAAGCCTTTAGAACTGAAAAGGGAAAGTCAACCCTGGCTCAGGAGACAGGAAGCCTGGGCTCCATGGGATGGCACTCACCATGAATACACCAGGAATGGGTGTTCTGTTTAATAAGTATACCAGTTTTATGAAAACCTGACTACTTTAAGTTATGCGAAAGATGTACTTTGAATTCATGAAATGGAACGGATAGGAGAGGCCTTGGTGTACTGTAGGAACTCAGTAAACGCTTGTTAGATGGATAATAACGATAACCGTCCCACAGAGCTCAGTCTGGGGAACATCTACTCCTCGGGTATAGACTCTCAGGTGGCTTGACCCAGATGAGCCAGACCAGGAGAAGATGAACACACAGTGAGCTACTGGCTTGCTTAATGGAGGCTGTGGGCATTTTTACAGTCATTTTACAGAAAGGTAAATCAACTAAATTCCCTACCTCACCAGACAGGGTTCCAAATAGAATGGAATTTTCCTAGCTGGGCTCCCAGAAGGCACAAGAGAAATTTTCCACCTAGGGCAGGCTTGGATGGCAGGGTCCCTCACACTCCTTCCCCCTTCTGGCTTTGCCTCCGTAGATCGGATTTCAGATTCGCACACGTGTGCAGGACCTGGGTCATGGCTGTATCTTCCTGGTGCAGAAGGCAGGGGCCCTCCAGGTGTGCCCCACAGACAGCTATACCAAGAGAGAGCTGATCGAGTGTGCCCGTTCCGTCACTGAGAAGGTAAGGGGTCCCTGTGGGTAAGATGGATATAGCCATGGGGCTGAGCACTAACAATGTGACCAGCTCTGGTGGAGACTGAAACCAAAGGTAATCCAGCTAAGGTGGCGCTTTCCCTCGCCACCCAGATCTTCCCCAGTGAGGGTGCTGTCACAGGACCTGAGAAATTCCGAGCAAAACAGAGGCAGCCCTGGGAAAGTCAGGGACTTTCTCCAGATGGCCCTACCAAAGTCAGCATTCAGAGCCAGCCAGGGGAAGGCTGTTATCATCGCCCACCCTGTAACGGCTGATCCCCTGTCTCAGAGAGTTTCTGAGTGCTAGAGCTGGAACCGAGAAACTGGAGGCACTGGGTAGAGGGGTACAGCTGAAACCCCAAAGAGCCAGCCTGGGCTATTTAGTGAGACCCAGTCTCCAAAGGCAAAGCAACGAAGTGTGAAGCAGAGTGGTCTCCACGACAGACAAAAGACTGAGATCCGCTTGGTGTGTGACCTCTCCTCTTACATACCGTGAGGCAGAGTGGTCCTAGTGATTTTAGACAGTCACCTGATGGACCATGGAGGAAGAGAAACCTGCCCTGGGCTTCTGAGCCTCGGGGCTGCTGTTGGGGAAGATGGTTAGGAGTGTGGGCAGCAAGGCTTGAAGAGCGTATCGGTTACATCGCGTTTCCAAGCCTCAATCTCCTCATCCATAAAACGAGCACACAAACGTGCAATCTCTGACTCACAGCATCAAGGTGTGTAACAGTATTTGGTACTGTGCCAGGTACAGAGTTAAACATTGAACAAAATAGCCCCCTCCTCTGAAATTCTGTTCTCCCATGGCACTTCCCTAACCGACAAGGCCCGCATTAGATCCTCCCTTCATACCCAGTGGCTCTTTATCCTCCCCCGGTCTGCTAGCTTCTAGCTTTGTTTCTGGATCAGAGTCCTGCTGTGGCAGCTGTGGCAGCTGTGAGTAGTGAGGCTGGAGCATCCTTGCTCCACAGTTCTCGTCACGTCTGTGTGCATAGAGCTCTGCATTATTTCCAGACTTGGCGACAAAGCCGGAGGACTGGGCAGAGGAAGCGCTCAATGGGAACCGACTAACAGAGGCTGCTCTGTCAACCAGTCCTGGGCCAGGCCGAGCCTCTATCTGGCAACTTCCCCCAGCCCACAGGACTGGCCAGCTATGGTCTCTACAGTTAGTATTAAACCTCTCAGCTGGAGGAAGGCACCTTCCCTAGCTTCAAAGACTTTGCCCATTTCCCCAGGCACCCAAGATATGTGCAGAATCCTCTTGAGCCGGTCTTGGTCTTACTGTTCCCACTCAGAGTGGCCTGACTTGGGACACGGGGAGGACGGAGGTGTGGAGATGGCCAGTTCCTAGCATTTGAGTCTGTGACAAAAAGCACCAAGGGGAGGAAAGGGTTTGTTTTAGGTCACAGGTTACGATCCATCTGTGGGGGAATCCCGGCATCCAGAACTTCAGACAATTAGTCCTGCCACAGCCACAGTCAAGAGCAGAGAGAAATGCATGCCTGTGTGCTTCGTGCTCAGCTTTCTCTACTCTGATGCAGTTCAGGGCCCCAAACCAGGGGATGTGCCACCCACAGTGGGCTCACCTCAGTTAACCCAGTTAAGGAAAAATTCACGGCTGGAGAGTTGGCTCAGTGGTCAAGAGCAGCAGTTACTGCTCCAGAGGACCTGGGCTTGATTCCCAGCTCCCACGCAGTGGCTCACAGCTATCTGTAACTCCAGTCCTGGGGCTTACAACATCATCTTCTGGCCTCTTTGGGCACAAATAAATAAAATTAAAAAGGCAGAAAGAAATCCCTCATAGCGGGCCCATGGGCCAACCTGATCTTAAGACAGGCCCACATTGAGACTTCCTAGGTCAGTCTAGGTGTGGCAAGTTGGCAATTAAAACCAGCCATCCCCGGAAAGAAACAGTTCTCTGTGGACCCGTCTTGGAGAAAATGGTCCCTGTGTCCTTTCTGCTAAACTATACCTGCAAGTCTCCTGAGTCCTGAGGGGTACAAGAAAGAACATCCCAAACTCCATGCCTCTTATTTATGCTTTGACTCCCGCTTGCTCGTCATGCTTTGAGACGCGTATTTCCCATATAATCCCAACACTGATGGGGCAGGGACAAGCAGAGCCCTGCGACTTACTAGCCAACTACTCCAGCAAAATCTGTCAGCTTTCAATGAGAGATCCTGTCCCGCCCCGTCTCTCCTACCCTACCACTACCACCTGGGGGTAGGGAAAAAAGGCAGTTTGGTGAGCAACTGAGGAAGACACCTAGGATTTGACCTCTGCCCTCACCCCCACGCCTCCCTCACCCACACATGGTGTATACATACGTGTTTTTACAAAGCATTTATGTGCATCAGCATGATCAAGGCCAGCAGGTGTGTACAGGCAGAGGTTAAAGAGCCTTCAGCTGCCATGTCATGAACTGTTTCTGATCTATAGGACAATGGCTGTCCTGAGGACAGGAATAGTGTACTAAGACTCCTTGGGCAGAACTGCCTGTCTGAAGGAGAACAGAGAGCCATCTAGGGGAACCTGGAGCTCTATCTCACAGGGTGAGCACATCAGTGCTGGGGGAAGAGAGCAGGACAAAGCGCCTACTCTGAGCATCAAGGCACGCCTACTCTGAGCATCAAGGCAGGTGTGTGGGGACCTTAGCTGCTGGCAGACTTGACAGACAGTGGGCAGGTGGACACATGGTTTGATGGTGAGCATGTGGGGCGATCAGGCTGCGGCTGTAGAAAGTGTCTCTAGGAACAGGAAGGGGTGCAGGTAGAAGCTGGCGCCCGGGGTTTCTGATATGGAGTGTGCTAAGGTGAAGCCGTTAGCCAACTTGCTGGACCCTCGGGTCACTGCATTGCTACCTAGTGATGGACGGTGACATGCAGGAGCTCCACTGGGATCCACTCTGGAAAGTGACCTGTCCTGCATGGCCAAATGAATGATGAGTATTGACAGTAGTTCTTCCTTCCAGACCTAATTGACGGGTGGAAACTGCCACCCACATCTTGGGAGCCTAAACCTGATCCCTCAGTATGGTATCAGAAGCATTGTAGTTGACTTTGTGAGCACTGCCCTCCAGGAAATAGTTGTGACCTACAAACACCTTATTGGGTACTTTGCATGTGTTGTCTTGTAATTAACTGTTTTACATTCAAGGAAACTGAGGCTTGGTACCTAAGGTCGGGTGGCGTGTGAATGGTAACGCTGATACTCAGACCCAGGCTCTTGGCTCTGATCTTGTGCCATTAACCTCTGTGCCGCATCAGCTCCAAGAGAGAGAATTCAGTGTTTTCAATGGGGGCACACTATCTTAGTCTTACCTTCTCCATTCCCTGGCTCCCCTTTCTACCTTCCAGGTATCCTTGGTGCTCTCCGCTCTCCAGGCTGGGAACAAGGGGACCCAAGCATGCATCACGGCTGCTACTGCTGTTTCTGGGATCATCGCCGACCTGGATACCACCATCATGTTTGCAACAGCAGGGACACTGAATGCAGAGAATGGCGAGACCTTTGCAGATCACAGGTACTGGGGGAGACTCCAGCTGGCATCCCTGAAACCGGTGATCACACTTGGTCACCACACTCTGCCCAGGACTCAGAAATGTGCTTTATCCACTTGGATGTCAATAAGATTCTCAGAGGGGGCTTGAACCACAGGGTCAGAATAATTCCCTTTGACAAGTTAGAATCAGTCTTCCCCAACTGAGGCCAGCTTTTTTGATGTTTGCACACCAGGGAGTTGCCCCTCTGGCTGCCCATAGACCCAGTAGGACCAGGAGAGGCAGAGTTAGCATTCACTTCCCAAAGCCTCCTGCCTCCTCGGAGCCTTCATTAAACATGTGTGTGTCAGTGGCTCTGCAGGTTTACCGCTGATGACCCCTAAATCCTTATCATGTGTCCAGCCCCTTTCCTGTCTCTCCAGTCCAAGGGCTGTGGGGCTGGGATAGAGTGGAGATTCTCTGTATTCTGTTGGCCATTCTGGAGCCTGGCCCCATGGGCTCTGAGCCCCTAGCAGGATGTACAAGCTCTGTACCCTCACAACCCCGTGTGCCTAGGAAATATCTGGGAGATTGTGGGGCCATCGGAAGAAGCTGAGCTTCCGCCTAGCTACTGTGCTGAGCCTCTCTCTGGAGCCGTGCTACCAATCCTGCTACATACTGTTTGAAGCTACACCCTCACATGCATGGAAGACTCCCCTCCCCTTGAAGGGGGGTGGATCACTGGGGCCTCTCTTCTCAAAGTCCCCGGGAAAGGATTTCCTTCCTTCCCAACTGCAAGTGAACAGGTTTTGTTCTGTTTCTCCCGTCTCTCTGGCCTCCCTGCCTTCCCAGGGAGAACATTCTGAAGACAGCAAAGGCCTTGGTGGAAGACACTAAGCTGCTCGTGTCAGGGGCCGCATCAACTCCAGACAAGCTGGCCCAGGCCGCTCAGTCCTCTGCAGCTACCATCACCCAGCTTGCCGAGGTGGTCAAACTGGGGGCTGCCAGCCTGGGCTCCAATGACCCTGAGACCCAGGTAGGAATGGAACCTGGGGACTGCCTTTCTCTTTTTCCTATACACCCTGCATAATGGGGTTAAGCATGTAGCCTTTGAAGTAAACATACGTGTGTATGCTTGATTGGAGAAGCGGATAAGAAGCAGTTGAGAGAGACGTGGACTGTCGTGACGGTTCAGGGGTTGAGACAAGCCTATGGATTTGGGAGGAACTTAGAAGGATAAGTTAGCCAGGCCTGGTGAACAATTGGTTGAAGAAGACATGGTGAGGATAAAGGCTAGGGAGGAATGCCAAGTGTCCTGTGGTCAGGCTGGAGCAGTATGTAGCTTCATGAAGCCAGAGAGTGAGCCATCCATGGGGGGAGAGCCATTTGGACCCGAGGGAGGGAGGAGAGTGAGCCCCTGTCTAAGGCTTGTTGAGTCAGAAGTACAAGACAAGCAGCTAGAAGCATCGAGAGCATGAGCCTGCTCCTGTGCGCGGGTGTGACTCAGGTGATGCCTCTCAGCATCTGCAGACTCAGGGAGGGGAAAGCATGGGTCAAGAGAAGGGATGTCAGATTGAGCCTGGAGAACTCCAACCTTCCAGGCACCTGCTGAGGAAAGAAATGCCTCAAGAGTGGCCAAAGCTGGGGGGTGGGGGGCAGCTAGAGAGAAAGGAATGTTGTCACCTATGGCGACAATGAATGTCTGGCAACAGGCTGTTGGTGACCCAGCTTCTGGCCTAGGGTATGGCGCACATGTCACTTACTGCTGGAGATGGCTGGCTCCCAAGCAGAGGGAGGAGAAGTGGGAGGACTTTCTGCTCAGGAGGTGGTGACTTGGTTGAAATGCCCCACCTGAGCCTTAACGCCCTCTCCAGGCCAGAGTCACCGCAGGTTTTCATGTTTGACACCAGCCCACCGTGTATAGCAGCACCTGGCACATGCCAGATACACAGCCAGCCGATGTTCCCACGGCCTGGAGCTGACAGCCGGCTGGAGTCCTCAGGAGCCTGTCCCACTCCCCTGCATTTGTCTTAGTAACAGAGGCACCTGCACCGGTTGGGTCGGCAGTCTAGTCCACTGGGCCCCAAACTAGATAACACTTGCCCCTCAGGACCTGGGCGGGCAGCAATGACTGCACTAATTAACTGGGGGCCACCAACCTTGCTCCTGTGTCCCCTGCCCCTTCCGATCCCACTGTCCTCCGAGACAATGGAGCCCCGTGAGGAACCCTTAGTGTTTGTGTCCCCCCAGCTTGGTTTCCTCCAGCAGCCCTAGAGTTCAGACCCACTGTTTGCACAGTGCTTCTGCAGGAACCTGAGACGGTGGTCCCACCCTGGGGGGAAGGAAGGAAGGAACGGCTGGCATCCCTGTTGCTGAGGTCGGAAGTGCAATCCCACCCCCCCACCCCCCCACCCCCCCACCCCCCGTGATCTTCTCTCGCCAGCTGATTTTGAAGAGAGAGCTGTGGATCTTCTCCACACAGAAATGTGTTAAATTGCTGTGGGATTTTTTTTTTCCTTTGTTTGAAAACATCTCAACAAGTTATGTTAGGTACAAAAAGTAGAACCAAAATGAGTTCTTAGAGCTACCTCAAATCTTCCGTGACTCCTGGTGTTTCCTCTGCCTCCCCATCTGGGCAGCCTCTTCCCCAACTCCTATCCCTGTTTGTTGGGGTGAGCGCACTTAGCGTGCCATCTACTCCGCAGACCTTTAGCTGCCATTCAGCGGTCCTTATCTAAAGGTGCCATCCTGTTCTGGTTACCGGACAGCTGACTGGCATGCAGAGGGGTCATTTTTCTGAGCAGATTTTAAAATTAATTTTATTTACGTAAACTGAAATAAATTTTAAAAAAGAGGTTTCTGTTTTCAAGATATCTAGAAGGTTTGGAGTGCTTTGTTTTTTATAATTATGTGTGGGTAGGTGTGTCAGCTGTGGGTATGTGTGCATGAATACAGGTACCCAAGGAGGCCAGAGGCATTCAGTCCCCTGGAACTGGAGCTAGAGACAGTTGGGGGCTAATCGATATGGGATCTGGGAACCTAAATTGGATCTTCCAGGAGAGCAGTTAAGTGTTTAACTGCTGAGCCATTTGGCCAGTCCCCTGAAGCAGCAATTTCTAATGAGAACTCACTTAAAAAAAGGGGGGGCAGTGAGATGATTCAACAGGTAAAACACCTGCTTCACAGGCTTGACAACCTGAATTTGACTCCCAGAACCCACAGAAAGTTGGGAGAAGAAAGCACCTCCATAGGGTTCTACTCGGACTGCCACACACACTAATACTAATACATTAAAATTTTTAATAAATAAGCTATTTTTTCAGATCTGCTGAGGGAAAAAAAAATGTTCCCTGTGCGTGTCAGTCACCTGTCAAGTAACCAGGACAGGGCAGTACTTCCCGGACGCTGATGTTAGCAGCAGCCCTGGCTTGCTGTGCCTCCATTTCTTGCTGCACGTCTTCACTGTTACAGGCTCACTGTGGGTGCAGGAGGCTGGCTGGGGTCCCTTGGCCCTCTTGATGAGGTGACAAAGCAAAGGGTGCGGAGGATGACAGGAGGCTGTTACAATGTTTCTGTGTGTCACTGCTGTCTGGAGTTCTGGAGACAGCAGAAGGCTTTGATGTTTATTACCCTGGTTGGTCCTCACAGCAACTGGATGAGGTGGGAAAGGCTGGCACTCTGTGAAGGTTAAGTCTTGGGCCCTTGGCATCACATTGACCAGAGTCCAAATTCCAAACCCTCCGCTCTTGGCGCCAGTGCAGTGACCCAGTTCATGTCAGCTCTCCCTTTGGCTGGTGCTTCAGGTTCCAGCTCCAGCACTCGAGATAACATCAGTTCCAGGATGGAGCAGGCCACTTTGTCTTCATTTCTTCCTCAAGATTCACTGAGTGCCAGGTGTTTGCCAGAACACGTTCTGAGGAGGAATCCAAATAGGGTCTGTTCTAACCTCATTGGGTTGTAGGAGAAGATAAATCATGGATAAGCGAATAAATCAAATGGCGCCGTGGACTAATACGACTGTAGTATTAAACAGGGCCGTCTGATAGTAGTTTGGTATTCAGGAGTTAGACCCATTGCTAGGTGGTCAGGATCAGTCTCTTGGGACATACATTCAAGCTGAACCCAGAGGATGGAAAAAGCCAGGTTCCAGGTAGAAGACAACAGGAAGAAAGATCTACGTGTCCAAACTCGTGGTGCGGGGCAGGGAATTGCAGGCACAGAGCTAGAGAGCAGGCCGAGTGCCATAGAGACCTTACTGCCCCATATGAAGCTGTCACTGTGTTACCACTGCTTCTGGGTGAGTGATGGTTCCTCAATGATGGTACCTCTGCCTTAGCAACCTTCATCCGTTCAGAGACAGCTTGTTGGCAGACTTGGCAGCCAGGGGGCTATGTACCCAGATCCCAGCCTCAACATCAGCATCAGCCTCCACTACATGGCAGCCAGGGGACTATGTACCCAGATCCCAGCCTCAGCATCAGCATCAGCCTCGGCCTAAGCAGCAGCAGTGGGAGCAACCTCTCTGTTAGTTTTATTATCATTATCAGCAGCAGCAGGAAGATTGGCCTCCCTGAGCCACAGACCCTCCAAAGGTGGCTTCTTGAGTGGTGGTGTCATGTGCAGAGCATAAAGCTACCGATAAAGAGCCTCCTTCCCGCACCCTGGCAGAAGCCAGCACTGAAGGTCATCCTCTCTACTCACCAGCCTCCTACTCTTTCAGGTGGTGCTGATAAATGCCATCAAAGACGTGGCCAAGGCTCTTTCTGATCTCATTGGTGCTACCAAGGGAGCTGCTAGCAAGCCAGCTGATGACCCCTCCATGTACCAGCTCAAAGGAGCTGCCAAGGTAGGGTGGGACTCCAGCGGGGGCTGACCATGATGGGATGGTGATATGCCAGACTGCTGGAAAGAAAAACATTTGATCCTCTTCCTCGTATGAAGGAAGGAAATTATCTTCCACACCATTTACATAGAAGGTTCAGATGCTACCCCTCAGACAGCATACCCTATGTTTTTCTCCTCCCATGCAGGTGATGGTGACCAATGTCACCTCTCTCCTTAAGACTGTGAAGGCGGTGGAAGATGAAGCCACCCGGGGCACAAGGGCACTTGAGGCCACCATCGAGTACATAAAGCAAGAACTCACAGTGAGTACCCAGCAGCCATCACCCTCAGCTAGCTGTCACCGTCCAGCATATGACTAACACATGAGCTTCTCTGCGATTTTTAATTTAAAGAGCTTTTACCTGGAACTCCTAGACTGGGGAGGCTTACGCATCTGTCTCCTGGTGGCATTTGTAGCTGCTTACCTGCATGTCAGTGAGTGTGGCTGGGATCTATTGGGACTCTTTGCGAGACAAGGTTTCATGGAGCCTAGGAAGACCTCAAACTTTTACATCTTGAAAGGTAAACTTGAATTTCTGATCCTCCTGCCTTTACCTCCCAAATGCTGGGATTACAGGTGTATGCCACCGTGCCTGGTTTTACAGAGGTGCTGAGGACTGAATTCGGGGCTCAATGAACGCTAGGCAAACACTGTGCCAACCGATCTATATCCCTAGCCAGGTTGTAGCCCTACATCCCTAGGGTTGATATGTATCACTTAGGACAGTCCGGACTTTATTCCACCCAAATTACAACATGACACTGGAGCATTGCAGAAGAGAAAAGTCAGAATGGCAGTTTACACTAGCCTTGTGTTTAGATTATGGGGATTACACGCATCCTTTCTTGTCACATTGCTGTTGGCCACATGTGGAATGACAGTTTGAGGTTCACTGTTAGGGGAGAGGCGCAGATGCCTTTAGGTAAGACTCTTCTTCAGCATCCGGCTCATTTCTGTTTGAGATGTCTCTCCTTAAAGACATTAGCTCTGTTTACTCTTCCCTCATTCTAACCCTGGAGAGTTACAGGCACCAGGAATTGCAACAGTAGAGATGTTCTCTGTTTTCTCTGTGCTCAGCACAGTTGCACACCCCTCATCCTAACACCCACAAATAGAAACAGACAGGAAATGAGTGGTTTTGCCCCAAGATTTCTTTGTAATAGGTATAATCACAGATGTAGCTTTTTTAGGGGATATGTAGGCACTTGGGGATTCTGCCTCTGCTGCAGGTGCTCTGCCTCTCAGGATCACCTGTGAAGGCAGCGTGAGGAGCAGCGCTAGAAATGAGCAACTCTGCTGGTGCTGGGATGACTCTTGGCTTCTTTTGTCCTACCTTGAATGGAGCCAGCTTAGGAGATACTGTGAGGTTATAGTTTTAAAGGAGAAGCTAAAAAATATGTAAGTAAATCAAAAGCAGGTGATTCCTTAAGACATACTATATGGGTTGTAAGTGGAGACTGCTTGTTCATTTCCCGGCTGCCCAGATCTGAATAATCACACAGAAACTATATTAATTACAACACTGCTTGGCCAATAGCTTAGGTATATTCCTAGCTAGCTCTTACATCTTAAATTAACCCATTTTCATTAATGTCTGTATTACCACAGCGCTGTGATTTTCTGATAAGATTCCAGCATCTGTCTCCTTTGGCAGGTACATGGCGTTTGCCTTAACTCTGCCTACTCTCTCTCCATATATATATCTTCCAGCCTGGCTGTATTCTGCCCTGCCATAGGCCAAAGCAGCTTCTTTATTAACCAATGGTAATAAAACATATTCACAGCCTACAGAGGAAATCCTACATCATCTCCCCTTTTCTGTCTAAATAAAAAGGAAGATTTTTAACTTTAACATAGTAAAATTACATATACAAAACAGTTATCAAGCAAGAATTATAGTATAATATTTAGTCCATTTACCCCTGGCAAATTAAGAAAAATACTCTTATCATCTATCTTTGTGTCTAAAGTTTTATATCTAATTTATCCTTTATCATAACTAATGAAAACTATAACTATCTGTCTTTAATTCCATCAAAGATGCCAGGATATATTACCTAAGTAAACAGGAAGTACATTGTAAGCAACTTCCAAAACTCTAGAATTGACAGAGACAGCTCACTGACTGAACAGTCACCCAAAGTTCTTCTGTAACGTTGGGTACCCATCTTCAGCCTACAAACCCATAGTACCTTGTAGACTTTTCCATGGAGCAGGAAATTTCAAAGACTGTTCCACCTATATTGGCAGTTTGTCAGTCACATTCTTCTGTGTCCTTCAGAATGTCTGGCAGACTCTTTCATGAAGAAGTAATCTCACTTTCTTTTGACAAGCTCAGCAGTCATTTTTCTGTGGGTCCTGCATGTCCAGTATATACTGCCAGTATACTGTGTCCAGCTTACTGCCAAGCAGTTCAGGCAAGGGAAGTTTCTTGCCCAAATCGCTAGCCTTGTCACATTGAAGGCAAATTTCATAACGAGTTTCTTCAATGCCCAACATCTCTTAAGTAATTGGTGCTTCCAGAAGCAGATATGTCTCACTGTCAAGAAAAGTCTAAGTTCTTAAAACATTTTAAATGCTGTATTCTGTAGGTTTTTGAAAGGTTTGAAGAATATCTATACATCTGAAATGTAGCTCTGTACATCTAGAAAACCTAACTAACATGACTACAAGTTTGACTATTATAAATGACTGCCTGTTAATCTATAATTTTTAATTATACATTACATTTTTAAATGAGCTGCACAAACACAATGCCTTAACCAAGAGCAGAAATACATATGCACAGTGTAACAAAATCGACCTTAAATCTGTATCAATAGACCAAAATCGATATCTATGCAAATTATTAATCTCTATATCATATCCCCATTTAAATGAAAACAAACATTTATAAACAATCATCTTGGGAATTGGGCAGAGTTTTCTCCAAACTGCTTTCTGCTGTTTGTTGGGTGAAGTATTTTTAGGGTTTATGGAGACCTTTTGAGGATGGGGGTCTTTTTCCATCAAACCAAATTACTCTGGAGAAATCCACGGGTTCTCATCCTCAGTAGAAACAAAAGGAGAACCTCTTTTTCAAAGTAACATATCCTTAGACTTAAATTTTGAAGTCAAGATACCTTTAAGATATATATGTTGGTTTAACTTAACAGCCCCCACTATCAAGTGTCTTTCTGTAGTTAACTCATTAACAGTCAAAAAATTTAAAGAAACCACAATAGTATACATAATCTAAACTGTCTGTGTATTTTCCATCTTTACATGACTTTTTTCTATTACTTTTTAATGTTTATTATCTTTATTCCTTTTATCTATGTCTGTTTGTACTCTTTTATATTACTTTTACTGTCTCTTGAAAAACTTTGTTTTATTTTTAAAAACCATTTACTTCTTTTTGTAACTGTCTGTACTCTTTTTCCTTTGTCTCTCAAGCCTACGTACATTTTTTAAAGCATACTATCTCTCACTTAGAGGTCTGTTATGTCTGAATCTGTCCTATTGTGTGTCGGAAATCCTTTTCTGACAAAGATCATTTTAAAATGGTAAGCAGTGTGGTCACGGTGGCCCTGGATGCTGACTCCACCTTTCAGGCTTTTAACATGGCAGAGGTAGTCCACTGCCAGCTCTGGACCTGCCAGGTGGGAACCATGCTCACCACCTCAACTCTGGGAAGAGGTGGCCCATGCTACCACCAAGTAACTTGCGCCATGCTCCAAAAGAACCATAGCCATTCATGCTACCAGCATGAACCAGGAAGCTGTCTCTTAAAGGAGTCCCAGTTTTTGCTGCTAATTCTGAGTCAGGAAGCCTTCTCTTAAAGGAGCCACATCTCTACTCACCACCAGCAAACAGAGCCTATCTGAAAATATGCAGCTACCAAGAAGCTGCACTTGCCTCCCGTTTTTGTGGGTCTAGAAGCCCTCTTTTTTTTCTTAAGCTTTTTCTTAGGTCTTATATGGATCCATGCCCCAGACGGTGGGCACCATTTTGTAAAGGAAGACTGCTCATTCCTTTCCCAACTGCCCAGACCCAAATAATCACATAGAAACTATATCGTTTGGCCAATAGCTTAGGCGTATTCCTAGCTAGCCCTTACATCTTAAATTACCACATTTCGATTAATCTGTGTATCACCACAAGACTGTAGCCTACCAGTAAGGTTCCAGCATCTGTCTCCTTTGGCAGCTACATGGCATCTGCCTTGATTGACTCTACCTAGTCTCTCTATATTTATCTCTTCCAGCCTGACTATATTCTGCCCTGCCATAGGCCAAAGCAGCTTCCTTATTAACCAGTGGTAATAAAACATGTTCACAGCATACAGAGGGGAATCCTACATCATCTAGGTACCTTAGAATGGCTGCACAGGATGGCCGTGTTCCTGCCTGAGAACTGGATACAGGTTCAGACAGCTGTAGGTACCCATGGTGGGCAGTGGAAGGGAAGCTACAGAAAATAGACTATCCTGGGACATTACAGATGCTTGGTCATTGTGAGTGTATGAAAGTGGCTTAGAATTCATCCACATTTTCTCAGTTGGAAGGATGGGGAGACAACTCAACAGTTAAAACACCCAGATACAAGCATGAAGACAGTAGTTTGGCTCCATAGAAACCCACATAAATACTGTGGCCCATCTGCAATTCCGGTCTGGAAAGATGGGACAGGGAATCCCCAGAGCAAGCAAACCAGCAAAACTAACCATATCAGTGAGCTCTGGGTTTGACTGAGGGACCCTGCCTCAATTAATAAAGTGGAAGAATGGATGATGTTGATTCCTGACATTAACCTCAGGCCTACACATACACGTGCACATATGTGCCCATACACAGGCAAAACATGCATACACACAACATGCACACTGCCCCCACACACGTGAAAAATGGAAACAAACAAATGAAGGTGAATTAATTCACCCAGAGTGTTCTCCACAGAGCCTCTGCCGTGAAGACCACAGTAGTTGAGAGAACTCTATGTGTAACCACCATCCCACTGCGGTACCTGGGTCTGGACACGGACTGGCTGTCCTGAGTTATTTAATTGTCATTGCCGTTTCTAAGGAGCAGTGATGTTTGGCTGGTTGTCACATAGCAAGAATGTTGTATGGGTTCCCTGTCTTACTCAGGTCTGAAAACAAGCAGCCCCTCTCCCACAGGGACAGATGCTCATGCAGCACACAGTCACAGGGCTAATCATTCATAGTAAAGACAAAGGACCAGGTGTGTGTGAAGCCGAAGCAGCTTGCCTTGGCTAACATGAATTCACTGCAACTTTTTAAAGTGTGTATATAAATTGGAGTCACTGACTTGAACACCTGCATAGCCCTGCAGCTATCTTTGTGAAACAGAGTTATAGGATAATATGTTTCACTCCATAAACTCGTACCTGTGCAAGGTGGGCAGGAGATCATCCAAAGTGATGTCTTCAGGTTAATCCTGCCCTAGAGCCCACACTGGGGTTGAGGAAGACAGTATGTAAATACGGGGTAGTGATGTTTGCAAATGGATGAGTTTGCCCTTTAGAAACCTCCTGTTCTCCATATTCTTTCCACGAATGTCAAATGTCCGTGTGTGACCCACTCTACTGTCCTTAATTAGGTTTCTAATTTCCTGTCATGTGACAGTCTCTTCCAATTGTTAGCTTGGTTCCCAGACACTAATTGCACCAGGTGGAAAGGAGTAAGTTATGTTTGTCCTTTCTGTTTTGACTTTTGGGTTTTGTTTTTGTTTTTGTTTTTTTTTTTTTTGCCTCTTCTGTTTCTGACTTCAAGGTGTTCCAGTCAAAAGACATACCTGAGAAGACATCATCACCCGAAGAATCAATCAGAATGACGAAAGGCATCACTATGGCAACAGCCAAAGCCGTGGCAGCTGGGAATTCATGTAGACAGGAAGACGTGATCGCAACCGCCAATCTGAGCAGGAAGGCTGTCTCAGATATGTTGACAGCTTGCAAGGTAAGGACCTGGGCATTGTTGTGGATGGATGATGGATAGTTTCCTGTTGAAAATGACTCATTCAGTGTCCTGGTGAAGGAGGTGAGCTGGAGTATGAGCAGGGAGCAGCTGCACACCTTAAACTTTGTGGTAGACCAGCATGCAGAGAGTACAGTTTACACCTGGCAGGGTTAGCTCCCACCTTACCTGTAATCCGAGTGCGAGGAGGAGGAGGAGGCTGGAGGATTATTGCGAGTCAGAAGCCAACCTAGGCTACATAACAAGACCCTGCCTCAAGAAAACAAACAAGCAAACATTAGGGCCTGGAGAGATGATGGCTCAGAGGTTAACAGTACTTGCTGCTCTTCCAGAGGACCCGGTTTCCATCCTAGTACCCATATGGCAGCTCCAAGATCAGCTGCCCTCTCTGGGCCCCAAAGGCACTGCATACATGTGGTACACAGACATACCTGCAGGCAAATCACCCACCCATACACACTACCAAAACCAATAGTAATAAGATGATGGCAATGATGCTGACAGTTCCTTTGGAGGCAGCTGCATTCCTCACCTCCCTCCAGAAAAAGGGCATCATGCAATCAGACAAATACAGAAAACCAACCTGCTAAATGGTGGGTCCAGAAAAACGTCTCTAGTGGCGGGGGTGGAGTGGGGCTCAAGGAATAAAGTGCTTGCTTGCAACCATGGAAACCTGAGTTTTATCACCAGAACCCACGTAAGCAGATTCTAAACCACCAATAGCAACATGCAAACTGGCATGATTTATTTACTTATTTGTTTTTGACTTTCTTTTTATTTATTCTTTGTGTCTTTCATACCATGCCTCTCAATCCCACTCATTCCTCATCCCTTCGTACCTGCCCTACGCCCTTGTACCCTCCCCTCCAAAATAAAATAGAATAAAATTTAAGAGAAAATTTTTAAAAAGAAACAAAAATCTCATCACAGAAAAAATAGCATGACACATTGAGTTCCACAGTATATCCAGAATGTCCTTCTGTTCATACAGTTACACTTGCAAGTCTTCCTTCAGAGTTACTGGTCTGGGGCGAGCCCTCTGGTTTCTGCTACACCATCAATACTGGGTCCTTGCTGGGGCTCCTTTTGAATTTCCTGTTGTTGCCCTGTGAACTGACATGGCTTATAAATCTAATCATATATATTAGTTATTAATTGTTAAAGAGAAGCCCATCACACTTGATTCCTATTGTAATTTTAAAGTCCCTTTTGCCTCAGTATTTGTGAGATTGCGTGGAGCAGATGCTGGTATGGGTGCCAGCCAGCGGTGTGCTGCCTGAGCTCCTCGGGATATCGCCCGCATGGTGCCCAGACTATCGGGGAGCACAGGAAATGGGCCGAGATCACGGAACCAACGACTGACAGTGCAGCTGCGAGGTTTCTTGAGCAGTTGAGGCAGCTTCAGTGGGCATTCAGCCCAATCATGGTGGTAGAGAAAGGGACTCCAGCAACAAAGACAAGGTTCCAAAGTGACTTGTGTGTAGCGTGATGCGGCGGTGTACGTGTCTGTGCCTCCAGACACAGAATCTGTACCCAAGAGGAAGTAATAGCTGAGATAAGGTGATTGGATGAGTGTTTAAGATGCCTAGAGCATTAAAGTCATGAGTTAAGCCAGGCGACTGCTTGTAATCCCAGCGCCAGGAAGGCAGAGACAGGTCGATCCTTGGGGTTCTCAGGCTAAAATGGGCCTACGCATGTTGGCACACACCTTTAATCCTAGCAATCAGGATCAGAGGCAGGTGGATGGCGGATAGCATCCGAAGAATGACACCCGAGGTTGCCCTTTGACCTCCACACACACGATATTTTTTATTAATTATTTTTCTGTATATTGATGTGTTTGCTTGAATGTATGTCTGTGTACTGCATATCTGTCTGGTGCCCACTGAGCCCAGGTGAGGGTGTTCATTCTAGGAGTTAAACAGTTGTGAGCTGCCATGTGGATACTGGGAATTGAACCCCTGTCCTCTGGAAGAGCAGCCAGTGCTCTTAACTGTTAAGCCATCTCTCCAGCTCCAACACACAGGATTTTTTTTTTCTAAGCAAAAAATTTTGAAGTCACACCAGTGAACCTAGTTGCTCTGTTGGAGCATGACTTCTGGGCCTGAGTGGAAGCCAGGCGAATGTGAGGTGAGGCGTGTCCCACACTGCCTGGCCTTAACAGATGCCAGGATTGACCAGTCCCTGGGTGTCTTCACCTGGGTGAGTTTCTGTGTGGTCTGCTTTCGTGTGCCTATATTTTTGTTAGATTTCTTTATTTCTGGTTATTGTTGGCACGAGGTGGCCATTCCTGTGTTGCTCTGGTCTTTCTGACTGTTTGAATAATGACTTCTATCAGCCAGTACTGCCTTCCCCTTTGGTCAGATAGGTTGCCTACAGTGTTTATTGCTGTAAGCTTTATTGTTTTATTTTTGAGATTGGGTCTCATATATCCCAGGTTGGTCACTATGTAGCTAAAGATGACCTTGAACTTACAACCTTCCTGCCTCTCCTTAGCTCTTTGCTTCCAGGCATACCCCACCACAGCTGGTTTATGGGGCACTAGCTCATGCGTGTCAGGCAGGCCCACTGCCAACTCACCTACGATTTCGCTATAAGAAACATCTTTGTGTTTATTTGATTTATCTGAGCTTTGGATTATTTGCTCAGGAAGACTCCCAGAAGTGGTATTAGGGGATCAAATTGTATAACCTTTTCATTATTGCCAGATTGTTCTCCCAAAGGTTCTGCCAAGTTACAGAGCCACCACAGTTAGCAAGAATGTTCTTCCCCCAACCCTTCTTGGCAACCTGGTCACCTGCTCTGGCGAAGCCACTGCATTGTAGCACCATGACCCCGTGTCACATGACCCACAGTAGTGCACAGCTCTGTATTTCACATTTAGAGGCTCAGGGAAACATGGAGATAATGAAATAGGGCATTTTAAGAGCACGGCTGTGGACACGGCCGTGGGCACCCTCCTTACCCACATCCCCACCCACCACCCCTGGTTTCTGCCTCTGAGGTTCGTTAGTCCTCAGTCAGTCTAACTTGTCTCCTCAATGGCAGCTGCTTGCCATGTTCCCTAGGGAAGGGTACACAGGTCTTGCCACCCACACTGCTCATCTCTGAAAGGAGATGAACTGTAAAACCAAAACTAGTCAGCCCCCCTTACGTCTTGACTTTTTCCTAAGGACCCATGAGTGGTACCCAAACACTCTGCCACCAAGTTTTAGCCACAGTCCTCTTTTTACTTGATTTTGAATCAGAAGCTCACTCATTTGCCCAAACTGTAGCCTTGGACTCACTCCATAGCCCAGGCAGGTCTTAAACTTGGGGTCCTCAGCTTCCCGCTGAGATGACAGGCCTGCCATAGAGAGACTGGCTCTGTCATGGGTCGTGCCTTTGTGGTGCCTGCTGGTTTATTGGGAGTGTTGTTTTATGCCTTTCTGTAGCCTCCCAAGTGCTTTCCAGAGTGGAAACTGTGCAAGAAGAATTAAGGGGCTAGGGTTTCCTTATGTAGCAAATAAAAGATGATGTCCCATACCTGCGCTTTTCCATGCTCTCCAGGGTGCATTTTCTCCCGCAGCCCTGCAAGTCAGAACGCTACCTGAGACGATTTGTCATGGATAACTGGAGGTGGCAGGTCACGGTACAAGGAAAAGCCTGAGAGGCTGTTACCCAGGGCTCTGGCTTGCTTATCTCTGCATTTGTATAATGTGAGACGCGTTCTTTACAGAGCCTGGGGGTAGCAGGGAGCTGCGAACTGAAGGAACCTAAGGGCTCTGGTCACAGAGAGTGCCCTGTGACTGTAACTTGGGAGGCTCAGTGGGAACATGGGCTTCATTAGTCTGGGGACATAGAGATGCCATAATAGTGCCCCTGCTGGAAACAGTAGCTGTGAATCTTCCTGGATGCTTTAGTGCATGGAGAAGGGGGTGAGAAAGGACAGAAGGTCCCAGACTCCAGTGTTTCTGTCATGTGTCCCCAGGAAGCCAGCCTACAGACTGTCAAAGGACCTGCTGCAGAGGCATGAGGATGGAGGGAGAGATTCCTTTCCCACCTAGAGAATGGGGGGTGAAGGTCTTCTGCCTCAGAGACCAGGGTGGCCAGCTCTGCTGCGCTGGGAACTCACAAGCAGCTCTTCTTGGTTTAAGATGCCAACATTATCTTCCCTCCTCCCCGCTCCCTCTCTCAATCTGTCTCCAGCAAGCATCCTTCTACCCTGATGTCAGCGAAGAGGTACGAACCAGAGCCTTGCGGTACGGCACTGAATGCACTCTGGGCTACTTGGACCTTCTGGAACACGTCTTGGTGGTAAGGATGGGTGTGGGCAGGGTGGGGCAAAACTATATGTCTTTGTGACTGACATAGGTGAAGACCCTCCTTCCCTCAGGCACACCCCCTTTCCAGCATCCTACTAGCATCTCTCATGAGGTTAGGACTATGCTGAGCAGACCATCTGATCCAGCACACTAGACAGAAAGTGCAGCCTTCAGGAAGACTTGGTGGGGGTCCAAAAGATCTGATTTCACTCTGGCACCAAAGAGCCAGCAGAGCAAACACGCCTGGGGTAGGGTGGGGAGAAAAAAGGAAGAGGCAATGTCAAAGGAGAATTGATAAGTTTAAGGTCAGAGACAATCTTGAAAAGAATTGAAAGGTCTCTGAGGCTGGGGAAGTAGCTCAGTTAAAGAGTTTACCATGCAAACATGCGGGGCCTGAATTTGATTCCCAGCACCCAGGTAAAAAAAAGAATTGAGTGAGGTAACACACACTTGTAATCCCAGTGCTAGGAGTGGAGGTGTGGTAAAGATAGAAGGATCCCAGAGTCTAACCAAACCAGCAAGCTCCACATTGAGTCAGAGACCCCATCTCAGTAAACAAGGGGGAGCTGTTGAGAGAGATGCCCAACATTGACCTCTAGCCTTACACACACACGTACATGCACCTACACAAACACGTGCTCATGCACACACACCGACACATGCACACATATCATATTGGGAGGTCTTATTACAGAGACCCAAGTGCATTCTAAAAATATAGAAAACAACAGCTTCCATGACCAGCTAAAGAGAACTATTGCAAGTGGCCTGCTAGCCTCTGGTGGCTTCCTGCTATCCTTGAGTGAATGGCGTGGGTCATATCAAGAGTGCCTGACCTGCTGTATCCACTGTGGAACTAGGATTAGAAGACAAAGACAGAAGATTCTGGGCAGCAGATATTGTGGTCATGGTTGGTACCCTGTTTTTTAGCCTTGTTTAGAACCTTGTATGGACTGGAACAGAGCCCAAGAGAGTTTGTCCAGGAACCAGGGATAACACAAGAAATTGGATGACATGTCCCCTCCCATGTCTGCTCCACTCTCCCCAAACCTAAAAATAAAAACAAGTCCCAGGCCACCTCAAGTACACAATTCTTGTCTCTGGAAGACAAGCGTTGGATTTCCTTGTTTTTATTTGTACAGCCACATGAACTGTGGCTGAAGAGATGAATGACCAGAAACCCACAAAAGTCTTTCCCCTGGTTAAGGTCACTCCACAGTTCAGAAACAGATGTGGGAACAAGTCCCCAGCTCTGTTCTGGTTCTAGCGGTCACTGCCTTCTTCTTAAATTATCTTCTGAGGAGTCATTATGTTCATCCAGAGAACTTCAGTCACTGATAAAGTATTATGATATTACTGGTTTTGTTTGGAAAAAGTAGTCCGGACAGTGGTAGCACATGTTCTTAATCCCAGCACTGAGGAGGCAAAGGCAGGCAGATCTCTGAGTGGAGGCCAGCCTGGTCTACAGAGTGAGTTGTAGGACAGCCAGAGCTACTTAGAGAATCCCTATCTCAGGATGGTGGGGTTATGAACCTTGGGCTTCCAAAGTCTGAACTCCAATGAGTGGAAGCTACTGTAAACTACATGAGCCAAAGAAAACACACCTTAAGCAGAGGAAGGAGCCTCTGTAACCAAACTAGATGTGCCCGAATCCATTGAGAAGACTGATCCATGAGTATATGACACGCAGGGCCAAAGGCATACAGCCAGAAAGCCTCCTGGGGCATCTTTGTCCTCACGAGACTATGTACCATCTTCCATTATCTTTGGGGTATATGTTCTGTACCCTGCCTATTATTGTACCAAACTCTCGATTGTCTGCTCTTGCCTATGCATATTAGATATGATAGTTTAATTTTAAGTCAGAAACAGTAGGAAATCACTAGCAATCACTGGTAGAAAAATGAACACTTATAGCAGTATACTATAGTAAAAGATATGTGAAGGGCCATCAGATGGCTCGGTGGGGGAAGGGGCCTGCTACACACTCCTGGAGACGTGAGTTTGATGTAACCCGTGTGAAGGTGGAGTGTGAGAACTGACTCCACAAAGGTATTCTCTGAGGACACCCACACTAGAGGAAAATTTAAGATAACCACTCATGGTGGCACATGCCTTTACTCCCAGCGCTTCGGCAGAAGCATATGGAGTTCTGTGATTCTGAGGTTAGCCCACTCTACATAGAGAATCCCAGGCCAGCCAGAGCTACATAATGAGACCCTGTCTCAAACAACAACAACAAAAAAGATATATCAAGCTCAAAGTGTCAACACTCAGGAGACTGAGGCAGGAGGAGGGTTGTTAGTTTGAGACCAGTCAGAACAAAATCGCAAGATTCTGTCTTTAAAAGGGGTGTAGGGACTAAAAAGATGGTTTAGTGGAAAAATACTTGCTGGACAAGCATAAGAACCTCAGTTTTGATCCCTATCACCCATGTTAAAGAAAAAAGCTAACATATCACATTCCTGTAATCCGAACATTGGGGAGGCAGTGAAGGGTCCCTGAAGCTCCTTGGCCAGCCCGTCTAGCCAAATTGGTAAAAGCCCACAGGGAAAGACCCTGTCTCGATGAGATGGAGAGTGACAGACAGACAGCCACATATTACATTTATAGGCACACACACAGTCACGTGTACGCACATGCGTGCACAGACAGACAGACAGACACACACACCCCTCCTCCTGAGGGGAGATAAGGCGTCCAGAGTCCCTGAAAACATTAAAGAAGGTCCACGAAGCTCCCTAGGCTACACATCCTGGTACCCCACTTTAGGGCTGTCTAGGTGCTGTGTCTGCTTCCAACCATAAGGATGATGAGCAGGAGGGAAGTTGCCGGTCATAGGGGATGATGCCATGTGTCAAGGAGGAAGCTTCATCTGGCGAGGGCCTGTATGGGCAGGAGGCTGGATGAGAAGGGGGAGCCACTGTTTTCTGTTCTATGACCCCAACAAAAACCATCAGGGAGCATTCCCTGTGGCCACTCATATTGTGCACTGTTAGTGTTTCAACACAGATTCTTTTTTTTTTTCAAAATTAACCATGGAATTTATTAAACACATCACAGAAACGTGCAACCAAGTCTTTAAAATGTCTTTTTTGGGTATTAAAAATAAAACTAGCAATTTCAATATTTTAGATAATATGAAAAGTTAACCTCAAAACACAAACTCACACCACCTTTTATAACTGGCTTTTCTTGTACATATAATATTCTTATTTTTAAAACCTCTACTTTGTAACATATTATTACATCATAAAGATCCCTAATAGCTAACATCACTCTTTTAGGTCAGAACACATGGTTAATGTTATCAATACTAACATATGTTATTCCCAATACTCACATATTGATGATTAAAGCTTGAGTAGTGGCTTTTTGTTAGCAACATGACAATTCAGTTTCATTTCTGGAGCATAAGGAATGCCCAAATATATTTTCATAACCATCTGGCTATGAAACAGAGCAGTTCTGATAAAGGTACCTAAGGCATAGTCCCGTCATTGTTAGTGAATAAGCTGACACCTAATTCTGTCAGCCCAGTGACCAAGAGCAGGTCTACTAACAGCCAATGCTCTGCTTTCCATACAATAGTAGAAAGACTTTTCACTTGTCATAATGACACACAACCATCTGATAATATGCCCTTCAAAATGTTAAAAGAATGGTGGCTTTAACACATGAAATTCGTTATATTGTATTTAACACCTGCCCATCCTCTTTGAAAGAAAAAAATAAAATTCATAAACAACAACAAAAATTCAGGGTCAACACAGATTCTTCTTTCCCGTGGAGTGGAGGCTCAGTCTTCCATGTTGCAGACCTATCTCGATGGTTGATGTAGCTGTCATGGTGTGCCAGGACACCAGGTGGCCTCAGCATCCATAATTATGGGAGACATAGGAACATGCTGTTTCTCCGAGCCTCCTCGGGGAACCCGCCAGGGCCAGAGTGAGACCATTAGCAGAAGAACCAGCTCAGTGGCCTAAAGCTAGTGTTATAAAACGAGAAGAACTCAGCCCATCTAGTGTGATAAGAACTTCTGTGTCTGGGGCTGGAGAGATGATTAAGAGTGCTCGCTGTTCTCGCAGAGGACAGGAGTTGGATTCCATTGCTGGACCCAAAACTGTCCACACTCCAGCCTCAGAGGATCTAATGGCCTCTTCTTCTCTGGCAGGCACCCACATGCATATCATACATATTAACACAGAGACCCAAACACAAAAATATAAATAAATAAGAGTTTTTGTATACCTTAACGGTATATATGCACACACACACACACACACACACACCATCAAAGAAACACAAACACAGAATGTCTCTCAAACTGTTTATAAGGAGATACCAAATTGAGAGCCCCTGCCTAGAACCCCACTTCTGCCTTTTTCTAATGCTCTATTTAACTCTCAGCATACATAGGCTCTGGTTTAGGCAGAGCCATCGTGGCTGCTCTAGGAAGCTCCTCGGTGCCCATGGAGTGCATCGGCCTTCTGCATTTGCTGTGCACTGCTTCATGCTGGAGCATCTGCTCTACAGGGCAGGGTGCAGGCACCAGCCTCCCAGTGCCATGCCGTTGTAGCCCAAGATCTCGGACAGGGTTAACCTTCACTTCCCTGGCAGAACTTTACTCAGGGTCTCTCTGTGTCCTGATATCAGAAATTGTGTTGACTTAATCACAGAATTAAAAATAGAGCAACTCTCCCCCTGGCTGTCTAGAGCTGAGACCCCTTAACTCGGCAGTGCACTCTGCCTTAAAGGGCCATCTGTTCCTGGAAGTGGCGCTCTCTGTCTACCTGGGGGGCTCTTCTCTCAGCTGTAGACGTCTTCAGTCATTGCAGTTTGATGATTCAAGTGTTTCAAGTTCCCACACCTGTAACTCCCCTCAGCTTTAGTGAGGCACAAGACAGAAGGCAGTAGCACAGATTTCTGGGCCTAGGAAAGCAGGACCACAACTAAAGGAATAAATGTACGTCTCGCCTTCAGATTGTCCAGGCAGCCAATGACCTGCTCTGCATCACCACAAATTTGTTTGCGTTTTCTACACTTTGGCCAAAACTCATTGTACAGAATTCTAAAAGAACTAATATTTTTTCTTTGTTAAAAAGATGTTTAAACATGTCAGGGCAGTGGACTCACATTTTCTCAATAGAATTGCAGAATTTTCAATCCTATCTGTATTAGCATATAGATATATATCATGTACGTCTTATTACATAGCCTGGCACTTGCTATCCTACTGCATCAACCTCCCAAGTGCTGGGGTTACAGGCGTATGCTTCTTTAATTTACGCCAACTATCTTATTTTCCCTTGAGAATTTCCCTCCTGCTGATCATCCTTGTGGTTGGAAGCAGACACAGCACCTAGACAGCCCTTGAGTGGGGTACCAGGATGTGTAGCCTAGGGAGCTTCGTGACCTTCTTTAATGTTTTCAGGGACTCTGGACTCCTTATCTCCCCTCAGGAGGAGGTAGGGGTGTGTGTGTGTGTGTGTGTGTGTGTGTGTGTCTGTGTGTCTGTGTGTGTGTCTGTGTGTGTGTCTGTGTCTCTGTATCTGTGTCTGTGTCTGTGCTTGCATGTGCATGCACATGTGACTGTGTGTGTACCTGTGAATGCAATATGTGGGTATCTGTCAGTCACTCTCCCATCTCATTGAGACAGGGTCTTTCACCAAGCATGGGCTTTACCAATTTGGCTAGACTGGCTGGCCAAGGAGCTTCAGGGATCCTCCTGCTTCTGCCTCCCCAGTGTTAGGATTATAGGAATGTGATATCATGCCAGCTTTTTTTTTTAACATGGGTGATGGTCATGTTAAAGTATGAATAAACCTACCTTACTTTTAACTCACATTCATGGCCTTTTGTCCACAACAGAGTAATAATTTAACAAGGTCTGTGGATTGGTTAGCAAGTCACAAAATGAGCCATAACCATTATTCAACTAGTGGTCTTAGAGCACTATTTCAGACAAAAATGATACCACTTGGGAATTTTTTTAAAACATGATATAAAGATTTCACCTAAGTAATGTTATTTGGGCCCTTTCTATGATTCGCTTATATAAGCCCACCACAACTCTGTAGAGGAAAGACTATTACACTCGTTTAATAGGCAAGTAAACTGAGGCAAGGCTCAGAGAGCAGAGAAATATTTGGACTCAAAGTGCATTGATTGATTCCAGAAGATACACTAGGTTAGACGCCCTGCCCACTGGCAGTGTTAGGAAGCAAAAGGTGCCTCTTCCCTCAGCCTTCCCAGGACTTTTGTGATTTCCTGGAAATGCTCAAGGAAGCTGTCTTATTAGGACTTATTTTTCACTCATTTGTTCAGTTTCTCCCATATGTATATATATGTATACATAAATACGTGTGTGTGTGTTTCCACCACCACTGTTTAGTTCCTATCAAGTTCAAGGTATCTTAGTATTTTTATTAAAAACCTCTTGATTAACTGTGTTTGTAAATCTAATTACACACTGCTCAGCATTGTCCTGGTCTATAAACTGATACCGCATCATTTTGGCTACAACCTTTTCAGTCTTTGTGAGAGAGAATGAGAATAACAGAGGAACTGGAATCATAGAGCATTATTCATAAATGTAAAACAAATCTAAAAGATAACCATATGGAGAGATGGCCAGCGATTAAGAGTAGTACATAGGGCTCTTGCAGAGACTCTGAATTCAGTTCCCAGCATCCACACTGAGCAGCTCACAACTACTTATTAGATCTCCAGGAGATCTAACGCCCTCTTCTGGTCTCTATTGGTACCTGCACTTAAATTTGCATTACCGCCCCCAACCCCCCCACCCCCGCCACACACACACATACACACACACTTACTTACATATATACATACATACATACATACATACATAGTTTTTTTTTTGAAAAAAAAATTACCAGAGGAAGGAAATGGGGGAGAGATATGTATGAAATAATACTCAAAATGATTGGCTCATCAGTTGAATATATAATGTGATGTTATCTGTACACAGGTGTGTTTGGGACTGGTCACAGTGTAACCCATAAACTCCTTCAACCCAGTTTGTTGTTGTTGTTTGTTTGTTTGTTTGTTTACTACATTTCTTTTAGGAACATAATCAGAGGAGTTAGTCCTAAGGTACAAGAACTATCTCTTCTATACTTCTGAAATACCATATTACCTGACCAGATTTTTTAAAAGAGTATAGGACAATCAGCACAGAATAGACACTAAACGAGTGCCTACTGCATTCTGGGCCTTGGGTGAGATGGTTCACCTGTGTTTTTTATTTGGTCTGTATATCGGTCCTCAGAGACAGGCGTTGTCCCAGCTTTATAGAGGAGAGACAAGGTTCTGGTGGTTTCTCTAGTCACACCAGTAACCAGAAAGGCCTGGTCTGAACATAGGCTTGTCCAACTCCAAAGCCCACGCTTGCTCCTCTTCTCTGAGACTCCATGATTGTCCACAAATGGCTGCAGGTGTCTTCTCCTAAGCCTCTTGAAGTGTCTGAAGGTTTCCCAGTGTGGAACAATAGGGAAGAGAAGCAGAAAATTGTTAGAAGAGAATTTCAGAATCAGGATGGGCCAGCCAGGAAGATGTACCTCAGTTGAAATCCTGGGGAAGATGGTAAAGGAGTCAGTCCTTGCTTCATTTCTTTTTTAAAAAAATTGATTGATTGATTGATTGATTGATTGATTGATTGATTGATTTGTGTATTACAGTATTCTCAGTACTCTGCCTGCAAGCCAGAAGAGGGCACAGATCTCATTACAGATGGTTGTGAGTCACCATGTGGTTGCTGGGAATTGAACTCAGGACTTCTGGAAGAGCAGCCAGTGCTCTTAACCACTGAGCCATCTCTCCAGCCCCCCTTGCTTCATTTCTTAGTTCCATATTTGAAGGAATTTAAGAAGAGATCATCTGGTTTCACAGTATATTTCTGGTTACCAGTTCTGGTACCTTTTGAAATAACAACTTAAAAAAAAAAATCTTGAAACCTCTGGGGCTAACAAGAAGGCACAGCAGGTCAAGGTGCTTGCCACTAAGCCTTGGATCCCGAGTTCAACCCCTGGATCCCACAGTAAAAGGAGAGAACCAACTCCTGCAAGTCATTCCTTGACTTCCACATGAGCATGTGTGAGCATTCTCGAGCACGTGCACAATCAGTCAGTAATGCCAGGTGCACGCCTTTAATTCCAGCATTTAGGAGCAGTGCGAGATGGATCTTCATGAGTTCAAAGCCAGCCAGCCATATCTACATAGGATAATCAGGGCTATTTAATGATACCCTGTCTCAAAAAATAAATAAGATAGGCTTAGTTGTTCTGTTTTTTAACTTTGAACTAAGTCAAAAGAAAGTATATCCATATCAAGCCAGGCAGTGGTGGTGTACACCTTTAATCCCAGCACTCAGGAGGCAAAGAAAGGTGGATCTCTGTGAGTTCAAGAACAACCTGGTCTACAAAGGAAGTTCCAGGACAACCAGAGCTGTTACACAGAAAAACCCTGTCTCAGAAATAGATAGATAGATAGATAGATAGATAGATAGATAGATAGATAGATAGATAGATGATATATAGAAAGCATGCAAGCATATCAAGACATCTTGCAGAGCAGATCATGATCAGAATCCTAGGGCTGGTTTGTTGGCTCAGGGATGACTTTTTTTGGACTGTTAGCTGTTGCTCACTTGAGAATTTTGCCTGCAACCCTGCCCTGCCCCACGTTTTCTCTGGTTCCGTGTTTGCCTAGCCTGGCAATTCTGTTCTCACGGTGTTCTTCCACATCATTTTTACATTTGTGGATTTGTTTTACCTAAAAATAAAAGAAATGAAGGATAAGATCAGCTTCATAATCTTTGGTAACTATGTCAAAGGGACACCGAGGCACCCCTTGATTCTCAGCATCACTGTTGTTGAAACCTGGTGAGTCTGTTGTCTCTCGAGCGCTTGAAATCCTTCACAGGGACGCCCCTTTCCACCAACAAGAGAGTACCGCCACCAGGCATCCCCACCCCATGCGTCTAATATGTTTTTCACCCACAGATCCTTCAGAAGCCAACCCCAGAACTCAAACATCAGTTGGCTGCTTTCTCCAAGAGGGTGGCCGGTGCCGTGACGGAGCTCATCCAGGCCGCGGAAGCCATGAAAGGTAGGTCAGAGCCTCCTGTCATCTTGTAGGGCTGCGCTAGGACAGAGGGACAAGACAGGGAGATGCAAACAGAAGTACACTGAGAATAAAAAGCATAGACTTGTTTTATTTTTATGTTTAAAATAACATTTTTCTCTGGTCTTTATATCGAGTTCTTTTACCTGTACAAAATAATCCATCTGGAACTTTTCACCTCCCTTGGGAATCTTGTTTATTTTTAGCTGTCTTTTTATTCATCAGGCTATCTATTTATTGTCTGTTGGCTAATACGCTCATGAGCCACGCCTCAAGACTGCAGGACTGTAGTTCCAGATTCTCAGGGGCTCGGGCTAGATGATTGCAAGTTTGAGGCTGACTGCACTACGGAACACATTGAACTTTGGGCAACTTTACAAGATCCTATCTCAAAATTTAAAAAAAAAAAGGATAGGGGAGAGGAACTAGGAATATAGCTTGGTGGGGGAGAATGCTTGCCTAGCACGTGCTAGGCCCTAGTTTCAATCTCTAGTCATATCAAAGAAAGTGATTAGGGCCTGGAGTGATGTCTCAGCAGTTAAGAGCACTTGTTGCTCTTGCAGAGGACCCAGGGTTGATTTCAAGCACCTATATGGCAGCTCACTACCATCTATAACTCCAGATCAGGGGGGATTCAATGTCCTCTAGCCTCTGCAGGCACCAGGCTTGCATATAGTGCACAAAGATGCATGCAAGCAAAACCCATACATGTAAACCAAAATGAGGTAAGTACTTTATAAGTAATTTTGATAATAGTAATAATAATATTCTTGTGTATAAGAAATTGCACTGAATACAGCATTTGCACACCCTTACTTGCTTACACGGATTCTCTAAGAAGAGCACTTTTTCTGAGGCATGTGACCCTTCCTCACATTCCCTGAAGAGAATGTCAAAGCTCTGTGGCCTAGAGTCTCATGAGCATAAATCAGAAGGCACTCTGAACCTTGATCCATTGATGAATCTGCCATCGATGGCCATTCCTGTGGACGGGGCTACACATGTAGCTGGTTTAAAAAAGCAGATTAGCTCCCCTTAGTCCCTGTGTGCAGAAGATGAAGAAGTTAGGTAGGGATCCCTTATGCAGAGAGGAGGCCCATGGGGCCATCCAAAATGCCTGTTTAGATTTTGTTTGTAATTACACCAGTACCCTCATGTCTCCACCTGCCAAGAGTGACTTTCCTGGGACTGATTTTAGGAACAGAGTGGGTGGATCCAGAAGACCCAACCGTCATTGCAGAAACAGAGCTGCTGGGAGCTGCAGCATCCATTGAAGCCGCGGCCAAGAAGTTAGAGCAGCTGAAGCCGAGAGCAAAACCAAAGGTGAGTGTTCATTGCTGGTCACTTGTACTTAGAGGAGAAGCAGAGCATCCACGGCCTGCTGTGTGTAACTCCACTGTGTGAAACAGGTTGTCAATGTTTCTGTCAAAAGTCCCTGTGAGTAGACAGACTGACAGCCTTCAGTTCACCGGCTTCCTCCTGCCTTTCATACAGAAATAGCAGTATTGAGTATCCTGTTTTCTTAGAAACAACAGGCCTGGGCAAATGACTCAGGCAGTAAGGTGCTTACTGGGAAAACATGAAGACCGAGTTTGGATTTCCCAGCACCCATGTAAAAAACTCACATGGTGGTGTGCACCTATAATCCCAGCACTGGGGAGCTGGGGCAGACAGGAGCATTGCTGAGGCTTGCTGGCCATTCAGACTAGTAAGTTCCAGGTTCAACAAAAGACTGTATCTCAAAAAAAAAAAAAACCAAGAGGGGTGACTAGAAAGATGCTCAGATAAAAGCGCTTGCTGTCACTGTTCCACAGCACCCAAGTTCAGTTCCTAGCACCCACAACAGGTGATTCACAACCGTCTGTAACTCCGGCTTCAAGGAATCCCACTCCCTCTCTGACTCCATGGACACTGTACTCACGCACCCATTCAGACACATAAATACACACACACACATACGTATACATAATTAAAAAGAAATCTAAATATACATATATGGAGATATGGTAGAGAAGCAATTGAAGGAGATACTTGACCCCTGGCTTCCACATATGCATGCAGACACATGAGTAGAGAATTAGGTGCATTCAGCCATGGACAGTTTCAGTGTGTACAGGAGACTGTACGTTAGAGAAGTGGCAAAGAAAGAGATTATTTTTTCTGGGGCAGTAGGAGCTCGCCCATCTCCAGGCTCAGCCATGGTAAGCAGATGTACTTTCCCACCGCACACTCTGGCCATCTTCAGGAAGATGGTGGGACCCAAGGAGGCTTCCTTTTCTTCCTATCCTTCTTGATGCTGTCTACAGTTCACTTCCCCATGACCCACATACATGGAAATAAAATCAGGCTCTTTTCACCCCCCCCCCAAAATCTGAACCCCCAGTTTAGGACTGTGACTACCTAAAATTTTACCTTTTTGTCAGACTGAAAGATGGAATCTGAGGGCTGAAAGGTACCAACCCTTTCCAAAGCCGTGTTCAAGAGAAGGTGTGTGCAGGACACAGGAGGCTCATGAATCTGTTCAAGTTGGAGCTTTCCTAAAACCTTCAGCATTCTGACCGATCTCCTAGCATCGGCTGCAATAGCAAACACATTTCAGATTTTCCTCATCAAGGTGGAACTGGAGATTTTTGACCCCTGACTTTTGTGTTTGCTGGGGTTCCGCTGGTGCTCTGGATCATCTGATATTATCAGAGTTTAAGCTCTGCTTGTGGGTTAGCGACACCGGCATATTCTGGTTAGGTTTTTGTTTCTGCTTTGCAAATCAAGTTACTAGTGGATGAAAAACACTTGAAGGCTGAGTCTGCCTAGGTTCTGAGTTTTGCGGTTTAATTTGCATGTCCTTAGGCTCATTGAGTCTCTCCCAAGAGGCCCCCTTCAGCAGGGGAAGGCTCCTTGTGGGCCAGGTAGCACCTGCAGTCTGTGAAGGAGTCTGCTGCTCATTTAACACCCAGCCCCGCCCCCACCCTTCTCTAGGGTGCTCCTGAGCTCCTGTCTGTTCTCTGTCTGGTGTCTCATCTGTTTCAGTATTCTTGATTTGGAAAACAGACTTAGTGGAATCTCCTTCATCCTGCAGGATTGTTGTTGAAGCATATAATCGCTAATGTCAGAACACAGTGCCTAACTAGGTCTTAGTAAATGGTGGCCACACCACCACGGTCACCATCACTGTGACCAAATGCATCTTTCATCTTCAGAAAATGTGTGAAAGAAAAGGTCTTTCGCGGTTCCCTATGGGATAGGAGGGCAAGTGACAAGGCCACAGACATGTTCCAGACCAGTCTATTACCTCATTAGGGGTGAAGTCATCTGACCCTTGACGTGGCTAGCCACAACTGGACCATGTGAATGAACAGGATGGGAACATACGGCTGGGGTGGCAGCTTCTGTACATCCCATTTCTTCTTTGTCTCCATTGGCAAAGAAAATGGTTCTAGTCCCTAGGACCATTGAAACCTTATAAGGTTTTTTAAGCTGTTAGACTTGCTTTGGGTCCTGTTCTGAGGAAGAAATCCAAGATCTGCAAGAGAGGGTTGTTCTTTGACACCTTGCTGATAGCAATGAGAAGTTGGGGTCTTCCTGCAGACTGTTAGTCCGTCTCAGCAAGGAAGAGCGGTAGTTGCCAGGACTGCATCACATGAAGATGCTCATGGAACGAGTTCCGGGGGAAGAGATGGTAAAAGCATATGCAGCCATGAACGATGCTTTGAAATGAAGGAGATGGGCAGAGAATGTCTAAGCATGGGGTGGGATTAGGAAATGACAGGTTCTGGTCTATTGCCACACCACCCTGAATGTACCTGATCTTGGCTGATGTGGGAAGCTAAGCAGGGTCGGGCCTGTTTAGTACTTGGGTGGGAGGAAATGACAGGTTCTGTATTAAAGTTCTGGAAAACAACCCTGAAAGCCGACACACACCAGAAGCCAGGGATGAGTGCTGCAGGAGGCCAGTGAGGTGCAGGAGGCCAGCGAGGCCCCTTGCACTAGGTTTCATATTTGCAATAGGGGTCTTAGGAAAGAGCCGAGGGGTTCTTCTGTGAAGGTGAAGTGAGCACCATTGATCTGGTTTCTTTATTTGACGGTGTTTGCTGTTGGTGGCCCCCGACCTGATGTTGGGAAGAGTGGCTGCTACTTCTGGGACAGTGGAGAGTAATCTTCCTGATGACCACAGGTTCCTGCCACACAGGCATTATCTATGAAAGTGTCTCAGAGAATCTTACCATCCCAAAGCACGCAACTTTTGTTTTGCTAAGAGAGCCATCCACTTTGGGAAATTTCTCCCATGGTGTATAATATCCTCCTTGCCTTCATGAAAAAAATTTTCCCAGCTTAAAAAATATTACTGAAACAACAATAATTTGAGGTTACTTTTCACCATTGTCTCCTGTAACCTTAAACAAAAGTTTCCGGGGAGCCATAAATGGCCATTGCTCTTGCATTCCTGCCCCTGTAACTGTGACCCTGCCCCTCCCACACACACATGCTTGTACATGCCCATGAATGTGGACTTCCATCGTCCCTGCAGAACACCTGCACTGCTCTGAGAAATAATTTGGGAGAGGGGAGGTGATGACTTCAAGCTGCATTGGTCACCTGATTCTCGGGTTATCTGTTTTAAGAGAACAGTCTGGCATCTGAAGACGGTTCTGCTACAGTTCCACCCTTGGGCCCTGCCCACCGAAGCATCTCCTTTAACCTGCAGTCTCTCAGATGTGAGTGATGGACAGACTTCCCTTTTATCTGGGGAAATGGCCCTGGGCTCAGAGCGTGTGCCGGCAGTCCTGCTATTGGCACCCTTACCGCACCTACAGACTTGCTCGGAGGCAGGCCGGGAGATCCTGCAGCGGCCACTGGCTCCTGCATCTGTAGCCATCAGTACTGTACCTATTGTCAAGCTCAGTCAAACCTGGATGCCTTTTCTGCAGGCCTCTGTGTGATATGTTTGATATATTAGGTTGTTATTTAATCCAACTATATATCAAGCATATTCCTACAGTGTCTTGCCCTTTCTCCGGGGGTCCTAACAAAGTTTAGAAGGCAACAGGAAAGAATATACTAAAAATCACAAATGGGTTTAGATGGCAGAGTGCTTACTTTGTTATGTTTTATTCTGCTTCTTGTAACCTTTAAGACCTGTGTCTTCGTTACCTTTCTGTTGCTGTGACAGACTACCCCAACCAAAAGCCACTGACATACAGAGAGGATGGATTTTGGCATATAGTTTAGAAGGGTTACAATCCTTCATGGCAGGGAAGGCCTGGCAGTCAGGAAGCAAAGAGAGAGGAAAACCAGTGGGGTCTGGCAATCAAACCTCAAACCCCATTTCTCCTTCAGCAAGACCTCATCTCCTAAAGGTCCCGTAGCCTTTCCAAACAGCCCCACCGCTGAAGACCGAATGTTCACAACCATGAACCTATGCAGGGTGGCATTTTGTTCCAAACCACAGCAGCCTGTATCACTGCTACTATTGTTTGTTGTGGGAAGGAGTCATAACTCCTGAAAGCTTAAGACATTTCCTATAGTTTAGTTGTATGCAGTGAGCAGTTCTTAAGAGAATATTAAAGAATATTCAGTGGGAAGATTCCAACCCATCTCTTTGATATAAGATTGTAACTGGCAAACACAGCCATCTAGAGTTTTCTTCCTGATTCAATTTTATCCTAATTCTCAGCACACTCTCACAGAGGAAATTTTATAATCAAGTTTTTTCAATGTAAAAAAAAAAGATAAAGACACATTATCGATAACTTACCACAGTATCTGTACTCACTGTATGGATGCTGAGCCGCTGGCTTAATACAAACCTCAGCTGGGACCAAGTGTGTCTGACGAAGAGACTGTGCTGTGGACTCCGCTCTGGCGGTGTTCTGCTGCAGGTGGACTTATAAGCAGAGGTTGATAGTATTTAGAAGAACCCAGCAGTCAGAACGTAAACACGTCGTCTAATTGGCTCGGCAGGAAGTTGGACAATGACCGGGAAAGCATTCTTTCGAGTCTATGTCAGCCCTCTCTGGCTGCTTTGACCTCTTCCCATAAATGAGTCTGTGGAACGTATATGAGTTCATTCTGAGTTCTCTAGCCCCAAGTCTTCATAAGCACTGTTTTCTGGAAACCACATGGCTGTGCTCCCAGCCTGGTTTTTTGTTATTGTGTTGTTTTAAGAGAAAAGAACTCTTTTAATGAGCACTCCTGACTGTAGAGAAGCACCCCCCACACACACACACACACACACTTTGAGGGGCAGGGCAATAGTATAACTAGAGATGTCAGAAAGGGACCTTGGGAATATCTAGAAGCCTCCACAAGAGAATGAGTGGTGATGG